CTAGAATTGGATTGATAATCTTGAATGAAATCTGATATTTTCCTGAAAAATATTTCACTTGGATCCAATTTGAAACACAATTCTGCAATAGCAAGGTATAAACCGGTAAATCAGAGTCAAAGTGCCATTTAAATACTTTGAATCTCATTTCTAGGAAAATATGAAACATGAGTAGAAGTCTGTCAAAATTTAACAATATTTATTGAAAGCTAACAGACTTTAGCATTTTAATCAATCATTTATTTTCGTATTTCATTCTTTTGTATCGCTTGTTTATGGCCAATGCAGTTCTAAAATTGCAAATAAAATATGCAAAAGCGTTCTTTGCAACAATTCGCAAGATATTTAGATTCTCTGATCAAAACCGATGATCATGCAATGCATAAGGTAGATAGATTCGAACACTTGAGCTTTACACACACTTTAAGCTCGAATTGAAGTTGAGCTAAAACTGGTTATTGATATATGCTAAAGATCTAAGCGTTTAAAATACAAACAAGTACAAACTGTAAAATACAATAGATGTTCAAGTCGATATTGCAGCTAATATCTTCTGAATAGGCACTACAAATGCGGATTTAGCAACAGAAATGGTGAATTACTGACAAGATACTCTTTTGTGTATTTTGCTTTTAAGCTTTCGATCTGTGCAAAACGTCGCAATGCCCAGATTACATCTGATTGTTATGATTATTGCTTACGAACAGAATAAAATGTTCATTTATTGTACTGATTATATTTAACTTGCGAGAGTATTTTGAATAGATACATCATTTAGACCAGTAAGTCACTGTTTCTGTCGAGAGAAACAAAGGAAACTTGACTTTTAAACAATAATGACCAGAATTTAACCCAATTTGTAACAATTTAACATTCAAATGCATGAGAGCAAATTCTTTTTCAATGAACATGAGTTTGATTGTGTGAAGATTCATTTAAAGATCAAAAGAGAGTTTTCAGGTCAAGACTAACATTTTAAGGCAATCAATGTGTAAATCGTTCTAATATTAATACTTATAGATGCAAAGGATTTCAATTGAATAACCAATATTGACACATTATGATAAAATCTATGGTCATTTTGTGCTAATAATTATCCAAGAAAATCGTTTCTGAAATGAATGTTCATTGAGTTGTATTCATTCCACCTTTAATTGTAGCAATTCACCTTTATTTTGCTTGAAATCTGTTTAAATTCATTCACTTTTCCCACATGGGATGATTGATTGCATTTGGATGGAAAGCAAAGCGATTTAAATTCTTGTAAAGTGAACTGACGATGAACTGAAGACAATTGAATCAGATTTAAATGACAAATCATGATTCGCTTGATATCAGTAAAAGGTAAACACAAAGAAATACTCAATTTCTGAACAAATCAGTTAAAAGTTGATTCACTTTGAAATATTGAAACTCTTTATTTTATCAAATGAAAAATATTTGCACATTTTGTTTAACACTTTAGCGAAATGTTATTTACAAGAAAATAAAGAAACGTGAAAAAGCGAGAAACAAGAAAAAAAAGAGAAGAAAAAACAAAATTTCGTTCCATCTTAAATCAATATTTATTTTCCATTTTTTGATGTTCTGATCTCTCAACGATGATGAGAATGAACAAAAAAGAGCTCAAATTGTTACACTGAACCTTGTTATTTTGACAGTTAACGATAAAAGATGATACCAAGAGAGTAACGAACAAGACACAAAAAATAATAACGAAAAGTGAGAAAAGAAAATCAATATTTTTTTCCCTTCCAAATTCATTTTCTTTACCAATATCAATTCTGATGGACACATTTCAACTCCTTGAGCTATTATGGTGAACATAAAGTGATAAACAATTAACGACTGAATGGACATTTCGAAACGCCATTAATGTTGAACAAATTTGCTTAAAAACACAAAAGAAGAAAATTGAAATTGAAATTTTCTCTCAACTCAAAGGGTTGATTGACCAAAATTGAATGAACTTGCTCCAAATATTGTTTAGGAATTTGGTCCAAAATTTAAATTTCTTTGCCTTTTCCCAAGTCAATAGCATTGTCTGCAAGGCAAATAACAAGAATGATAATAATGGACGAAAAATAATCCAATGTTTAAGGAGGACCTGCAAATGAATAGGGAAAATCTCCTCTAAGGATATTTTTATGAAATGAACTTTGGTGAATATAATTTTTTATGCTGATTCCGAATATTTGTTTCCTTTTTTCCTAAAACAGCGCATTCGAAAGAAAAGTTCATATTATGATTCGAAGGCTGCATTTTTAGCACGTTAAAAGAGGTCGCTAAGCCAGTCGATTCTATTCGTTATCTATGTTATCAAGTGTAACGAATAATATAGTGAAGGTTTGGCCACTGAAAAAATCGCCAAACAGGGTCAAAACTGCAAAAAACAGATTAAAATATCGATTTATTAATGACCTTTTAAGCATGATGAAGACGCCGTCTAAGCCAGCTAAATATTAGCATAATCAATGTAATCGAGCATGCTGAATAATATGGTGAAGGTTTGGTTCCTGAAAAAATAGCCAAACAGGGTGAAAATCGAGAAAAGCTGAATTTGAACAGGGATTAATAAGCCTCTTTTTTAACATCATGAAGAAGCCGTCTAAGCCAGCTGAATATTGGCAAAATAAATGTAATCGAGCATAGCGAATAATATGGTGATGCTTTGGTTCCTGAAAAAATAGCCAAACAGGGTGTTGCATTGACATTTAGTAAAATTTAACGAAATCCAGTTTTCTACAATTTTCAATCTATTTGGCTATTTTTTCATAGCTGAAATCAATAATATATTATTCAGCATACTCACTTATATTGATTATGCCAAAATTTAGCTGGCTTAGACGAAATCTTCATAATTTTCAAAAAAACGCTTATTAATCCCTATTCAAATTCAGTTTTTTACAATTTTAACCCTGTTTGGCTATTTTTTCAGGAACCAAACTTTCATTATATTATTCAGCATGCTTGATTACATTGATTATGCTAATATTTAGCTGGCTTAGACGGCATCTTCATTATGCTTAAAAGGTCACTAATACTATGTGATATTTAGGTATTTTGGCTGATATATCAAAAACTATGCATGCTATAAAAAAATAGATTTGATTTATGAAATCAGCATTTAATTTTGTGTCTGAAAAGTATCATTTCGAAAAAAATCGAGAACAGGCGATTTTGCAGGTCCTCCTTGTTCTGAAAGATTTTGACTGGAGAAACGAAAAAACGTTTTTCTTTTCAATATTGACAATTCCAAGTCTTTTTTCCTTCTTTTCACTTCTTTGGCTTACTTATTTGTCTTGCTCAACTTAATCGTCATTGACTATTCTGATCATGATTCTGAGCTGAAATTTTCTCTTCCTGTTCATTTTGCTTTTCCTTTTCATTCCTTACTAAAATTACTCTTTGGATTTTGAAAATTTCCCATTTTCTCATGAAAATACTTTTAATGTACTTTTCAAAGTTTACTTCAACTTTTCAATGATTTTCTCAACACTTCAACATTTATTGCCGAGTGCTTTTGTGGTTTAGTCAAATCGACCATTCTAATCATTATTCATCTTTAGTTGAGAAAAGCTTCAAGATTTCATGTTAACTCAATCCCAGTCAAGTTTCATGAATCAGCTTTGCCCTCAACTAACGATCTCGAGGATTAAACTTTTCGTGAAAACTTAATAAAGCATTTAAAAGCAATTAAATAGTTTGAGAGTTTTCAAATTTTCTGTTTTCTTGAGGAATTTAAAAATATCAAAATTTGCATTTTGCTTGAATTGACGGTAACTTTGATTGACTAGAAATTAGAATATTTTTCAACTTTTTCCTTCTTTTCCACCAAAGAATGTCGATTCCAATCAATATTTAATTATTTTTCTCTTCGCACTTTAATCTTCATTAGAGTATTTACACAATTTGAGTAAAATTTTCACTCAATTATCTAAAGTGATTCTCCATCTCGAGGTTTTCAATCCATGAAAAAGTCTAAATAGCGATTTTAAAAGAATAATTTGTACGAAAATCGAAATATCCATCTCTCAAAATTTCCTTTAACTCATTAAATGAATTCATCGTCAAAATGAATGATTCGGCCAGAAAACTCAAACTATTTAATCGAAAAATATCAACCTGAAAAATTCAATTTTCTTCAATTGCATTCTGACACCAATTTTAGCGCCACAATAAACATTAAAAGTTCAATTACTTTTCATCACTATTATCATTACCATTATTTCCCTCCCACTTATCCTTCCCATTGATCACGATCAAGCAAGAGTCACGTTAAGAAAACAATTGAATTGTTTTTCCTTTTTTTAACACATTATTTCATTTCCATTTCGTTGAGTTCAGAAAAGTTTCAGAAACAAATAAAAAAGATGAAATAACGATCTTAAAACTCGACATTTTATCAAAGAATGAACAGCAAAATGAAACATTACTAAAAATAGCATTGAACCAATACTTTTACATGAATAAGCCATTTTCTCATGGATACAGACTTAACATTTAAATAATTAAAAATTAATAAAATGATAAAATGTTTCACCAAAAGTTTCAGCTTCTATCGTAACTCATGAATTGTTAATATCAAAGGCTTATCATGCTGATAAAAGCTAATAATAATAATAATGGTTCTGAAAATAATGGATATAATATGCTTGGCTATTGTCAACGGAAATTGCCTTTACTTGTTAAATGAAAAATGATGTTTATAATCGAATGGTCAATACAGAATGGCCAAGAATAACGAATAATATTGATGACTCTGAGGCTGAATAAGATGATGTTTTTAATGAAATAATGAACAAGAGAATCAATTTGAAACTAATTTCCTGTTTATTCAAATTCCAGATTCAACTGTTGGTCAATATTATTCATCGATAGTCATCACTCCCAGGCAAAGCTGGGAGTTTATCTGTTGACTTTGTTTTACCAAGTTTCAGCCAATTTTTTTTCGTCAAAATTGATTTCTCAATTTAATTTGATTCTTTTTGTCCTTGTAGAGTGTTCATGAAGAGATTGCAGGTCAAGTCAGCCTGGATCCGCCAATATCGTCACTTGCCGATGCAGCTTTTGAACTTCTCTGGATGCAACACTGGTTCGATGCGATACTGTTGATTGACGATACTGCTGCCTCTGATTTATTTAGCTATCGGTTAACTCGCCTGTGTCAAAAGAATCGCCATAAAAAATTGAAATCTTCTGGATTATTTTCATCATCAACTTCTTCAGCCTTTCAATCATCAACTCAATCACCAATGGATACACTGATTCCACCCTATGAACGGAGTCACCTGCATTCATCTAAAAAATCTTCCAATACAAAACAAAACACATTTGATAACAATTTTTATTTTCTTGATTCAGTTTGGAATCGATTAGAAGTTATTCAACTTTCCAAAAATCTTCTTCAAAATGAGTGAAAGAAGCGAAACCAAAAAATGGGGAAAATTCATTTTCAAATGCATTTCATTGTTGATATCACTTCATCATTAGAACGTCATTCTAGTGAAAGAAAAGGAAATTGTTCATCAATTCTTTACCAATAAATCAACACAATTCCAACGATAAATGAACTTTTTTTCTCCTGATAAACTCCAAGGTATACATTCTTTCATCGTAATATCTAGTAAACATTGATGTAATAAAAAGGTCCAGGTTTTCATTTTTTATTTAAAAAAAAGAGGTAATTCTGTTACTCACAGTTTCACTTAACTCTTGATGAGGTTGATTGCATTTAATGACTTTATCCTTGATCATAAAATATCCTTTGCTTTCAAGACAATTGAAGCGATAAAATAAAGAACCAGCAAAGATCAGAAGATGATAATAATGATAAAGGAGGAAAAAGGAGAAGGGAAAAAAAGTTCAATCAGAATTCAGATTCTGCTGGGAGTTTGTCTTCTCTTTTTTTCTTCTCTCCTCACTCTTTTTTCACCTTTTGTACTATTAGACTTTTCCTTCTTAAAATTAGTCTAAGAGTTAAGTGCATAATGATGATGATAATAATCAATGAAAATAAACTGAGAATACAATAGACTTTTTCCTTTATAATCGTCAATATATTACATGGTAAGAGTAACTTTCAATTTTCTCTTTTACCTGTTCAGCAAGTTTTTGACAAGTTGACTGTTGGAATAGTAAAGAGCAACAAAAAAATGCATTTGTCTGTTGAATGGTTCAACATCAACTTTTGTCTTTCCTTTAAATTCATTCATTCCTCAATCATTTGCTTCAACAAATTTTCTCATTAAAAATAAGGTGATAATTTAAATAATTATGATAATTTGAATGTTTGACTTTGGTTTAAATCAACATTTTTCTTGCTTTCATTGGTCGTGTTAGAGGCTGGTTGAGGGAAATGAGTTGATGGGAAAAGGTTGATGAGATGGCAATGGTTGAGTCTCTTGACTGGGTTTTGATGGTTAATCTTTTTTTACTAATTTTGGGTTTGCTTTTGTTTTATTTGATTCTGTGTTTAGTTTTACCTGAAAATGAGTGAAATTCAAACAAGTCATCGACGAATTATTCTGGTTCATTGTGATAAAGTTACAACTAGAAGGGTTATGGATATTGCCTCGGTTTTAGGTCTTTTAAGGGGACACAAGATTTGGGTTATCCTTGATGGTGTCATTGGAAGTGAACTGGTTAAACCTAAATTCTGGTATCACCTTAACCTGCCAACTGGTATGTAAAGATTTACAAGCAATGTTACACTTGGATACAATCTTTGTTAATCTTTTATTATCTTATTTTGCTGGTTAATCTAGGTGTAATTGCCTTACGTCAAAGGCCACCAACATTAACCTCAAGTGATACTTTGCTTGCCATAACCAGTATCATCGGAGAAGCGGCTAGTTATGCACTTGCCGATGCCAAATCTTGGATTAGTGAAAATGATTTTCGCAATGGATCAGCACCAGAGGTTAGCTGTTGGCACAATGCTCATGGTGTTAGAATCAAATATTCACAAGTAATTTACAGGTAATCATTTCTTTTTTTCACCAAAATTCGGTCTCCATTCGCTTTCAATAAGCAAGGTTGTCACAAATTACGACTAAGCATCTTTGGCTGGTTCAATGTTGAACATGTCTGATCGGGTTATTTCATCCCAACATGAACTAACAAATTGACCAACAGACCTTAAACAATTGGATTGTATCACATTAGCAATGTAATGAGTGCAGATTATGTAGTTTGGGTCAATGAATGTATCAATTCAATTTGATTGCGATCCCTCATACACTTGGAGGCATCGAATGTTAGATTAGCAAAGATCATTTACAGATTGCAGTAAATTAATACCGTGTCTGCTTTAATTTTTAATGTTATTATAAGCATTTCATCAACATTAAATTTACCAAGTTTGGTGGTAGATTATTAATTCAACTATTCAACTTGATTCCGTTGAATTATTCTTGTTACTTTTTTATTATGTGATTCAAGGTTTACGTTTACATTAGCACTGTTTAACAGTTAATAAGTTTGTTTATTGAGTTAAACTTGATTTTAAACACGATATCAAACAGCTTCCAGATTAAACACTAGATCAATTACATAAGCAAACAAGCTATATGATCAATTAAATTGTGACTTACATAGACATAAATAAAGATCATTAGTGTCACAACCATTCATTATCAATAACGTTACATGTAATAATGAAAAATAAACAGTGAAATGGTTCAATATGAATACAATTATTGCTGGCTTTGAATAAAAATGATGAGACAACAATTTAATCAAATCTGGGTAAAATTTGAGCAATTTTATTCGACAATTTACAGCATTTAATCAACTGATCGACTCATTTAGCATAAACGTGATATCAAAGTTGATTGAACTTACCTTTTGCCTGAGATCAAAAAGTAGAAATTATTGGTTTCTTTTTGTTTACATTTTCACCCAAAACGATAACATTTATAAGTTGATAATTTTAACCATGAAAATTGTTTGGAAAACATTATATTTCTTTACATTTCAATTCTTAATAACTCAACCATTTTGGTCCAACTTAACATTTTTATTAATACTTTGTTTACATTTTATTATGCTTTATGTGCTATTGTACAGTCATTATGCTTTTCAATTGAAAGTACAAAATATTACAAAAGATGGCGATAGATTTTAATGTTACATGTGTTAACTGGTTCCTCACCAACAAAACGTGCTCCTTAAATAGTGTTGATTTAGACTTAAATTAATTAATTTTTTCCTAAAATCTGAGTGTTAAATGGCTCACTCAGTGCCCCAGCATTGACACAGTTACGAGTTTCCTGAATTTTGCTTCTATTAGTGATATTTTCATCCAACTAAAATGGTAAGTCTATTCAGCCTCTCAAATAGAATTTAAATATCTTTTGAAACACGTGTTACATTAATATCTTCGATATTAATACTTTCAATGAGAAATTTTGTACGAAAAAACATTGTCTAAAATATTTTTGTTCTTACATTCTGTTCTTACATTCTGTTCTTACATTCTGTTAATCATCTATATTTTACCTTTGGTGAATCTTTATTAATATTGAATACTAAATTTCTCCATTTTCTGTTGAATTGAATTTAATATCAGGCAACTAATACCGAAATACACTTCAATGGTTCTCTGACTCCTCTCTAACCCTCTGTTGCTAGAATCTTGCTGCTTACACTCCGAGTAAAGGTCTTGTTACCTGCTTGTCTTGTTCGTTTACTGTTGAAAGATTTTTTTTGGGGGGGTGTTTTATTTTTTAAATTTTTCCTTTTCCAATTTATTTTGAATTCAATTCAATCTCCGCGCTGCTGTTCATCTTTTCTTCACCTTTCCATAAATTGTTAATTTTCTTCCTCATACCTTATTGTATTATACATTTTTGTAATTTGTTTTGTAAATTTACCTCTGTAATTTTTATTGTTGTACCAAAAAATCTGTAAACTGTTTTCTCCTTTGTGATGGTCGTACATACCATCTAGCGGCGCATCCACATGCGTTCGCGGGTTACTTTCTACTTACTGAGAGTAACCGTTTGGGAGAGCGGTATCCCTATTCCCGTAATTGGGTGAAAATTTAATAAAGTGTAAGGTCTTTTTGTTTAACCCATGTTTTCCGTATTAACCTTTTTATGTTTTTTAGACCAACAATTTAACAATGTTTCAATTCATTTAACAATTTACACTCACAATTAATACAATGTTGTTTAGTTTTCGATATTTTAAATGCTATATTTGCTTGCTATTCTGATTATATCAACATTTTTTACAGATTTTCGTGTATACCAAAATTAATCCGAAGGTTTAGCTCTTTGGATAAAGGTTAACCAAAAAGTGTTTCCTCACTTTCATCTCTCATCACAATTGCTCATCTTTTATCATGATCTTCTCCATCATCACTATCATCATCCATCAACAAACTTTCAGTTTTATGTTTGGTATATAACCTGATTAAACTGCTTATTACCGTTTCAATCCAACTAAATCGGATTAACTCAAAATTCATCTCTTTCACTTTTACGTTGTTGTTTTTTCCTCATTGTTACTCTTATTTGATTTTACTTTTATTTGTTTCCCTTTGATTCGTCGTTATTAATATTGCTTTGGTCAGCAATTTAATGATGATCATTTAATCTTTTCTTGGAAATTATTGTGCATAAAATTGACCTAAAAGCTAATCAAATAACTCAAGGTGTTTATACATTTTCATGCTTTTTACCTTTTGTCTTACCCTTTAAGGTTGTAAACCTTTTAAACACAATTCCTCATCCTTTTTGATAACCTTAATTATATATTCTCAATTTTACTCGAGTTGAAACGTTATTTATGGTGAAACAAATTTGCTAATCAGTAACCCGTTTAATTGATAAGCCACCGAATGAAATCCAATTACAATGCACTTACCAAAATTTCTTGATTTGTCAATTTTTCTTGGTTAACACCATCTTTATCTTTACATGGTAAACCTTCATTGTTTAACTCAATTAACTCATGATTCTGGGCTTCACTGATTCAAAAAGTTAACATTACAAAGAAGCACTAATTTTTTGCTCACTCCAAGCATAACTAACTAAAAGTCTTCAATTAATAGACCAATTAATGTAACAGATTTACCAAAGTGTTTATGCTGCAGCTTTCACGTAATTGTTTTAATTTTCACAATTTAACTCTGCTTTATTTGTCGCTCAGTGATTACATGAATTTCTTGATTGTTTTTTAATTCAACCCCATCGATACTTTTTTGCAAATCAAAATGTTCAGAGTAACAATCTTAATTGAAGCACATTTTTAATTGATTTTCACTTTTTTGAATTTCCCACTTTCAGTTTTTTATAAGCCAATCAGGTTTAGCTATTGTTTTAATGGCGTTTTTATTTGTTTTTATTTTTCTTCTGACGAATTGATTAAATTATTGTCTCTATTTTGGTGAATGTGTCTTTTTAAAATATGTTTTCAACAATTGTTCAAGTTAGAAGTGATTGTTAACAAAAGTAAAAAGCAGATAACGGCTATTATGGTCAAATCCTTTGCCATTGTCCTCTAACTTAATTAATGTGAATGTAACATCAAGATTGATACTGACTGGTTGCTTGTTTGCTGTCAATTTAATTTTGGTAAATTATTTTGGGCCAACATTTTTTGTTCCGGTAACGTATAAATCAGTGTAAAGCTTTATGATTGTTTGGATAAAGCCAATGTTTAACTAGGTTAATGTTGGTCAATGGTTGGTCATGGAAACAGGATTACTAATTGATTTTGGGTTCATTATGACACACAAGAACCAAGTCTTTTGTTGATTGTTGATTAATTGTCTTTTTTTTCTCTCTCTCTCTCCTCTTTTCTTCCTTTTAATTTATGTTGCTGATACTGTTTTGGATCGACAGAGAGTTAAGAAGAGTCCTTAAACCAATCAATAATTTTCGTCTTGATCCTAATCGGTGTAAAAATCGGCGTTCAGGGGAACATGGAAGCGGATTCAATGTTAATGAAATGGACAATTCAACAGGAACTGGTTCAAGTCAACATCAAGATTATCTTAATACAATTAATAGCTATTATAATCAAAGATCTTCTATATGGCCTTATCCAATATTTGATATTTTAAATTTGATGGACTCTGATCAGGAGCCTGGTGAAAAAGAGTGGAAAATTATTGGTAACATAACGCGAACCAATTCAACATTGAATGCCATTAGGTACATTAAAGGGCCTTCCAGTGATCTAACAGCGGGCCCAGTTAACCCATCTAGGCACAATTTTCGAGTTGTTACCGGGATCGCTCCACCATTTGTCCATTTATCAACCAAACTTGACAATGGGACATGTTTAACTGGAGTTGCTTGTCTAAGGGTATGCAAATTACCTCAACCATTTGATAAATTTAGACTTCAATTTACACGTTGAAATGGGAAACAGTTTGATCTCCTGTAGCTTCAGGTGACCATAAATCAGAAAAAGTTACACCAATGAATAATCTCTATCATTACTGTGTTCAAAATTTAGATGTATTATTAGATATTAGAAGAAGAAGCAAAAAAACATTCAGCAAATATGCATGAGTACTATTAGAATAAGCAATTAGCTTAAAGGTATCAAAAATGAATATTTAATTTAATCATTATTTTGTTACATACGTTTGAATTGAAAATTATATCTCTTTATGTATTTTTTAGCTGCTTTCTTATCAGACAAGAACATATCATAGTTTAACTAAATAACATTAACCTTTAGGCCTGTAATAATCATCATGATAATAATAATTTGAACAGTAGTTTGTTCGGTTTGTTAAAGTATTAATAATAGGAATAATAGGAGTAAAAAAAGATGAAAAATCAACCAAACTATTTGTGGAATAACATGAAATTTATATCAAAAATAATAATATTTCTGCTTCTTTTTCCTTCTCAGCTCAGTCTATTCTTAAATATTTTTAACGAAAAATGAAAGAAAAGTCTTTTCTTTTTTTTCTCTATTCCAAGAACAAAGTTCCTCCCTAGAGGAGATTTTTTGAGCCTGAAATAAAAGAAAAGATGATGATGATGATGATCAGGAGGAAGAAGAAGAAGGAACAAAAAATAAGAGAAAGATGATGATTCTGCTATAAAGCAATTAGATTTTTCCTTCAGCTAGCACCATGTACCGAGTAAAAGACAAACACTTATGGGAATTATGTAAAGAGCCCTGAAGCATTGAGAATACTGGATTTGTTCGACCAACAGAGATTTAATGGGCAAACCCATTGGTCAATCATGTAACTGTTTTTTTGCTGTTGTTATACAATTGAACATAAATGCTGTAAACTTTGAAGTATATATCTTGTGAAAGAGGTGCAAGCATGAACAAGTTGATAATGATGGTGATATGAAATGGGTAAATCTGAACAGGGTGGAAACAAGACGCAAACAAACACAGAAGAGGCACAAAAAAAAGGTGAAAAACAAGAGCAATGAGAAAGAGTAAAGAACAGGAAGGAAGGAAAAGATAAAAAATTATCTACAAATATTGAGCAAACTCAAGAGATGATATTTTTTCAACATCTATTTACTGTTGTTGGGAATAAATATCTATGTTGGCAGAATCATTATGCTCATACAGAATGAAGGGAGTGAGGAAGGCAAAATGGAAAATGGATAAGTGATTTAAAGATGATGATGATGATGAAGATAATGATGATGATGGTAGTGGTGGTGATGCTGATGGTAACTTGAATGTTGCCTGTATTGATCGATGCTTCAGCATTTTCATTACATTATTTCATCTTTTCATATTTTCTCCTTTTCTTTTTCCTCGGTCCTTCTTTTGCGTTTCGTATTCATCTTTGTCTTCTTTCATATTCCTCTTGTTTTTCACTTTTTTTTGTTTTAACTCAATCATGATGGATTTTTGCTTCTTTTTTTGTAACAACTTATAACTTTCAGTTTCAGTCTTTTTCCTTGTTCATTTTCCTTCTTCCTTTATTTGTATCAAATTTTGTTGATGCCATAATAATAATAGTAATACTTGTTTAATATTTTTTTTGCTTTGCTTTGCTTGTTTCCATATAATATACTTTGTATGGGTTAACTGTTGATGTTTGCATCATGTCAAATAAAATGTTGCATGAAAATAAAGTAACTGCAAGTATTAATTGAAGTTGATGTAAATCGATTGACAATCAGCATTGCTTTTGTTCACCATGAAATGGATATTCAAAAAGGGCGCTCTTCTTGTTTTCCTCTCTTTTGGTCTTTCGTCTGACTTTCCTCTTTTGGCTTTTTACTGTTAACTTATTGGATTCTGTGAATATAAAAGGAAAAAGGTTAACAATAAAAATATTTTTGGTAAACGTTGTTGGATATAAAGAGCCCAAAATGGACCATTGGAATGAACAGTTGATGAAAAGGTTTAAAAAACTGGTGATAAAGTGACTAGATATAGTTTAATATAATTTTGTGAAAAGCATAATATAAATGTAAAAGGATACTAACAAGAGGCTGAACAATGTGTAGACAAGTTTCTTGATTGTGGTGTGATGTTATTGTTGTTGATGATTATGATGATAATGATGATGATAATGAAGAAACAAACATCAAAATAAAGGAAGAAGAGAAATGAAGAGAAGGAGAGGAAAGATGATTGAAAAACAAATCCTGCTCTTTTTTGTGTAAGCCTAGGAAATAGCTTTTTGATGACCTAACTAAACATGTCAAGAAATGAGACTCTTTTGTTAAATACATTAAATCCAAAGTAAACTTTCGCCTTTTTACTTCTTTCATTATTGTACAATTTATTTATCCTTTCGGTAATTTATCAACTCAATTTGCTTCTCCTCTTTGGACTGGATCAAAAGCCAATATAATTGTCGAGTTTACGTTTAAAAACAAAACCAAGAGGTTCACCAGTGACGAGAGAGTGACGAGACAAGTAGAAGTGGGTTTAGATTCTTGATAATTATTTCTTTATCAGTTCAATAGTAATATTTACTTCCCTGGAAGAAAATTTCATTCCTTTCCATGCTTGGAGTGGTGTTACTAGTAACCTTTATAGCGTAATGAGTGTTTTATTTGCTGTAATGTCCATCTACCTTTCAATCTGTCTACATTTTTTACATTTTATGTGTTAAAGTCACTTTTTGGGTTTCCTTCAATCTTTTGATGATTCCATTTCTGTCATGTTATTTTGTTGTCCAATTGATTTGTCTATTGGTTTATCTTTTGTTTTAAATTTGCAATTTTTATTGAAAAATTTATTTCCTTTTCTTGGTTAATTTAGGTGAACACAAGTAGACCCGATGAATTGGTTTATATATTCACTGATTTTAATTCAGATGTAAGATTCTTGGAAGGTAAAAGTTATACAGTTCTTTGTTGCTCCGGGATTGCCATTGATTTGCTCAATACTGTTGCCCGTGACCTTAATTTTGACTACAATTTGTACCTTGTTGCTGATGGTCTTTTTGGTATACCACGTAACGGAGGCCAATGGGATGGTATCACTGCCGATCTGGTTTCTGGAGCTGCACATATAACTTTTTCCGCTTTTTCTGTCACCAGTGCCCGTGTCAATGTATGTACTTTACAGTCTCAACTGCTATTCAATATAACATTTATTTTGTCTTGTTAACCTTTAACAGGTCATTGATTATTCCGTCCCATTCTTCTACTCTGGTGTTTCATGCCTTGCTCGCAGTCAATTCTCGGATGTACCTTTGTCAGCATTCTTGATTCCATTCAGTTATCAATTATGGTTTGCCATTTTTGCCAGTCTACATGCAACTGCTATTGCTGCTGCAATCTACGAATGGCTCAGTCCTTTTGGATTAAATCCGTGGGGTCGACAGAGAACCAAAAATTTCAGCCTTGCTTCAGCCTTATGGGTTATGTATTCACTTCTTTTCAGTCATTTGGTTGCTTTCAAAGCCCCTAAAAGTTGGCCTAATAAGGTAAGAAAATTATTCATTACAATTTAAATTCAAACAAAATCAGCAATCAAATAATCTAAAGTCTCAATTGGTCAAAGTTAGGGGTTCTAGTTTGGAAGGTTTGATCATTTGAGAACGAAAAAGATCACAAATTAATTTAGTCAAAAGTTCTTGAATAATGAGAAGGTTCAAGATCAGAACAAAAATAACTTGAATTTCATTTCTTTATCAGAGTAACGATTATTTGGATAACTTTTGGTGGGTTTTTGAATCCAATGATCCGAATATGCATTGCTCTTGAAGTTGCTATTTATAATAAAATGAACAAAGTTAATCACATTCCCAAGATACAAAAGGATTTATCCGATTTGTCTCTGAATTTTTGCGAATAGTTTAAAAGCATTTATTATGCGAATGCAGACAGAATAGAGAAAATTAATTCTTATAAAATCATTACTTTTGTGGTAACAAAGAGAAACTAAATATCTTCACAAATAAAACATTTAAACTGAGACCCAAAATCAAGTATTGAATGTGAGATGGGATAATTCATCTTATTGAACGAAAATGAAATTTATTATCAACTGAATTGAATGTGTTAAAGGATCATGGAAAAGAGTAAAAAGAAGAAAAATGGATTCACCATTTTACATCATCAGTTCTTGAAGTCACGAAATGAGAATTATTTCAACATTTTTTATGGAAAAAAATGATGAAAAAAAACGAGGAATTGTACCAAGAAAAAGCTATCATTAATCACAAGAATTTTTCTTTCAACTTTTGCTGAAAACGTTAACTTTTCATAACATTGCATGTATCATTTGGTTCGTATTCAAAGTTGGCCTTCTCGTTTAGCTTAAATATTACATTAATTAGAGTTGAAATAGTAGCTAAAGTAAATATATATGTATATTTACTTGAGAAATCTCTTCAATTCTGTTATTCATAATGTTTCAGCATTTTTTTTAAATCAATCTAATATGATGATTTAAGACGATAATTCTTGTAAAAAGCTTTTCCTTGCAAAGTGTATTTAAGGAATGATAATAATGATAGCAGATGCGAGTTAATACAGTCAATCCTTAAATCTATAACTCCAATTGAAATAAATATGTATACATACATAACCTTTTTATGATTAGTTAATATTAATGGTTAATAAGAAAAAATAAATTCTTTACCAATCCATCATCTAATCTGTAGATAGACGAGAAAAAAAGCAAATGTAAATTTCATTCTTTACATATTTTCTTGCTTCTCTTCCAACAGGTATTAATAAATCTATGGGGTTGTTTCAGCGTCATTTTCCTGGCCACTTATACAGCCAACATTGCAGCTCACTTTGCTGGTCTTTTTTCAAACGAAGAAATCAATGACTTTCATGATGGAACGGTAAGTAAATCATTATTCATTTCACTTGTCAGTCAATATTGCAATCCTCACCCTTAAATCACTTGTAATATATAGTTTTACTTTTATTATTTTTGTCCCTTGTTTTCATTCATTATCAACAGCAACAGCAGCATGAAACTATCGGTCCATAATAAGATAATTATTATTGTTGTGTTGTGTACTTTTGATCGGAATAGGTGAAAAGAGAAAATATTTCCATTGACTTCTTGGTGAAAATGAATGACCAAAAAATGGAAGACATTCTTTCTTCTTGCTCCTTTTACTCGACTCTTGGCTTCACTTGGCTTTTTCCTTTACTCTTTGCTTGTCCTTTTTTTCTGCCCAACTTTCACTTCTATTATTATTAGCACTTATTCAGTATCAGCCTGGAACAAAAGAGAAGAAATGTAAGCAATGAAAAGTGAAAATAGTCAAGTGTAAATGATAAACAAAGGGAATGGAAAGACAAAAGAGGATTCTCTCTGTATACTAACCTGTCAGCCATTTCAATGAAAAATGTAATTAGCTGTAAGCTTCAACAACTTCTCCAAGATTTAACATTGACAGGTAACTGTCTAGTCACTGTGAGTCAACTTATCAGCCTCAGGGAATCATAATGATGGTATGGTGATAGTTTTGCAACATCATTCTGTTCATTTCCAGATTAATTCCCATGTTTTTAATCCACGCTTTTTTTTCTGTGTTGCTCCAAAAATATAAAACAATGGCAAAAATAGATTCCCAGTAAAATTGTTTGACTGCAAAAATCTTTCAAACACTACACTTGGTAATATTAATGGTGATAATATTAATGAAATGATTCTTCCAAGCCAATGAGTTGAGCATCATGAGCAAGTGGATAATTTGCTTGATTATATTATTTTACCTGGAAAAATTGAAGAGAAAAAGAAAAGAGGTTAAAAAAACAATCGTTAAATGCAATATTTTGCTTGTTAACAGACAACATAAAAGATGAGACTCCATTGAGATTTCGCCTACTCACCGATTTGCTTGAAATTTTACCTCCTGATAAGAGCCTTTTAATTAGTTTTAGGCCAAAAATACTTTGGACAGATATCGACGATCGGCTCTCATCCTTTGCCTCCAATTGTAGAGTGACGTAATTTGAGGGAAAATATAAAGAGTTAAAACTGTTATTTGTTGCTGCTGTTCACACCTTTTTAAGTATTGATTTATAACAAGAGATGACACTTTTTGATAAAGATTATCATTATTATAGTTATTATTTGCACCATTTTTTATATCAATCTAATAATCAATTGTTAACCTCCCAGGAAGCTCTGTTCAATCTGATTTTGTAATTTGATCATCATTTATTTAGCCAATTACTCGTCAATCGACTCAGTTAAATGTAATACATAAATTTCTCAAATGAATCACAATAATTCATAATGATAATGGAATTATTTTATCCATTTTCAGTCTCTTCTTTTTTCTCCCTGCCTTATGTGACGTCAAAATTGTATCTTTCATCGAGGTTAAATTGTTATACACTCTTATTCCTCATGAAAATGATCATCTTCACTACTTTTTTGTTCCGTCTTTCATCATATTCTCCTGATTTTTTCTTCCTCTTGAAACATTTTCCTTGTCTTTTGTTTCTCTTCCAAGTAAAAACAGCAAAAAAAAGGTTCACCATGTTTGGGCTTGTTTATCTTTTCTCTTCTTTACCACTCTCTTTCCAAAGCATTAATAATATCATTTGATCCTTTCTTCATCTCAATCATCTTTATTATCTCTTGTGTTTCAAAAACAGTCTTGGAGGCAAAATAAGATGATACTAGATAAGAGAGAAGAAGCGAAAAGTTGAATGAGAATTTCCATGAAACTGTAAATTTTTGAACCAGACTTGATAACATTATTGATTTGAAGAGTGGAAAGCCGTTGAAGAAAGCCCAAAATGAAAATTAGGAACCAAAGTCTGGAAAAAAGAAGAAAAGATTAAAATAAATAAACAATAGAATCAAATAAATGTCAAGCAAAAATGTGTGTAAAGGTTGATGTAAATGATGATGAAAAGATACATTCCTGTGCAGGTGACTCTGATGGATATCATTTTGATAATTTGAAGAGTTGTGCATTCTGTTAGGAAACAGTTTCCATTGGTTTATTCATCAATTGGAGAATCCATTTCATCACAATTTTTGCCTTTTCACATCACAAGTATTATCATTATTTTCACCCAATATTCTTACCTTATTCTCTCATCTGTTTCATCTGTAAATCGTGTTGAAGAGTTTGGACGAACAAGAATATTTCTATCATTTCCATCGTATGTTGTCAAAAAAGCTACGATTCACATCAACGATTATTCATTGAACCATTCCTCTGTCTGTGTATAATAACCAAGTTTTGCTTTTATATTTTTTTCATCCACTTCTTTTTCATTTCTTTACTTGACTCTTCACTTGATCATCATCACCATCATAATCATCATCATCTCCAGACTTTCCTATGCATCTCCATCTCTCGCTTTATGCCATTTTTCCTCCTTCTTTTCTCTTTCCTTGGTAACTTTGTCATTTCCTTTTCCTATTCTTTATTTTTCTTTTTCATCTTTACAAGAATATCCTTATTCTTTGCCATTTTCTGTACCATCTTTACTTTTAAAGAGGAAAAAAAAACTCTTTTTTCTTGCTCAAAATCTTTCATCTTTCCATAGTTTGGCTCACCAATCTTATCTTTTCTGATAACATTTCACCATTCTTTTCTTTCCTTTTCTGCACCAATTCAACTACTCTATCCATATTATTCACCAAAAACCATGTAGTCATCAGCATCATCAGCAGCATCTCGATCCATCTCAGTCTTTGTTTTCCCTCTCTCAACTTGTATATTGATGTCAAGTTTATATATGATAGAAAATATGGAAAAATGGTTTTCCTAAACAGAAGGTAAAAAATGGTAATCACGCTAACCATTTTAAATAATAGCAGGGGACAAAATAGTCGGTTTAAGATGATGTTTAAATTTTCACAATAAACACTTAAATCTTTCATCAATCCATGCAAATTTCATCTTGATGTTATCATGAATCTCTTTGTGAGCCAATCCAACTCAATCACAGGTTTTGAACTTTTTTTCCAATTGGTTTCCAGAAATGTTGCAATGTTGTTGTAAAAGTGTATTAAAACTTGAATCCCTGAAGGTATTTCGATGATCATCAGGATGGGTAAATTTTGGTAAATATGGATACAGTTTTTAATTTGAGTTTTTGTTTTTGCCCAGCAATATCTAACATTTAACTCACATCTCAAGTGGGTAACTGGTTGTAGTCCTGAGGCTTAAATTCCTGGTTTTCACCCAGAGGTCTCAGGCTCAACACCAGTAGCCTAACCGTAAACAGCGTAGGCTGTAGCTTGTCAAGCTTAGTATGGCATAGGGGGTGTCAATGTTACTCTAACTGTTTATCGGTTAGGTGACCAAGTCACTCAGGTTAGTTGGGTGTGCTGAGCACTCACTAACCTTTTTACTGTTTAAATCTTGTTCTTATTTGATAATCATGCTACTAGGCGTGAATCGAATGAATTCCGCTTGTTTCAATTTCTATTTGCATGAACTTGGTGTTAGCCATTAGCATTTCCAATCATCATTACTTATTCAAGGTGACAAGGGCAACTAAAACGAAACAAAAGAACTGCAGTCATTTTTTGTCGGTAATTTTGGCAACAGGTGAAGAGTAGATTGAGTGATTGAGTCAAGATTGAGTCAAGTTGGGATTTCCGTGAACAGACTAACAAAGTAATGAAAGTAAGTCTTCATGATTGAGTTGAGAGCATTTCAATCAGTCCGCAAGTTACGATTATATTACCTTTGAATAAAATAAAAAGATAATGACTTGGATGACCATTTGATTATCACAAAAAGAACATTGAATAAATTGAGATTTCAATCTTAACGGTTCACTAAATTTAATTGTAGCAGCTGAATGTCTCACAATGGAAACATTTTCTATTAAATCCTTTCATTTGGATTGTGAATTAGCTTCAGGTTCAAAGTTATGTACCAGAAACCAACTTTACAAGAAGCCAGTATTTTACTCCATATGATGGCATAATTTCTGATTCGAGAAACTTGCGACCAGGTTGCGTATCCTGGGCTACCTGTGTACAAAAATGGATACAAAACGAGCCTGAGCTTTATATAAGCTTGAGCTTGCATAAAGCAATTTAAATTAGTGAAAATATTATAGATAGAGTACTTGAAAAAACGAGAATGAGGCGAAACTAACCTTGTCGACAAAATATTTCACCAATAGAAGAGTCCGTGAGTTTCAGTCACATTAGAACGGTTATACCTTGATGAGTTCATTTGAATTAATGGCTCATTCAACGTTAGCTAAACAACTAGTATTCAGTTATTTAGATTGACCCAATCTTTCATTTTTCCCTCTAATCCTAGGTTCTTCACTTGAATCAATGACATCTTCCTCCAAATGATATTAATATAACGTTGTATTGAGTAAATGGTTCACTCATCAGATTGTCTTGTATTCATGCAAAGAAAGGATATTTCTCTTTTATCTATGAGAACTATTCTGGAATCATTCATTCATCCAAGCTTGTCTTCCCAGTCCTTTCAAGTTATCTTGAGATGTTGAGGCTTTTGAAAGAAATACTTTGTAAGGTATGGAGAAAGATCTCACTTACAAAGTAAAAAGCATGTTAATGGGAAGTAAATTAAAGGCCACTTTGGATAGCTTCATTATGTCTTGAAATTCCATTCTTTTTCTTGAATCAACGTTTTCGTATTTTCTCCTCATTCCTGTGAATATCTAATATTTATACAGTGTTTAGATAATAATTATCCATCGTCTCTTATTTCATCAACTTTTTCCATTATATTATTTCTTTTCTTTCTTGTTATATCTTCTTTTTCCTCCTTTTTATTCATCTTATTTGCCAGTATTTCTCGTAATGGACAGTAAGAGTAAATGATGGATTAACTCTTGCATGTTTTATTATTGTGCCAAGCATCGTCTAGTGGTTATCTAACAAAAGGATTAATTTACTTCAACTAAGTGTAGATCTTTGCTTCCGATTAATCATTGGTCCTTTTATTATAAACAGGGTACATTAGACACCAGCAGCAGCAGTAGTAGTAATAATATGACAATAATATTTGATAAGTGATCCTGAAAATTGAAGACAAAAAGTGTTAAACTATAGGGTGTATAAAAAGTTTATGTAGGGGAAAAAATATCCCTCAATTGCGTATAAACAGAAAATTATTTTTTTTCCCCCTTTTAAATGATTCTTGTATATCATAAAGAATACCGATAATGGTGTATTTTAATTAGTAATCTGGTAACTAACCTAAATAATTTGGGACCAATCCAATAATGACATGGTTGATGATGATGACATGGGAATTGAATCTTCATTCTTTTATCTTCTCTCTCTTTTGGTTTCCATTTGTGATGACAGATTTTACCCTTTCTTTGCTTTTCGATTCTCCTCAATCCTTTGATTATTACCTTAACACCCCATTGGAATTTATTGTTTCACTTATGTCAGGGAAAAGCACATTTAATGACAATCTTTAAATTGACATATTAAACAACCAAAAATTTCTTTTCTTTTCACAGTTAATGTCAATGAGAACAGGAGTGGCTCGATCCAGTGCATCTGAAGGGTATATAAAAAAGGAAAATATGGTTCTTTATGAACACGTTCAAAAATTTATGTTTAAAGATTTTTACGAAGGATTGGATAGATTAAGGTAATTATTAAAAATTAACTTACATTGAACCAAAAAAGAGTTGACAAACGTTTATATTCCGGGTAGTTGGATTCAAATTAGTTGATGTATGGCAAAATTGGAGCCATTTTTCCTTCTTTTATGATTCAACTTCATTTTTCTGGTTACTCTTTGCTTTTTTTTCTCGTTGCATAAAAACATTTAGTTTTACCCTTTTTGTCATCCACAGTCTAGATAAGAAAATTTTTTCTCGCTTAACAACTGTAAAGCTATCAATTTCTTCTCAACTTTTCTCTTTTCATTCTTTATCTCATTTTTTTTGTGAGTGACTCAGTTTTCTCCAAATCAAGCCGATCTATTTCAAGTTACAAAACATTATTCAGGTTACATTACATTTTTCACATCATGGCAGCTGTAATGTCCCATTAACTTTCTTACCAAATCTTTATTTTATTTTCATGTTCTGTATTGTTTTCACTGTGTTTTTTTTTCTCTCTTCAATGTAACTTTGGCTTCTGAAACAACAAACTGAAGGACAAAAGTCAGGAACAGGAAAAAAGTGTCAACTTCCTCTATTTGATGCAACTATTAGTGATGGAAATGAAGATAAAATTGAAAGTTAATCATAATTTAAATGACAAAAAGAAACTTCTGATACATTGTAAAGGAAAGTTGATCTCGTCAGTTACAAAACTTCATTAAAGTAGACGCTCGTGTTTACACTTTTAAAAATCTTTGGTGTAAATTGTCTTAACAAGGAGTGTATAAAATGAATCAATTGTCAACTCTCAATTCAAATTAACATGGTAAAAATAACGCCAAACAAAAGTGAAATTGATAAAAATGATATTGTATTTTCTTTGATTGGTCAGCTTTTCCTTCCTTCAAACAAAGAACCATTTTAATGTTGCCAACTTCCCATTTGAACTGCCATTGATCACGGTTATTTGTTTCAACTGGTCTTTTCATCTTGTTTGTCTACATCTGTTTAACTATTTCACTCTAATCTAATTGTTAATATTAAAATTACTAGCTATGAATACGAATACAATTGAAATGAATATAATATAGCACAGTTCAATAATCATATTGTTCAATTGTAATTAGCAGAAGTTATTAATATCGTCTGGTTTTTTCTCGTCTGGTTAACTAATATTTTTTTTCTTTCTTCTTTTCTTTGTTCTCCTTTTTACCCGGCATTTCTTTTCAACCCTGATGTATAAAATGATGAATCCTATTGGATATATTCATTTCTTGACAATAGAAATGAATCATTGCAAGTTTTAATAAGTGATACAGCAATACTTGATTATTTCCGAGCAAATGAACCAGGATGTAACTTAAAGCTTCTCGGTGATTCCATTTTTGACGATGCTTATGCCGTAGGAATGCAAAAAGGTTTTCCTCTAAAGGTAAGAACAAATCTTGATTTTTAGACTCAAATTTTTTCCTTCAATAGCTCCAATTATTTACTCCAATTTATTCTAAACTCTCATTTACCTTCAATCCTTTCTTATTTCCCTTTTCCTTTCTTTTAAACCCACTTTGTTTTCCTGGTCTTTCTGGTTTCCACTGGTCAACACCTTCTTTGGCTTACAACTTGATGTGATTCCCTCCTTTTTCCAATCATCATCTCAATAATTGGACTTTATCTTGGTGATAGAATGCAATCTCCGATTTAATTTTAAGATACAATACATATGGATATTTAGATCAATTGCAGCGTAAATGGTATGGCCGAGTTTCTTGTCTTGAAAATTCACTCAACAATCTCAATATTCCTAAGCCATTGAGTGTACGTGCCGTTGCGGGGGTTTTCATAATGCTTCTTTGTGGTCTTGGGGTTGGCATTTTTATCCTTATGGTTGAACATGTTGTCTTTAAATATGCTCTGCCTAAGCTGCGAAAAATGCCCAAGGATACTTACTGGAAAAGTCCAAATCTAATGTTTTTCAGTCAAGTAAGTTATGATAAACCATAATAATAAGCTATGGTATTACAAGTGAAACCACCTTTGAACACCAGAATTAATCAAGTTCATGACAATGTCTTCCTATCAATATCATAACGATATGTGTCTACTCTGTTTATTTGGCTTTTTATTGATGATGACAACCTTATTTTTTTTCTCTCTTCTTATCATAATCATCAGTTAAATATTCAGTTTAACATGAACTGCATATGTTATTCCTTTTTTCCCTCCTGTTTCTTATTATACTGTATGAGAGATCGTTAACACTGTTAGACATCATTACTTTGATGATGTTGATCACCATGAACATTATAGTATGATATAACAAAATAGCTGCTAGCCAATTGCTTACAATTTTAATAATTTTTCATAAACTGATCTATTAACTTAACCATGAAGTGATTATTTCGACAGCTTACCATTGTCTTAAATATTATTCAATTTCTTATTCTTAAGTAAACTCACCAAAACAAATAAGATACTTGCCTGAAAATAATCTGGAAACACCTTGAAGGCAATCCACGTTAAATGAGAAGTTAGGTCTCATTTCTGGTTAAACTCTGCACTTTTTCATTTACTTTTTTTTTCCAAAAGCACAAAAACTACTCTGTTAACCCAAAACGTAAAGGTAAACTCATCTGGTTGATAATGTTAAACAATTCCCTGTTTATGGTAATTTTGTTTCAAATAAATGATCCACTTGTTATTATTTTATCCAAGGCATAACAGTCAAATAGTCGGTTTTGAACCGTTAATAACTTATCGTCCCTTTGCGCGAATTCAAAAATTTTTAATGATAGTTAATCTTGATTTATGAACACTGATTTATCGTTGTACCTGTGAGTTTACCTTGAGTGTTAAACTGTTATTTTGTTGTCCAACAAATACTGAAAATAATAATCAGATTTACCTCTTTTGAATGTGAGTACAAAGGCTTGAATAGTGAATTAGTTAATCTTTATTGAATCAATTTCAACTCCCATTGCATATTGCTGAAATTGATTAGCTTTTAGCTTGAACTAATGCCACACATAAACAGTATTTTAAAACCATTTTGATGGATAAAAATAGTTTGATTGTGGTTAATTATTCACTGAACCATTAATCCATTTCAAAGCCTTTCCTGACTGTCCATCGATGCAATCAAAATGTAGTAATGGTTAATAATAGACTGAACATTAAATAAAATTTTATTCCGTCTCATTGGTTATCCTTTTTTAGAATCATTCTTGATTCTTCTCTATCAATCCTGCTAAGAATTTATCACATAATTAAATTAGCTACATAAATTGTTAAATCAATGCCCAATCCTGTGATCCATTTCTTGTTGATCCATCAAATTCTCGTTAAATCTCATTTTTAAACTTCTTTTTACATTTCTTTTTCCTTCCATCCCAAAAAAACGATAATTTATCTAATCACTTCGTTTTTCTCTCCTTTTCTCTTTTTTTTTCTCAACAGAAATTATATCGATTTATCAATACAGTTGAACTTGTATCACCACATCATTCAGCCAAGGAAATAATGTCAAGCCTGAGAACTGGACAGATAACAAGCCTTTTCCAGAAAAGTTTAAAGAGGGTACGAAGCATTTTCAAATTGACCAACACCAGGAAATAGAGAACCACTTCAATATCCTTCAACCTTCTTTCCCTTTCCAGTTTATATTGCCATATCTATTCAACTATTTCATTTTTTTCCCTCTGTCCATTCAATTCTCAACTCAATTTAATGTGAATTAATCTTTGATAGTTTTTTTCGACTCAAACCTAATGGTTAAGAAAGTTATACTCTTTGGATTGAAAGATGAAAGCTTATGACCCGTTTCAATTGACTTGTTATATCAAATTTTGAGTCAAGGATTGCAAGAGATTGACATATTTCACTCTGATTAACCTTCTAAATCTATTCACATTATCCATCAAATTCATGCTTAAACATTGACTACCTTCACAGTATTTTTTTTATTCTGGTTTTTAGAGATTAACTGTTCATGTGAAATTTTGAATCAACCCTACTTATCAAACGATAAATAGGGTTATTCCATACTCATTCCATCCAGTATCAGGAGAGTTTAACTCAAGATATTAATCTCTTGAAGCTTCTGCTTTTTTTGATACTTCTTCATAACACTCTTCCAACCTTCACTAGCATCACTTTCCACCCTTATGTCTTTATTTAATCAATTTTTCTCAGACACTTTCTATCATCATTATGTAGCCATTATAATCGATCAACAGTTAACTTTACCTTGCCTGTTTACTTAATCAAAAATTTAATCTAATGTATTTCAATGCATGTAGCTTCTGAAGTGTAGTTTCTCTCCTAGAAAAAAACATTTTCAATGTGATATCTGCAATTTTTGCTGCTCTTGAAATTGTTGGATATTTCAATGATTGTGGAGTGTTTATTATTGGCAGTTGTTTGTTTACAAATTTCCTTTGCATAAATACAAACAAGAATAGCCAAGTGACTTGAAAAGTTAAAGGTCAACCCAAATTAAACCTAATATTTGAGACTCTTTCCATGTTATAACTTGAGATAGTCACTTGAGATGATGACTCGACCAATGAAATGAATTTGCTTTCAATTAAGAGAGATATCAATGGATTATCGCTTTCAATGTTAACTATAAAATTGGTTGAAATTTGAGTAGAAAATTCAACTCCTTTTTCACCAATCATTCATTACGCTTTTTTATGCAATCACTAATCATTAGTTGATAATGAAATTGAGCTTCAAAATAAATTGGCATATCAATTCATCTTTTGCGTCTCAGCAATCCCAAACTCTAATATAAATATCGGTTGAATTGGACTCTAATTATCCCGTTGGCAATTGGTTGTGATTAACAATCTGAAAGAGTGAATGCAATATGAAATAACATTTTCATTGACTGATCGCAATGCTAAGTCTATCCACAATTTGATTAATAATGAGATGGAGAAAAAATCGATCATTATCAACAGTCTTCTATTCATTATTTTCATTATTTCCCATCTTGGTGTTTGTTGCTTCATTTTCAACGATTATCAATCAGTTTGCTGATTATTATTGTTTCTTTTATATTATGATTGTTATATTTATATTGTTTTTTATTACTATTTTCTTCTTCTCATATCCATATTTAGAAAGCGAAAGAAGAAGCTCGTCGTCGAAAGAGTAAATCACAATTTTTCGAGATGATGCAGGAAGTACGAAAAATGTGAGTAATAATGAAGAGCAGAAAAATGAAAGCAAGTGAATTATGACCATTGCAAGATTAAATTAATATTTGCTCATCTTTGCTTTTCGTTTCTATTACAATCCATTACACTATTATTAATATTACTTTTTTTCTGTTTTTGATTGCCATTATTTAGGGTTCAAGAGCAGAAGGATGAACAAAGAATTGGTCTTGTACCTAATTTACCCAATCAACCAATCTTAATGACTTCACCACCAACATTACCTGTCAATCAGGACAGTTTTCTCAGTGAAAATGATTCTATTGGTGGTGCTACAACCATACGAACCTCTTCGATTAGATGGAAAGAACCTTCATTTACCACCGAAGATGAGCCAGCTTATATTCATCAGCCTGTCCTGAAAACACCTCGAACAAAGCCGCCATCAAGTTTAAAAAGTAGCGATTCTCGAAGTCATTTGGGTAAAACTAAAGGATCAACATCTTTAAGTTCAACTGATTTGTGTCCACCTCCATATGGCTTTTGTCGATCTCCATCATCTACAAGTTCAATTGGCTCAGATAACAAGCAATGGTGTGCCACTCAGATTATTAATATGAGAGAAAATGTTAGCATCTCATTGGAAGATATTGCTTTACCTGGTGACTCTGGGTGTGGATTAGGTTCCGCTAAAAGAAAATATAAACACAATGAGATGAACATAATTAAAACCTGGTCTTTCGATGATCTCTCTATTCTTAAACAGCAACTTAGTATACCAGCAAATTCACCAAGTGAACAAGATAAAATGACCCTTCTTTATTCCCAATCTCCTCGAGCCTCCATGATTATACCAAGTCCACGTCACACCAGTATGGTTGACACTGTTAAAATTCAATCCATGAGCAAGGAAGATATTATTTCTCTCTGGCGAAGCTCAGAAAGAGAATTATTAAACAACCTTCAAGATGCTTTACAACAAAAGAAAGCTTTAGAGGAAAGGTTAGCTGTTCTTACACGTATCCTGATGAAACCTCCTTGATGATAACCCAATTTAGATCTTTACATCAAATGATTTAAAGAAGAAAAAATATGGAGAATCAATAACTATTGAAATTTACAATTATTTCAAATAACAATTTATTATATACGAAAGAAATTTATCAGCCAAATGAGCACAAAATGTCTTTAACTTTCATGGTTAAATCGGTCAACACATTGGTGAAAAAACAATCAATCCATTTACGTTTTAAATTGACACTGGGATGTAACTGGAACCATTTTTCCATTTAATGATGCTGTCAAAATTGATTGGTTGATCAAATCAATCAAGAGATGATTATATTTTAAAATTTGTACAATTCTGATGGCCAAAGAAAACTGATTAAACTGCTAATAAATTAATTTACTTGGAGGAACCTCGAGAAAGCCGAGTAAATGGTTTATCTGGAAACAAAAAAAAGATGAAATTTACTTTGAATGGATCCGTTTTGGCTAATTTAACTGGACAAATCAACACAATGTTGAGATAAATTAATCAAGTTCACAACAAAAACAGTTCGATATATTTCATTTTTGCTCTTTTCAATATTCAAACATCGATAAGAAATTTTTCTTCACCATTTCGTCATTCAATCTCTACATTCATCAACGTTTCTTTTTTTGCAATCATCGAATTTTTTCATCACAAATGAAATCTGAATAGCCATGCAGGATTTCATCATTTCTTCACTTTCTTCGTTAACCCAATTGGTTTACCTCTTTTAATCTCTTCTCGTGCAGGTATTAATTAGTATATCTGATCTTTTTAGAGAATGATTTTGATACCAGGAAAAATCTGTTTTCAATTTCAAAAACAGAGTAAAAAATATTCGAACAAACTCACAATGAAATGAACTAATGTTAATTATGATTATGCAATTTTCATTAACCGGTTAAATTGAAATACAAAGTCAATTGAGATTTTTTGCGAAAACAAATGAATAGAAAGAAATCATCTGAATCAAAAAGGAGTTTTATGCAATTTCATATATTTTCATCAAAATCTTTCAATCTCGATCTACAATATAGATAAATCCTTTTCCGTTGATATTCCATATCTTTTGAATCAATCCTACAATCACTGTTTAAAGCATACAGAAACATTATCACCTTTTTTCAAATCTAGGCTTCTTTTTGGTTATCGATTCAACCCATTTATATCGTTATTAGATTAATTAATTATGTCTTCGTATTGCAATCCACTCACTTCATCCATTATGACTATTTGGTTATCATCTTTTGAGCCTGATTGGAACACAAACATCGACCATTCAAGTCAAATGACAATTATGAATGACAATTCCATCAAATCCTTTATGGGCTCTGTTTTTATCCTTATTATTGTTATCAATGTTCTTAAACCATTGTTTATTTATTGTTAAATAATAGAAAATCGTTTGACACAATGTTCTCTCATGCTGAATGATTTCACCAAGTCAGAACTGCATAGATGTTTCACTTTTTGGTAGAAGACGTTTTGCCTTTTTTTGTTTCCTCAGTTTGAATTTTAAATTTTAAATTTAAATTTGTCCCAAAAATCAGACTCCTTGTAAAACAAAATAAATAATCACACCTGGTTGGATGAACCAGAAAATCATCGCACAAAAAGCTGGGTGAACCAGATGAAATTGTCATGGGAATGTGAAGGTAGCAGGAGAAAAAATTCAACTTCAAGTTCAATTCAAGACACTTCAACAAAACAATCTCGATCAAACTGTTGAAATAAAAGAGAAAGATTGTAAATTAATAAAGATTTTAAAAACACTTAACTTATTTGTTTCTTCATTTAAAAGACTTACCTGATTTATACGCTGAAGTAACATTGAATCATGAAAAGTGATTGTAATGTAAAAACATATTTAATCTCACCAAGTAGCATAATAATTTAACGATGGGAAGTAATAGTCAGTTAATTATTCTGATAAACATATGGAAAAAATCCCATCGATTGTTTAAATTGTCATATCAAGGATTTAACAGACACATAAGAATTCAGAGCTGATTTCCCGCGATTTCAGACGTAGATTACATCACAATCCCCTTTTGTTGTACAAAAACTAAAATTAAATAAATTACGTAATGATAATAAGTAAAACGTAAAAAAAGATAAAAAAATCAACTGTTCACCAATTAATTAAATAAGTCGTTTTGGATGATATAATACAAATAACAATTGAAATCAAAATTGATTATGATTCAAAAAATACATTCAATTCAATTGCTGAGTAAATACCAGGCAGTGTTTCAACTAAAGCGGGTTGCACTATTTCTCTAGCAAGTAAGTAGATGGCTCTGAAAAAGAGCAGAGACATCTATTGTTTACTTTCGTTTACCTGATTCCTTTCCATTCTTTCTCGTATAATCACGTTTTCGCTACTTATAAATCTTTTGTTAAAATTCAGTTTATAGCGCGTTCCTTCGCTCTGCTCGTTTAAAATTTTATTGCTTGTGTTGTTTCCGTTTTTTGTTTCACAATTCATTTACCAGTGGGTTTATTCTTCCCTCTTCAATTAATTGTTAGTGTTATTGATACAACGAGCTGAGTTCTCGAACATAATTTAATCATGGAGGTCAGTTATGGCATTGGAGTGAAAAATAGGTATGCTCTTTTCATGGCTGATGAGAATGTCGACCCACTGGATTTACTTTCTAAACCTTTAAAAGATAGTAGTTCAAAAGGTTCTGCCACTATCAACGAAACAAATAAAATTCACTCCTCTGAATCCCATTCTGCCTCCGCTGCCCCGGTTAAAGACAATCAAGCTTCCCAAGGTAAAGGGAAGAGTGTTAAGAAGGTTACTTCTAATTCCAATGAAAACCAGGAATCCAAAGGATCTGCAAAAGAAAGGTGCTGCCTCTTTTTTTCACGTTCCCCTCTCCCTCCACCTTAACTTGTCTCGTACTTATTCTTTTTCTCCTACTACAATCAATGTGCCTGTTAAATTTTCATTTCATTTAACCTTCCCCCCTTTAAATTGATTTTTAAATTTTTCATTTTCGTTGAAAAAAAATTAATACTTTAATTAATTTTTTATGTTCATTTAACAAAGTCTCTTCAAATACCATCGTGCTTCCTATACCCTGTCTTTGCGACACCATTTTGATACCATGTGGTTTTGCTGCTTTCATCCCTATCTCCCTCGATCCTATTTCTCTTCATTTTCTAGTTTATCTTTGTTTTACTCACGGCTATCTTTGTCTATTATCCTTATTGAAAACATTTATTGTTTTCTTTTACTCTTTTTCATCATCATGTGAATTAATTTATTATCTTAATTTGTAAAAAAAATAATTTCAGGTCTAGCAATGCTGGACAGAACAAGGACATTGTAAATGGCGATCGTGCTGGCGGAAACCGTGACCGCGACCGCGACCAAAGAAACAGATCTGGTCCAGGCCGAGGAGGTCGACCTGGTAACAGAGGTGGACATCAAGAAGGTGGACGAGGCGATCATGATGATAATGGGCGTCGATTCAATCGGGAACATCGGGACAAAGAAAATCGATCAGATTTTGAAGGACGAGGTGAAAGAAGAGAGGGTAGAGGTCGATCTGACTTTAACCGAGGTGAACGCAGAAACCGAGACGAGGGCGGTAACCATGAAGGCCGGGAAAACAGAGAACAAAGTATATAAATTTTGTCTTGTTTAAAAGTTGTTGGTTAAATAATTTGTTGGCATGTTTGATTTATCCAAAGAGTCATGCACCTTAAATTGTTTTTTACAATTCTCTTTCACTCTTTGGAGTAAACAACGCTTTCGATGATAAGATTCTGTTATCTTATCCGTAATTTTACGAAGGCTAGCTTGTTGAATATCTCTATTGTGTTTCAATATTTATTATCATTGTTTCTGAGTTTTTTTACTAACCATATTCAGAAAACGATTTCACTCTATTTGTAAAATATTGTTAGTTTCTAGAGAATATTCACACTTTATTGATTTCCTTTTTAGGACGTGATTTCAAAGATTCTGGTGCTGACACCAACAAAGATGCTGCATGGGAAGCAAAGGAATGGGGTGGCGCCGACGCTTGGGATACCACCACTTTTGGCGATTCATCATCCGATAACAAGAAACCCAGAGATCGAGATGAAAATAGAGAAGCTAGAGGTGGAGCTCGTGACGGTCGTGACGGTCGTGGACGAGGCGGATTCAGAGGACGAGGTCGAGGACGAGGTGGAGGACGAGGTGGTTTCGATAACCGAGGCAAACGAGAATATGATCGACATTCAGGGTCTGACAAAACCAGTATAAAACCCGTTGAGAAACGTGATGGAGCCGGATCATTCAATTGGGGTTCTCCCGTTGAAGACTGGGGTCGAGAACCTGATACACAAGCCTCACTCGAAGACACACAGGAAAGCTCAGAGGAAAACAGTAAGAAGTGAGTAAAGTTATTCTGTTTGCTTTTGTTAACTCACCAATCAATTAGTTATTCAAAGTTTTGTTTAATTAACTGCTGTATCCTTATATACTATTCAAATCGACCTGAACAGTCATACTAACATCCTTTCATCTCCCTATAGCTATCCGTTCTTAATAGATTTTATTCTCTTTCAACTCACATTAGACTGAAGTAATTTCATTTTTATCTTTACATAAGATTTAATCCATTGGTTTTTGAACCTCTTCACTTTCAATCCGACTCTTGTGAATTTTAATCATCTTATCTAATATGTTTGTTTTCACGTCAGGCAAATATATGATTCATGTTTCTCATTTTCACTTTGCTTCACTCAAATTTCTTTAAATTAATGGTCTTTCCCTCTTTCATGCTCCTGCAATTGTATTTTCTCCTCGCTCCCTCATTTTCTTACCTTTTGCAATTTCACCTGCTTATTGTGTGTGTGAATCTCTAATATCGTTCTTGAAAAGTTGATTACCTTCACGTGTGTTAAATATTTCTCGCATATCAGTATATATTTTCCTTCTACATCTGTGTAATTAGCTTATTGCTTATTTTTTTCAAGTAATTTACCTCGATTCACTTGTTTTTCCAATTTGAATTTACCGTGTGATTAATTTCATTATTCCACGAGTCTTATTTGATACATTTAATTTATATTTTACTTTTTTCATTAAAACAGAGAAAATAAAATTGGTGACTGGAATTCTGGAGAAGAATCTTCTAAAGACGAAATTAAAACCGAAGAAGAGCAAGCTAAAATCGAGCTGAGCTATGATGAATGGAAGAAGAAGGAAGATGAGAAGAGGGTAGTTCCAAAATGGAACATTCGAAAGCCAGGCGAAGGAGAAGAGAATAATCCTGAGTATAAAAAAGGCTATGTGCTCAAGAAAAAAGATGATGATAACGCTGATGATGACGAATATGAAGAAATCGAAGTGGTAAGAGTTGAGATTATCTCATAATTTTTCACACCTCCGTCAATTTAAGCCGATTTTTCTGTCCAATTTTATGACAAGAAAAACATGCTACGCCGGAGAGATTAATTGTTCGTTCACGAGGCCTATGACATCCTATTGTCCATGGTTGTTTTAAAATGTACTAACATCTTTTTCTTTCATTATACAGGAAATAAGGCACGGAAGAGAAAAGAAATTGTTAGATATAGAAATTAATTTCAAGGATGAAAATCGTGACATGAGGAGAGGACGGGGTCGTGGAGGTCCAAGAGGTGGAAGAGGATCTGGACGTGGTCGGGGAGACAGGGAAGGCGACCGTTCTGATCGACGAAGAGGAAGAGACACTTCTAAACAATCAGCTCCAAAAGTTGACGATATGGAAGCTTTTCCATCTCTTAATGCTTAAGCATAAGACATAAAAAAGTAACACAAAAGTTGCGAGAAACACCATGGATATATACTTTTTTTTCGTAATCTGCATTCAATAGCGGAAATGGGTTCGATTGATACAATACTCAATCAAAGTAGCCCTTTAAAACTCGTTATCTCGCTCCTTAGCCATGGCTCAAAACTATTTCCCCATCTATTGAAAATAAACTCTGTTTATTCAATAAATTATTTATAAAATTAATCGTTTCATACATAATTATTTATTCTGATACATTATAATCGGCACTTATATACTTTTTCCGAAATATTTTCATGAACACGACCATCCAAAGAAAGATGAATGCGGTTAAAGCTAACATAATCCAAATCCATAGTTGACAAGATCGACGGACAAACTCACTCAAACGGTCACTGCTTTTTTTCAACACCGATGAATTGACATCAGCAACATTAGTTGTCGACTCGATAGTTTCCACGTCTTTTCTAATTACTTGACTAGATTTAATTGCAAACTCTTTTAAATCTTTGGTAAAATCAAGCATATCAGCTGCTGCTTCTGCCTGAATTAAAAGTGTTTCTCCCAGTAACCGACTATCATTTTCACCGGCCTTTGATTCTTTCATTTTCTTTCCTGCACCAAAACGATGTCTCAAACTATCACTTGGCTCATGATTACCATTTAAAAGTTCATCTCTAACCTCTTCAATGTATTTAGCTTTTGACTTAATTCCAATTTCTCTTGTTTTACATGTTGATTCGGTTGTTGCTGTTGATGGAACGGGTGACAATATTTGACAAGCAAGTAACTTTTGAGATGAACTTTTCAACTTATCCAGGTCAACCAACCCTTTTAAAAATTTAACATTGCGTATGTATTCAGCTAATTCATCTTGATCTGATTTTAAGATATCCATCCGTCTGAGCTCTCCAAGCTTCTCTTCCAAAGAAATTAAGTAAGCCTCCAATCGCCATCGGTAATCTTCATTAGAATGATGAACCATTTCCATACATTTATTCAAAAGCCTTTTGAAGTCTATCAACAACCTTTGACCAACTGTTGAAGATGAAGCGGACAAGCTTTCATCACTAATCATTTTAAAAACACCAAAAAGTCAAAATATCAACAAAAATAAATCACAAGAAAAAAAATTAAAACCAGTTTCAATTGTCAACAAGAGCCCAACGACAACTCAGTTAACCAACTCGCCATTGTTGAATCCAATTTGTTTTATTAAATCTCACTAGATGGCAGTTAACGTTAGTTAGGTTAACTCAAACTTTTACCCAAATATCCAAAATTAGGTTCAACAATTAATAGCTCCAACATTTGGTGCGGAATGAATGAAATCACTCAACAACGCACCTTGAACCAGTCAACACTGACTCAGTCACACAGGCAACAATCGCCTATTTCTAGGTGTCTGAAAAATCAAATCAAGAACACGACTCGACAAATTCACTGCCATGGTCATCGGGAAATACAATCTCAACCACAAAATCAAACCCTTCACATAAAAAGCTTTAATCAATGACCCAGGATCAATTAACATCTACAGACAGACAAATTGTGTAGCAGACACTCCTCTTTGTATCGGAATAACCCAGTAAATAACACGATTAACTAGCAAATCTCATTAATCTAACCAGAAAACCATAATTTACAATTTACCTACAAAGTGTTACATTAACCCAAAACCAACATATAAACGCCATTTAGGTTTTTCAAAGATTTATTGGAAGTTTCTGAAAAATGCTTTGAAAGGCGAAATTAATTTAGAGACATTAAATTTATTGATGTTCCGAAGGTGAAATAAACATGACATTCACTGAATCACAATATTCATAAATGTTAAGTCAAATGAATGATTGATAACAAATCTCTTATAATCCATTATAAAGAACCAGAGTTGTTTTCATGACTTCTATTCCTTTCTTTCCTCTCATTTTACTCTTTTTGATAACATTTATATAAAGAAATAAATTGTAAACACAAGTCTTGAAACTCTTTACCTTCATTGAAAAAACGTCGTAAATTGATGGAATTGATTTTAATTAATTTTTTGCTTAAACAAAATTGAGTTATACATTATAATTATAGCAGGCAGTGTTAACAAATTATAATATGTTTCACATGTTCAATAAATAATAAATTAACATCCTGCACATTGAGATTCACCATGACCAGTTTTTTTTATAATTTAACATTTAACATTTAACATAATATACAATATCATCTACTTAATTACTATTTTAAAGTTGATTAGATGGTACATCAAGGTTCACAAGATCTCCAGTTGCATCCATTTGAGTATCAATTGAAATTGCGAATGAAACAAGAAGTTTATTCTGATTTGATGAGAGATGATTTAAATAAATTGCTCAGTCTATAATCAATGAAAATTGTAAATGTTTTGCCTTTGCCATTGTCTAGTCAACCAAATATAATTTGATAATCCAACCATTCATTCAAATTTGGCTACAATTGGTCAGAGAAAAATGTTTCATTTTTTGACATCATGTAGTGGTCCGAATTGAGGACAAATAGCCAATTAATTATCTAAAAATCCTTGCGAGAAGTTAATCTTGATACAGTTTAAATTACAATCAAGTATCCTCTCGATCACTTAGGCTTTGAGTAGAACCAAGAGCTCGACACAAACAAAGAGATATAATCATTCCAAATAGCTGTAAAAGAAGCAAAACAAAATATTATTGATCCATTTTTGTGACGAAGTTAAGGATTTGTATAATACCGTAATTCCCGAGAATCCACAGCCAATAATGATAAACACAAGACATTCACTTCGTATAAACGCTTCCAATGCGGATTCACAACCCTAAATTACAATGAGAAGAAGTAATTTTCAATAAGAAGCATACAACCAATTTTGAGCTTAACTCACCTTATTGTGGCGATAAGTGTCGGGAAAATTTGATTTACATTTTTCATAATCTATTGGCCTCGGGTTGATATAAGAATGTTTCTCCTTCATATTGATCAATGTGCAACATGTTTTAACTAAGGTGTTTCCTTGTCCACCAACCGATTGGTTACGCCAAACGGATAGACGATAATCATCTGGCCCACCGATTCCACAGCATTCATACTGTCGATTTAAGTAATAAAAAAAATAGAATCAGTTTACTATCAAATGTGATTGAGTTAAACAAGATCAATCAACTAGAGCAAATAATTCATATTCCAGTTGAAATTTCTACCTAAAAGTTACTTAAGGATAAATGTTATGTTAAAAATGGTTGGCTCGTCTTTGTGAGCGCAAACGTTTGATCAATTTAAAATTTAATCACCTTCGTCTGAGCCAAATCGATTGCTGCCGTTAATGCATCATTGTACCCATATTGCTTTTGTAGTTTGTCCGTTAATTTAAGTTTCAATTCAGCGACAACTTTCTCTTGAAAAACAACAGCTAATACTCCAACCGTTAATTCAAGAGCAAATATTATGAAAAGAAAGGCCATGAACTGTGATGAATGAACAATTAGGTATCAATTAGTGTGAAAATAAATCAATCAAATGTATGAGAATCATCTTCATTTGATTACCAATTCAAATTGTGATTAGAGTTTAAGCTTTGAAGGGTGAGAATATAAGGATTTAGATCAATGAGCTTGAAAGACAAAAGGTAAAAAATTTCTGACCAAAACTTTGCGTTATTTAGATTGAATTAAGGGTTTGCCAATTTTAATTAGTTTAATGACAATTTATGGTTGATTTACTTAATCAGCAAACTAATCCACCATACATTGAAAGCTAAATTGGAGTTACCAATTTTGTGGTCAGCAACTTTGGTATCTGAAATGCTATCAAACTGACTAAACTAAATACCAAAATCGACTAAATTAAATAACTTGTAAGTTACAGAGCTTTGACAATTTGTTGATTTAAAATGAATCTTAACTTACTAGAATTAATAGAAAACGTAAGTCCTTTAAAGCACCACAGCAGCCACAAAAGCCGATGATAAAAATGGCTGTTCCGATGGCAATTGATGCCCAGGCTAAGTATTGAGGCAAAGCATAAGATGTTGTCTGATTGGCGAAGAGACCAAAAAGTAATGACCTTTCATCTTCGACCAGGAAAAATATTCCAAGAGAAAAAAGTATAATTCCAGTTGACCAGAAGAAAGCATTGAAAATGAGTAACAACAATTTGGCACATTTTGCACCACAGCTTAAAGCCATTTTATTCCGTAAAGAATCAATGATGATTTGGTTTTATCAGCAACGAACGGCTGGTTGAGGGTAACACGAAACAAATCAAGATAAATCAAAGTCAAGATCACCAGAAATTTGGGAATAAAAAGAGATGGGAATAAATTTAACAATTAAAATGGACAGAATTGAATTGAAATACAAACAGAGAGTAGAAATATCAACAGGAAAGCAACAGAGGAAACAATAACAAAATAAGGTTGAACAAGTGTAAATGACTCTTCTGATAAATTATGCAAAGGGCAGTTGAATAGAGTGAGATAATAATTAAATTTTACGGTTGGTAGATTGACAATCTTGTAGTCTGGATAATTGTGTAAATAAATAGTGAATCAAATGAATAAAAAATAAAAATAGGAAAAAGAAAAATGACAATAGAATAAAGTTTATTTCTATTCAAAGTGTATAAACTTGGTCTGTTGAGTAAACGAAATGCTATTGAGCGGGAAGATCGAAATGTGAGAGGGAAAGAGAGAGATGATGATGATGATAGTGCATGTGAAAGACCAGGATGATGATATGAGGGAGTGATCCAAATGATAAAGATGATAAACCGTGGTTAAAAGGTAAAATAAAATAAAAAATAACCAAAAGGATTAGAGTGATAGAGATGATGATGATCATCATGCTGGTGGGTAATGTCCATGAGGAGGGGCGGGAGGCTTCATTTGGTACAATATTTGTGCTTAATGATGTTTGATTTCAAATTAAAAATGAATGAAGTTATTTGTGTTAAGTGTATTTTTTTTATTGTAATACGAATAATATGATAACATCTGCTCATTCCTTCAGCTTTTATAAGTCTTATTTACTGTTAAACGCCATCATTATCATCATCTTTCAGGACAGTCATATTGAGTTTTAATGATTTGTTGTTGACACTCGCGTGTTGCTCGCCAAAATAAAGTACTTTTTTGCTTTTCTAAACAAAACTTGACACACCCAGAGAATATCATTTGTCTCTAATTTTGTTTTCCTTTTAAACTCTCTGCTTCTGCTCGCTCCGAAGCATCAATACAGGCAATGTTGATTACCGCAGAGAAGCCTTGCAAAACCGTAATGGTAAGTTTAAGAATGGCAAAAGGCCCGGAAATCCAAGCAATCAATGGAAAGATTCCTGAAAAACAAAAGGAGACATTTTAAAATTAAACAACAGACTATAACAAAACATTTAAAGGGATGTCAATGAAATTCAATGAGAAATTTCAACTGTGATCAGGTTGATAAATAGAGGAATAAATGAGAAAAATTTACTTACGGAATGGACCGTAGGTGAAATGACACAAGTAAAGAGCAACGAAGAAGAGCTCGTTAGCTGCACACATGAAAAACAATACAGGCCTGGAAGTATAATAGATTCGTAGGATTTTGTTTTCACTTAGATCAATGAATTTGTGACTAGATTTGCCTTGCAGTAAAGAGACCCAAATGTGAAGCCAGTGTCCTGCAATATCTATAATGTTAACCAGTTGAAAGAAAAACATATACTTGGGATAGAAAAGGGCCAAAACCATAACCAAGCCCATCGTTCCACATCGATCTGTAAGTTGATCAAGGATGGCACCAAATTTAGTTGATTGATTCAAGAGTCTGGCAGCATGACCATCAAAAGCATCCAGGAAAGCGCTCATGAAATAGCAAAACAAAGCTTTCAAGTAATCATCTTTCATGTAATAGAAGGATATGAACGCCAGAATAATACGAGCATAACCAATTAGATTGGGCACAAAAAGTAAAATATTTGTTCTAGTCTCCATTGCGAAAATAATAAACGTTAAATGTAAGATGTACAATTACAATTGTTTACCAAGGCTGATCAACTTAGCCAGTTAGGAGACAAATGAGAAGCCAAATAGAGACTATTCGACGCTTATTCAATTCTTATGTAGCTCCATAAAGGTGTCAGTGATAATAGTAATCGACCATATCCCATTTATTTTGATAACTTTGATCAAAGACTGTAAAACTAATTCTTTTTAAAACAACATTAAATAGTGTTTACATAAGGATTAGAATTGAAGCCTTAAAACGTTATTCCTAGTAACTACTAGCTAGCACCACCTACTGAATGAAATTAACAATGCAGTGTAGTAAAAACATGAATTCTGAATTTGAAAAAACCATAGATCCGTAACCCGTCGATAGTTTACGATTAAAGTAAATTAAAAGAACATAATTCTTTTGTATAGAATTGAGCTGAATTGAGAAGCTGGGAAATTCATCAAGAGAAAGCTTTGAAAAATTCGATCGAATGCTGCTAAAGCATCTATGATTAAAGAATTAGAACGATCGTCCATTTAATGAGTAAATAAGAAATTTTTTCATTAGTTGCTCAATTAGTCATAATCAAATTGATTTACTTTTATATCTACATTCTTCAGTCATCTTTTGGCTTCTTTAGGTCTTCTCAACAGCTTAAAGCTAAAAGAAATAGTCAATAGAAGTAACTGATGGTCTTTCGAAGATTAGGATCATATTGAGGAATAACAATAAATTTTATAGAAAAAAAACCAAAATATAATTCTAGATTCAATGTTCAATTGGTAGTTTACATAATTTTTTCAATTTTGATACATGTTTATTCTATTTGGACAATGATATTATAAAAAAAATGAAGATAGGCAAAATGATCAAAAGTCATCATCACCTAAAAATGCCATATTCATGAGCATATTCAAAAGGTTTACTATGATCTCGGCCACTATAGTTGTGGGAAAATATTCTTCCTTTTGGAAATTCCATTGGGCCTTCAGCACCAGAATGATTCTGCTCTGCTTCGAGAAAAGTGTCGAATCCAACGCATAATGTATAAATTTGTATTGCCAAGGTGCGAATTTTCTCCGATTCCAAGACAGATTCGATGCATTTAATATTTACATAATATTCTAAATCTCGCAATGATGTGTCCATTGAACTGGTCTTTTCAGATTGCCAATTCAAGGTTAATTGGAACAGGGGAGAACTATTGGGATAATCAGTAGGTAAAGCAACTAAAGCTTTGAGTGAAGCTAAAATTAGAAAAGAAACAAATATTAGTGGCTTAAAATAACAAAATTCTTGTTAAAAGTATTTACCTGATCCTCTCACGAGCGTTACTTTGAAAAAATGTTCAGAACCATCAATTAAACTGAAATCGAACATATTTTGACCTGTGGTTACAGTCAACCACTCGTCTAAACTTGATGGTTTCCAATCTTTAATTAAACAGCTCATTTTGTTGAAAGCCACAGAAACAAGACTAGAAGGTAAAGAGACTGAACCTCTTTCCAATTCAAGAATTATTTGATGAAGACCTGTTCGATGTGTGAAACGACTTTTGATGATATCCATAATTTGGGTGAAATTGTAGGAGACGCTTTGTTTATCTTCATCCCTTGGAAGGAAATTCAAGCCACATAAAGTTTGCGCCCATTTGTAAGCATACCCAATTTTATTACTGAGATCGCTAAAGTTATCGATTCTGCAAAAAGAAAATTATTTTTGTAATGAGTATACGAGAATTAATAACTATTTTGTTGAAATACACCTTGCTGCTTTTAACTGGTAATCGTTTGCTATATTGGGCGATGTTAAGCCGTCGTCTTTTTCAAATAAGTTATCCAAGATATGTGAGCCTAAAAGTTCACTAAAATGATAGAAGGGAAAAAATTAGTCGATTTATAATTTCAAGAAAATTTTGCAGATAAATTTTAAGCGAATTGAAACAAAACTGTAATTGACGAAATAATTACCTTCTACTGATATCATATTCTCCAGTTATATTCACTTTGACGGTTATAATGTTGAGATTTATCATATGAAAAAATTCTAACGATAACTTTGTGCCAGACTCTTTATCGGCAAAGTTTAAATTGACTGAAAGAGGATGAGCAGAGATCAATTTTTTCATCATCAACTCTTTCTTATCCATTTTTGATTTACGATGACGCTAAAGAGTAAAGAAAATAATTGATTATACATGTTCATCATACATAGATATACAAAAAATACCTTGCCCTTACGATCCTCAGCATCGGATTCAGCACTTTCTTCATCTAGAGAATAAAAAAGAGAAAATAGTGAGGTAATGAGAAATTTCGGGGATATCAAAATTTAAATGTATTTCTATTAAATTTTATCTAAAATCTAACTTACCTTCAATTATATTTGAAAATTGTGTTGCTTTGGCTTCATCTACATTTCCGTTGATTGACACGGCAAAATTTTCCTCTGAAAGAAAAAAAATAGAATTAGATGTATAAATAAGATAGTTTAGATGATTTTGCGAGATTTAACTTACTGTAAGCTTCCTTCATGGCACAAGCATTCACAAATAATACATACATAGGTCGAGACAAATACGATGCTTTTTCATGCTGGTTATCATTCACTTGAAGAGGTAAACCTAGCTGCGATTGTAAAGGTTGAGCCGCCTGAAAAATTTTAAAAATTATTAGTATCATTGACAATATGAGTAACACCGCAATTAGTTTACCTCAACAACACTCATCAATATTGGTCTTAAACTTTCCAAACGTTTTTTCTCTTTTTCGATATCCTCCACAATCAATTCTTTTAAAGCCATCTTGTCTTGCAAAGTGGACGCCAGCCTATGAAATTGAAATTGAAGATTAGAAAGAAATGAAAAGTACAATCGAGTTTTTCTTACCTTTTACGTTGTTCCAATTCCCATTCTAATCGTGCGAGAGTACGTTTGTGAGCATCCTCTGATTCTTTTAGCTAATAATGGAATAATTTAGCAAAATTTTCGGGCTTAATAAGATAGAAAAAGATGAAAATCGAAGGTAAAACATACTGGCTTTGTAACATCCTCCGGTGCTTCCTCATAGAATTGTTCTAAGCTGACAAGTTCAATAGTTTCATCTCTCGATTTAAATTCATGACATTTGTTGATTTCTTTTTGTAAATGGAGAACTTCATACATCAAATTTTGTAATTGTAAATGAAAACCGTCAACCTTTTGTTTCTCCTGAGGAAGATAGATTAATGCTAAATTAGAGTCTATAATTTCTTGGACAAATAAATAAACCAAACCTCAGTAACAAGATCACGAGCATGTTTACATCTGATTTTATCAAATCTATTGAGTCTTTTCAATTCCAAAAAGGCCATGGCAATTTCCAATTTACGTTTATTGAAGTCCGGCTGAGACACAAATAGAAAAGAGAACATTAATAAGGTTGGTAAAGCATCAATACGCGTAGTCAAAGACATTGTGGAAAAAAGTAAACTTACATCATTTTCTGTATTATTATCCTTCTTGCAAATCTTCATTTCTGCCAGCTTAGTTCTGATTTCGTCGCAGGTATGATTGAATGTTTCTACATCTTGTTCTGGATCACGGCTTAGAGCCTCTTTCTCTTCGTGATCAATAGCAGTTAATGTTACATTCATCTGTGGAAGAATAAGAATAACACAAACAAAAAAGAATATAAGAATTGTTTAAATAAGCATTTAGACAACAGTCATTCGAGTAAGATAACTTTATGTTCCAGTACTAACCACATTAACAGTTGTCTCATTTGATTTGATCGATGACGAATTTAAAGAATTATTTGTTGAGGATTTGGTCGATGTTCTCATCTCTTTTTTGCTACTAGTTGACTCCTTTTTCGATGAAGATGATGAATTCAAGGATGAACTGGATGATGAGGGGGTTGATTGTTTACGACGAACTTTTCTATCATGAGAACTTTTATCGGACTGCATTTTGCTAGAGTATAAGAATCAGTAATTGTTTATTTTTGATGAACATAAATAACATTTGCAACAAAAAGCACACTTTGATAGAAAAGAATCTATTGGCTCCCAAGAAATGGCGCCATTTTCAAATACCGGTTAAAAACAAGTCACATTTTCATTTACCTTTTCTCAAACATTGATACTCACCTTACTTTACAGCTATTCAAGTAGCTTTCCAAATGATTAACATTAATTAGATGTTCCGCTGAGAATTTAGCTTAGATAGCTTTAATTCACGTAAATATTTAAAGTAGCTTTATTAATCTCAGTGTGTGTAAAATTAGAAACTAATTCTAGAAGTTTTACTTAAATTGACTTTAACTGTACTAATGATATCAAACTTGGGAAATGCTTTAACGGCTGATTGTATGATTGTATCATTATAAAAGTTTGAATTTTTCAATACAGAAGCCTGGATGTTAATGATAATGAAGTTGATCTAGTGACTTTTATTATGAAGTCAAGGCAAGTAAACTTGATATCAAAACATTTGGATTTTTGAGAGGTCAATGTTTTGTTGATGATGAAAAGGATTGTCTGCTTTTATACTTGGTTGATGTGATTGACCAAAAAATGGTTATCTGATAATTTAATTCGCATTTTATCCTATTAATGGTTCCTGCTGTTTTACTTTTTAATTACTTGTGATTATCAACTGATTGATTACCAGCAATACTATTTAATTTCAACCAACAACTGGATGGTAACTATCTTTTTCATCTTTTATTATTTAACACTTATTCAACAAGTATATCTTACTTAAGGTAAGCATTCAATCGTATTATTATAAAAAATCATCGAGGATTTAAAATATATTTTTAATATATTTATAGTAGATCTGTCTGAAGGTGACAAATATAAAAATCATGTTATTCATGATCTTTCTATCAGCCTATTGTATACTTGTTGCTGTAAGAGTCTGACTTAATCTCTTCCTATACATTTTGTTTAATCCTTTAAAAATTATGTTTATCCAATTTTTATAGTCATCTTGGTCATTATTTGAATCCCATTTCACACTACATCCGTGGCCTCTTCAATAAACAAGTCACAAAAATTATATTTATTTAGTTGAATTATCTAACCAGCCTAAGGCCTAACTCCGATGCGGGTAAATAGCATTTTGGGTCTGCGATTCTTGTTATTCATCTCTAAAAGGATCCGGCTTGGATTATCATCAATCATCATCATGATCATCATCGTCATCAACAGCATCAGTATATGATGTTCATGTTACTGTTGTTGAGAAGGTTGAAATGGAAAGATAAGACGTAAAGGTAAATTACAATCTCTGTTGAAAGTATTATTTTTATAGCAAAAGGCAACACATTGAACCAAATTGTACGGATTAGATTACGGTGTTTCTTTAACCATTTTAAACATGTTTATATTTTTGATTACAGATTATAGATTAATTGACACCGGAACCCAATTTGGACGATTCTCAGGTTTACATGATGATAATGATGATATACATTTTTACGCTTACTTTTGCTTACCATCAGTCAGACCATTCAACCTTAAAGCTTGCACAGTAAGTTTCAATTTTTCCGTTGACTGCTTTTACGGTCTATTTTTTCAAATTTAAATTTAATTTCAATTAATTTTGATTAACTATTTGACCTTGACTTTCATTTATTAAAACCAAATTAGTATTATTGTAATGTTGACAATGAAAAATGGTCTCGTCTCGAACAGCAAAGTATATTTTGAAAAGCATGCTTAAAAGAAAGCTCCTAATATGGACTGTTCATCATTTGAATCATTTTGCTTTTCCTAATCAACATTACGTGATCAGTTAATGTTAATCTTAAATTGTGTATTGTATTGAAAGAAATGAGCAAATTTAAATAATAATGGTTAACTAACGCAAATGAAATGAGCTAAAATTAATATCAATTTGACACATAATTAACATTTTTTACTTTATTTGTTTTATATTTATATGTATATTCAGCGAGATTTAGAGTTAATTATAATAATAATAAGTTACGTTCATGATTTCTCTTTTTTATATAAATAGGTACATATTACAAAACATTGGTGAGGCCACAAAGTAGGCCACTTTCCCGACAACCCGTTAACAGGGAAGAGCAAAGGAAGATGAAGAGAGGAAAGAAAACAAAAATCTAATCAAGTAGAAGAGCGCAAGGAAAAGGAAAAAAAAGAGGATAAAAATGTACCCCGATGAGACCAACTTAGATGGCGATAATAACAATTGATTAGCGAGAATTAATTTAAATTGTTCTGAAAGATCGTCGTTTAATGGACCTTACATTACGTTTATGTGCCTTTTTACCGGATAAAATGGTTGCCCATGAAGAAGATGCCATTTTCTCAGCCAATTTACGATAAAATGTGGCCACATTTTCCTTCAATTGATCTGTTCTGTCCTCATTTGAGCTGGATGATGTTGAACCCTTTTCACTTTCTTCGGAATCATTTTTCTTGAGAATTACTGATCGAAAGCTAGCAATCATTTTGGACCAAAGGGAACGACTTGGTGATGCTAGACCGGGAGGAGCTTTGATTGCTTTGGTTATGGCGGAAGGCATGAAAAGTGGTGCAGCAATGTAGGCAAAGGCTTCCTTTAGCCAGTTACGAAGCGAGTCAGCATCAATTTTGAGTAATTGCTTTTTAACAATGCTACTTGCCAGACCTGAGCTGATTGATGATGAAGTAGACGATTCTCCAGATGAACCTTTCTTTAGCGGTGGGAATGGTGGATGAGTGGCTCTTTTAACTGGTGGATAAGGAGCATGAGTTGCCCGAGATGAGTAAAAATCGGCATAAGGATCAAAGGTTGTTGATCCTCGAGTTGGCCACGGAGGATGAGTGGCTCTGGAAACTGATGATGATCCATATGACTCAGTGGATCGTGATGGCCAAGGAGGATGTGTTGCCATTGAAACTGAGGATGTTGAGGGTTTAGATGTTTTAGGGGTTCGTTTTAAAATGGACGTTGAAGAGGATGATTTAGGTGAGGTTGTAACTGTTGATGAGGAGGAGGAAGAGGAATCATCATCATCAGCTGAGGATAATGGGACTAAAGTAAAAGCCAAAAGAGTTAAATAGAGGATAAAAAAGGACTGGAAAGGTGATGGATAAAGGGTAAAGAGTAATTAAAAAAAAGAGATGGAAAATAAAGAAATGAAAATAAATTAAGTTAAAATGTAACACTTTACGGCTGCTTAATCATCATCAAGTTACAAGTTTACCGCACTTGAAACCATTTTCATCAATCAAAACCTTGATTTGACATGGAGTTACAAGAAAAAGGCCAACAAAAACTAACATCAAACGGAGATGGAGAAAAGGACAACATAAAAATTTAACAATCTATTTCCATTCACAATCAAGTTAACTCAATTACCCATCCTGTGCTAAATCAATTCATGAACCCTATGAATTATTATTGGAAGAAAAATGCAGTTTGACTGAGTTTCTTTTTTTAAGAAAAAAAAAGAAAAATTGAATTTTGATTATCAATAGTCAACAATTTATGAACACTGAGATAAGGCTGGTTCAATGTTTAAAACTGTGCCAGTAAACCTTTATATTTAGCCCTCAACATTTCTCCTGACGTATCCCTGATTATGTCCAAAATCGCAATCACGATCCCCATAATGACCAACCTGAAAATGATGAATCCTTTTAACCAATTCAACGATTAACACCATACATGAAGATAAACAAATGTTAATGCGCTTCCGAAGTTGGTCTTGTAAAATGTATGTTTTTACCGTTTCTCATCAACATCTATTTTAACCTTTTCTTTTCCCATACATTTATATTATAATCATTACAATTATTATTATTATTTATACAACAACAAACGAAACATCAAGCTTTTAAAGGTTAATGTCATGGTTAACTGAATCACCAAACGTGATCTTGAAATCCTTTTGATACTAATAATAATCATAATGATAATAATTATGATAATTGGGATTGAAGGAAGGAGCGAGAAAAAGTTATCTATTGAATCCGATTCATTAGATGATTGAATTAAACCTATTTTTCTTCATCAATTTTCAGGTTTACTTTCTTTTGTGGTTACACTAAAAGCATCAATTGATCATCTTCATCTTTACCATCCTTTCACATTATTTAACTAACGGTAAATGACCTACACCGATGAATCTAATCTATAATTAAATGCCGCAACTCATCTATTAACTGGTTTACTGGTTTAACAATGATTATTGATATTTTTTGTTGAACATTTAAAGAGCTGGAAAAGTAAAGAAGTGATAATCTGTTCAATTTAAATCAATCTCAATCTTATAAACTGAAAATTTATTCACAAACCGGAATCAAATTTGAATGACCGCATTTCAATTCTCATTTATCTTCATCTTTAAACATTATGCTGATCAAAATAATCATCAACAACAACAACTGGCTCATTTTGTCTTCTAATGCCATCTTAATCACCTTGGTCATCGAGTTAGCTGAAATTGAACCCAATAATACCTTTTACGATAAATCATTGTCAAAATTAATTTGCCTCTTTTCAATCAACTTAGCCAAGGGTTTTAATGGACAAAGCTGACCTCATTCATCCAATATAATTAGCAATTTCAACTGTTGGTAAACAATTATTGCATCTCTTAACACATTATCCTATTATTATCCCTATTAATCAGTTTAAATCACCTGTTGATCAAGAGTAGGCCCAACGTTTAGCAAATTTTGTCCATGAAATTGTCAACGTTTGCGGATACTCATTTTCATATTGTGATAGATTCAATCTGTTGACAGGTTCAATAAACGATGATTATGGTGATTAAAACCAATGAATAATTATCAGTGAAACGCTTTGTTGATTTACTTGAGGTAAACTAATTTTGCATCTTTGTTTTGTTTCATTTTCTCGATCATTTTTTTTACCAACATTCAACTTGAGATGATTTATTCAACCAACCCTGAAGAGGTTAACTCGTGTTTATTGAGAATAGATTGTTATTTCAATAATCGGAAGTTACAGGTTATTTCATATGATCAAATGTGAACAATTTTAAAGATGATTAGAGGGTGACATGCAATTCAAGAACCATGAAATGAACGGGAACAAAAATACTCAAGACAGGTTAGTAAGGTTAAATTGACCCTAAGGGTTTGCTGAGGTAAAAACTCACGAATGTTGAGTAAATTTATTGCCTTAATTAGCAACAATTAAGTGTTTAGTAACAATAGGAAAACATTGATTCCAACTAATCGTGAAACTAGATAATTTAATGAAAAATAATCTATTTAATTGATTTAAAATGATGCCGTGAGAGTGTAATTGCTGTTGGGTTTACTGGTTCAATAATGTTCAATGGGTTTCAAATGGCAATTTTGTAACTCAATGTTTTCTGGTGTCTTTGGTTGAGACAACGGTAAACTGGTGTTGATGATGATTAGACTATTAATTTGATTGAAAGATAACTTCTTACTTGTACTTTAATCATGGTCCTTTATTGAACCGGCTGTTGATCACATAAAATCAGGTTGGTTGGTGTGATTGTCCTTACAATCAAAGGTTTGGTTTACAATTGGACTCCAATGTAATTTTGTTGTCACAATTTGATCACAATTAGATGTCAATCCAGCGATTCCAGTCAATTTAAACTCCAAAAGAGTCACAGTAAACTGTCTGTAAACCCAAAAATTGAAATATAAATGTTACCCAAAAAAACAAAACAAATGTATTTTAAATATTTGATAACTGACTACAAAAACTGTTACTTTAGGTGATGATTTTGAATTTTTGATGATGATGATTATGATGATAAATGTTAATCACTCTGGTTGGCTTATGAAATAAAATTGAACAGTTTTACTCAACGGGTGAAACTTATAAACTGAAAAAAGTATCTTAATGTAGATGTAAAAAGGAAAATTGTGAGAGCAAAAAAGGGAGATTTTTGAAAAGACGATCAAGAAAGATGAGAATGAAAGAGATATGACGACGATGAGGTTGATGATGACGGTGATGATGAAGATGATAATCTTGCCAACCTGATTTGATAGAAAACGGAATTCACTTTAATCGAGGTAAAAAATACACACTGAATGTAAGGCAACCGCCAACAACACAAGCAACAACCTAAACAGCTAACCGTAGCAGCAACAACATGTTAACAGATAACTGAGAAGAGGCTGGGCAAAGGCCAGAGTGGGAAAAGGGGAGGAAGAAGAGGATGATGTTGATGAAGGTATGTCAAGGTGAGAGAACCTTTAACCCTCTGAACCTGCCTTAATAAAGGAACCCCAAGAGGAAGAAATTTTCAGAATGAATACACTTTTCTTCTTCTTCTTCTTCTGTGTCTAGATCATGTTGACTTCTGAATCTACAGAAGTCAACATTATTATTATCATCATCAGCACGTAGCCACGGAAAGGGGCAAGATGATGATGATGATGATCAGATTCATCTTCCGTGTCAACATTCCTTGTATTTGTTTAACTCAGGTTAATATTAATGTCTTTCCATCTCTCTCTTTTGCTTTTACTAAATATATTTTGATGTGATTTTGTTTTTTATGCTTAATTTTCATCTTTTTTCAATCTTTTCCGTTTCATTTTATGGTGGTGATGATGCTAAACATAAAACAGATGATTATCAGGCTTCAAGTTAACTGTTAATCGACGAGATGATTTACAGTTAAATGAAATAGTTTATTTTGTAATTTGCAATTTACGCCATTCATTTCTCAACAGACATTCAGATGTATTTTTATCTGGTCATATTTTCGCATCTTGTCAATCAGATGAAATGCAATATACTTCTAAATATGAAGTGCTTTTTGGCTAATTTTCTCACCATTTTGGCCAACATTTCGTTTGATGTTAATTTAAAAGGTTGATTGTCTAAAAACGCAACTTTTAATTATTATGTTCACTTTCATTTCAGACAGATTGAGGGTACACGTTAACCGTTGTAATTAGATAAAGATCCCTCGTTTTTTTTTGTTCACACCTTTTGAAAATGTGTTTTGCTTACTTTTTTTTGGCGCGTTAGCGTAATTTTTGCTTTTGTTAATTACAATGATGTACACTTTCATTTTATCTTGATTTGGCTTTAATCAACAAAACAAAAGAAGCTGCTAATTATTTTGTTTATGGGTCAAGTTACAGTTAAGTTAACCTTTTACTTGTAATGCTTGTCTACTGTGTATCAAATGTGATTTATTTTCACTGTGAACTTGAGCTTGTTTGATTTCTAATCCTTTTGTCTGTCTTTATTGTGTACTTTTTCCTCTTATTTCATCCTATTCTATTTTCAGGTACAACAGGACACAATTGTTTACAGTTAAAGCTTCGGTCAACGTCATTTCAAGGGCAGTTTATGAAAAAAAAGAAACAATCACTAAATTTCATCAAAGTAAGTCAGCAACAATTTCACTCTTTTTTTCTGTCACTTCTTTTGCTTGGTAAAAATTGGACAATTTGATCATAAATGAACAACGGATTTTTGATTGATCAATCACTCAATCCATAAATGTACAAATTCAGAACAATTTCATTCATTGCTTATTGTCAAATCTATGAATTTAAAAGAGATTGACTTGTGATTTTGGCAAAATATGCAGACATCTTGGAAAAGATTGTTGTTGATTTTTTTTGGCATAAAAGCTAAAAAAATTTATTGGTAATTGTAAAATCTACTTCGTTTTTCCTGATTATATTCATGTCATGCAAGAAAATTAGTTGAAATAAACACCATTCTGATGCATGTTTACTTAATGTTACTCATGTTTTATGGAAATTTGAACATGAATTTTACAAACTTGACAAAACCAAACATAAATCGATAAAGATTTATCAGAAAAAATTAGCTTATTAATATACAAAACGTTATTAACTAATGATAATTTCCATTCTTTTTTTCAAAATTTAGATGCTATTGACCAATGGATATCAACTAACTCCAGTCGTTTGAAGACCAAAATGTCGGTCAATGATTATATTCAAGTCTGCAAGTGATCCAAAGACTGCAACTACAATTACTACGATCAGCTGGATTCAACTGGAATTTTCATTAAAGCAATTTTCTTTCAACCAAATAAACAATTTTATAAATTGCTTTACACAAATTGAAGGACCAATTCATCTTTAATAACTTCATTAACTCTCGAAGAAACAAAATCATCATCTTCAATTAAACCCTTTAATGGCCTGTAAATCGTTGGACATATCAAAAGTGTGTAAAAAAGTGTATCAATACATAACGTTATATGTTTATGTTTGAGTTTGAATGTAATTAGTTGATTGTAAATTGTCTAGTTTGGTACAATCATATAGATGATGATTAATGTTTCTTATTGGAAAGAGACATCAACATTTATGTAACAATTAATGTAATATTTTCAAAAACTGTAACAACTCGTTAAAATATTATTGCCTTTTTTAATGACACTAGTGTCTCTATTTAAGGTTTAATTGCATTGATTGTAAATGGAAACCATTTGTTTAATTTTGATTAAGTAATTTACAAAAGGTTATGATTGAGATGTTGGAAGAATGCAATGAAAGAGTTGTAAATAATGATCTGACAAGCAAAAAAGGATGAAAATAATTGGCAGTTTTGAGGTGACAAAACTGTACTTCTTTGATTTTAAAAAATTTCAAGTGAAAATTGATTATGTCCACCTTAATTATTGTGTTATGAGAAGATTAAATTGATTGTTAAAGTGAAGAAAAATTCCCGCAATGTAAACTAATTATTTGACTGCCCGAAATCACAAGCAAACATCAAGTTCATCAGTTGATGTTGATCTTAATGACCAAAAACATGTAATATCCCATTCCAATAGTTAATTGCATCTATCAAACTGACAATCAGTAAATTGGTTACCATTGAGACTCAAACAGTTATCATTAAATTTTCACATTGATTAAACCAGGGAAAGATTGTCCTAACAATTGTATTGCTTTAATGTATAATTTCAATGAGATCGGCCATTATCAACGGCTGTTATTTTCATCATTGATTAAGCCAGTTAATTAATTGTATCATCCTGATTCTTACAACCCTTGAGCAATTTATTAGGGATAAACTATTTGATTTAGACAAATATACATTTTCTCACGATATATAAATTACCATTCAATATCACTATAATCATCATCAACATCACCATCAACAAAAACAAAAACATTATCCTTATTGTAATTTGTTGTCAAAGTGTAACCATCAGGGTCAATATCAATCACAATCAACCTGAATCAAGGTTTACAATCAATATTGAAATAATCAATTTGCTAACAATCAAGTTATACGCTTTATCCAACATCATTTTGATTAATGAATCTCTCACCTTTCACTGATTGTTTTTAACTACTGAACATTTTTATGGCCATCTTTTAATTAGCTTCCACTAATAAACAATTAATTCACATATTATAACCAATTAACTTGTAAATTCATTGGATATAATTGATTAAAGGTAAAACAAATGAAATGGAGAGTCCAACTTGCCGTATTTACCGTCAACATTTGCTAACTTGATCAACAGGAATTTACTGGAGATTTATCCTGTCACCATTTAATTTGGGTTAAATTGTTGAGCCTCAAATTGTGTTTTTTTGTATACAAATGATGGGGCAAGTTAATTAGAGATTGTACACAAAATAGAGATTAATTCAATTGATTTTTGGTTATTATTTAAAATTAGTATTGCAAATGTAAAGCTTTTGATTCTTTATGTTGATATATTTACCTTTAGGGTTAAAGCTTTATCCTGATTCACCTATTGAATCAATGTTAATTGTATTCGTAAAAATGTTTCATTTTATATCATTAGATTAGGACAAGAGAAGGATAGATTAACAGGAAGTTAATCAACATGGTAAAAATGTAATCAACTGTATAATAGGAATTAGAATGAAGAAAAAGTATCAATTTCAAACAGGTTAATTGCTGTTATAATGTTGATGGTAAACATTTATAGTCAAGTCTATGTTGCAAGTGCTGTAAATGGTAATTGTTCAACATTTGAAATTAACTTTTAATTAATACATGCTGACTTAATACCAGGTGATTTTGTGTAACAATGTTATTGACTTTGATTGTAAGAGTTATTTAACGTAATTGTTGCTCTTAAATGTCTAACAATTATCATTGTTACAAATGGACTTTTGGCTTTGCATTCAAATTGAGTTCTCTTGGAGTTTTCTGGTTATTCAAATGATTGGCCACACGATTGTGGTTTTAATGGGTTACTTATAAATTGATCATGATTTACATTTAATGGTAATTTATTTGCATTGCTTTTCAATTCATTTGTTTTTATTTGTTCATTTTTCATTTATTGATGATCTGTTAAGGGGTTAAGTGTGAACATTATACAAATGTGTAATCGGGATGTGCTAGGGGAGACCATGTTTAATGTTAATTTGTGAGGTTAATTTTAATAGCCATTACCTTTATCGTCCATCTAATCATCATTAGATGGTCATAATATAAGATGTAAACAGAGAGATAAAGAGGATGGTCAATTTTAATTAACCTGAATTAACATGATTATTTGACTGAAGGAAGGGCTTATTCTTGAAGCGTTAGAAGTCAAAAGCCTCCAAGGTAATGGTGAGGTAAAATCATGTGAAACCAGCAAAGGTTTAAATCATCATATTAACCATCAACATCAGAGACAGAACCACAATTTAAGAATGAGTCCAACGTATGTTTACATCTGTGAATCCTTACTATCATTATTTAACCATCAGAACCGCTATCACAATTGCCAGTAAAATAACGTTAGTTTTTGTTATTCCTCTTTGCTTTCTTTTTTTCCAGGTCAGTTTTGTTGATGAATTTAAGGGTCGAGTTTGATTGGATCTTGATCGATCGTGTGTGTGTATATCATAGAATGATTTGTAAATTGATGATAATGATGATAGGACTGGAAGAGAAAAAGAATGATTACTTTAAATAATTACCAGTTAACTCGATAAGATGTTAATTTGAAAATGATCGCTTTTCAAGATTGTAACTAAAACATTGAAATACTTACAGTTGGTTATCTTGTGATCAGATCAAGTTCCTGAAATCTCAATCAATTGAATTATGGTTAAAAACAACAATTAGAGAACTCATTAATCGATTAACAATAATTGATTACATCGACCAAAATCTGTCACGGTTAACATGTGAACCAAAGCTGAGAGGACAAAATTAAAAAGAGGTTTATTAATAGCCTTTATATAAAATCACAGAAAGAAGTTGATTTATTGAAATATCATCAATTTTGTTTCAAAATCAAGATTAAATCACATACCTTACTTTGCTTGAAGATGCATCAAGGTTACTGGTTTAGGACAATTTATCAATTTCAGTTGATCGGTGAAAAATCAATAGCTATTGATGGTTACGATACAATATTGGTCCAATCATTTTCACGGTCTCGTTAACTTTACCTTCTCATCCTCATTCGGTTTGATTTTCAACAATTTAGAACTTTTCCTTTCCAGCTTGTCCTTAAATGTGGCTTACCATTAATTTGGTTTGTTTCACAATAATTAAATTAACGTGATCAACACGATTATCGTAAAAGTTAATCATAAATCTAAAAATAAAACAAAAGGTTAATGAAAAAAAGCTGTTTTGTTGTGTTGTATATAATTTTCATTGTCTCACTCACAGTGTCATCACCAAAAAACGAGCGCCTTAATTGAAAGTAAAATACTTGATAATAATCTAGAAGAAGAGAAAACAAAGTTACAATTAAAAGCGAAATATTTAAATAGAAATTTTTAAAGAAATTGTGACTAATAAATTGTAAAATCAAATGTTAATTAATCTATTAATAACATGTAAGGAATAGATTAATTTGGTTAGGAAAAGAAAGATGTACTTATGCGTGATGAAAACAGTTGAGATTACAATTGAATGTTAAGTCACGAATAAACATATAAACTGATTGATTGTTTACATTAGTATATCATTATCAGTCTAACCTTTAATGATTTAATAGTGATTAAGGTCAAAAGTTTTCCATATTAATATTCAACTGATGAATCTTGGTGATGGTTGGATTTAGGATTAACCCCTTGTTATTGTTGTGTGTTAACAAATTACACAAGAGGAAACATTGTTATGTATCATTACACAAAATTAAAATGATTAACTTGATGAGTGGAACATGTTTACACCAATTTTGTCAGCCTCAAAGTTAATCCATAATCACTATTAGCAATCATTAAATTAAATTGTGAACGTGATTAATAAATAAAATGACAAACGACAACAAAGTACGCATTATTTGGATCAAGTATCTGTATTAAGATCAGGATCATTGGTAACCCTTAAAGCGATCTAAGAAAATCTCGATCTTTTGAATATTCCCACCAAAACGTTTGGCAACCAAAAGATATTCAAACCTTTTCTAATTTAACTAAACATCTAAATCAAGTGATTGTCCTATTCATCAATTAATATGTTCATCAAGCAGTTAACCAACGATAAACAACTGTAAGTATTATATTATTATTTAACTGAAATTGAAATAAAAAATTCAATGCTTGTGTCTTGTTAGAAAGGTTTCTTGTCAAACCAGAAATACTTCTAACCCAAGTTAACTTGTTCATTTAATTGACAGGTTAATTGTCATTTGACATTGAAACAATTATAGTTCATTGGAAGATTAAGATGATATTGACATCTCTATTATGACTTTTTCCTCTCACAAACTAACCTGCTATTGATCTTCTTTGTCTTTTACAGTTGATTGACCAACTTGATGCCTTGATTCCAGTGTATGGATGTCTCAAACATGGTATTGATTCTTGATTCTGATGATCAGTCTATCAATTGTTACTTTATTTACAGTTTAATTGCTACATAATATCCTATAAGGTTGAATCGTTTGAATTACACAAAGTGAACCTTAAATTTCACTTTTACCTTCAAGCTGATTAAAGATTACAAATGTAAGTCAAAAATAACCATAAATATTTTTTATGATTATATCGAGGTATGTGTCTCAATTTTTTAATGTGTAAATTGTCAATTGCACAGCTTAAATTTGATTGAGTGCAAACTCTCGATTGACTTGAAGTTACACTATTAATATGCATCTTGAAATCCTTGACCAATCTTTAATGAAATGTATTTTCTTTCTAATCTAGCCATCTATATTTAAGAAGTGGATTAACATTGACAATCGCCAATCATCTAAATAGCAGTTTCATTTGATGAGCATTTCGTTGTAGCAGCTGATGATGCTCTGGGCGTTGAAGAAAAAAAGGATTCATGAAAAAAATGATATTTTTTTCAACTCTTTCATACTCATTTTGATGATCATTTTGCTTATTGAAAATACCAACTTACATTTGATTACCTGATTAGAGAAGGTAATAGAAAGTTAAAGAGAAAGTAAAGGTTATTAGTCTATTAATCTTTAATCAAAACTAAAATAAAAATGATATCTGATGTTTCCTAATCTTCAATCAGATGATCCATCTTTTAGAATCACTATTTCACGGTTTACATCTAATTGTATGTTCTAATTTGTATCTCCCTAATCATCCTCATCAATTCAATCATGGTCATCTTTAGAAGTGACCATAAATATACTTTTCCTTTCCCTATTCAATTGAACACAAAAATTTATACATTTTTCCATTCTAATTTAGGTCTTTTTTGCAGCAAATCAAAAGCTGACCCACAAACTGGTAATATCAATTTCTGATTAATGTCAACAAAATTAAACCTTTCGCATGGGAAATTTGGAAGTCCATTTGAGTTTCAAACGTGAGAAACAATTGGTTTCATCTAATGACGAGAAACAATTTAATTGTATAATTTCAGGGATAACAGTACATATAATTGCTTGAAATATGCAACTTACAGTCATCAAACACTCAGTACAAGTTCAACAATAAAAGCTTCCTTTGTTATTGTTCACATATTAACACCGGAATTGTCCATATTATATAAATAAATCAGACGGCCAGTAAATAGAGCAGACATGTAAAAAATTTATGGTTACTATAAATACACAGTTAACACAATTGTCACATTTATGCACAAATTGACCTCATGTGTTTTGTAGCAACTATTTTGGCCCTTTCACAGCTTACATAAGAAAAATGATCTTATGGAAAGATCTGGCTCCATAATAGTACAAAAAGATATCCAAGTTTCAAGTTTGAACTCGATTTTCTCAAAATGTCGATCAGAGAAATTTTTAAACAAAAATAAACTCAGAACTTATTTCCCTACAAACAAACAGAGTCTAAATTTGTACTTAATTTTGGTAATAAAATAATCTTTTTGTCCGTTTTTACCTTTGTACCTTTTGTATCCGATTTCATTAAAATGCCTCTTCTATTAAATTCCTATTCCTTGTCCATGTTATTGGTCGGTGTGTTGTTTGGTTATGGAGTGTTATGTTTAGTTTCTGCTGGTTTGATTTTAGGCTTTTATATTTGAGTTTATGTTGTGATATCTCTCTAATATTGTTTATTATGTTAGAAATTTAAAATTAACAACAATCAACTGAATAATTGACAAATAACGATGCTTGAAAATTGCTGGATCAACAATATAATAACTGTTAATATTGGGTTTATATAACAGCACTAACCAGGTGAGCCAGATAAAAGTGACGGACAAACACTTAACCTTGCACATTGAAAAGTTGACAGTTAAAGGAAGGTTGAATGGCCTAATAATTGGTCTAATATTTAAATAACATGCTAATCATGATTAGTTAGAGTAATCTTAATTGACTTAATACTTACCACAAACAAGTGGTAATGTTGGTTAAAAAGCAAAGAATAAACCCAACAAAATGTTTTTGTTTTTCTTGGGAGGCTTTTTTCACCTTTTATTTCCGGGAGATATTTGGGGTTAATTTAACTTGAGGCTGATATTGAAGGTTACAATTAAACTTGATCTTAATTTCTTCCGTAGTTAATCATTTAGTTGATCATCTGTATGGTTTCCAATGAGACAATTTGACCACAAGACAAACAATCAAACCTTTTGAGAAGATCATTTTTTTCCTATTCACGTTTAGATTTTTCATATCATTGATTTACTAAAAATACTGATGATTGAAGTAATTTCAATCGATTTTCTGATTATTTATTACAATTTAAAGAAAAAGAATAAATAAATATAATTGTAATCCGAAAAGATTAATTTCATATAAGCTATTATTTATTTTAAGGGCGACCCAACTAAACAAGTTTTGAGTAGGTGAATTGTCATTGATCTGGTTCAGGTGCCCAAGTCAATAATTTTAGCTGAGAATTGGATTAATTGTGGTTAAAGTATAAGGGCAATCAAGTTAAATTGAAGCTTCTATGAATGTGCAAATCCGTTTTAAGTGAGAGAAAACATTTCCAACAATTGCCTTGATTCATTAAATTTACCAGCCTCAACCTGGTCCATTTGTACGCAATTATTTCCATTAGCAAATAAAACTGACAATCGGGCTTGGTTATTGAATAGTAATCAAATGATTGTTCAAACCTTGCCATTCAGGGTTTGACAGGGTTTACATTATCTCACTTATAATACACATCCTTTAAACGTATGGCAACATTTTAACACGTAATAAATCAATCAAAGTAATCAACAAGTTGATTAGAGTTTCAATAAACAAAATATTAATGAACCATATAAATGATTTGGGACATGCAGTTGGATAATTTACAACACTGGTTAACAGGTTTCAAAAAATTAGTCTGAAAGGTTAACATAGGAAAATTTAACAAAATAAAGGTCATGTTTTGTTTCAATGTTTATCAACAATTAAGGCCCACTTTTAATAACCGTATTTCACTGGCAATTGAAAAGATGACTTTCGCTTCGTAATTACAAGTTTCAAGGGTTTCTTTCATGTTTTTCATGGCAGATGAACACTCGTCACAAATGGGTTTTGATCTTATCCAAAGTTGCATGATTATTAAAGCTTTATGTACTTCCAGAGCTAAATTGGCGTCAGACAATTTTACAAGAAACTGTCCCATTAGATTATGTATTTTCATCTCGCAATAACCAAAATAGTCTGATAATTTTATTACAGGAGCTTTACTTTTGTTGGCTTCTTGCAGTGTGGAGTGAAAAAGGTTGCAATCAACTTGGTTTATTAATGGTTCCAAATAACTTTTAGCAATGAGAATTAATTGGACTGGATCTTCAACGAAATTAATTTTACTTTTATCAAAGAATCGCTCCTGTTCATCATCATTGTCTGAAATTGTTTTTTGACCATTAATTAAATCCAATAGAACCCTTCGAAGTGAGTCTTGCTCGTCCAGATCTGAGAAAACAGAAGATAACAATTGAAAAGAGCGATTTAGCAAATCTCCTTTAGGTATCTGAGTTGGTGTAAAGTAAAAATCAGTCAAATCATTGCACATTGTTGCTGTAAAATCTCTGATTGCTGGACTATTGTCTTGCAAAAGATTGGGAATTGTTTGCCATAATGAAGAGATTGATGGCAAATAAACCTTGCTGGCTTTATTGGTGGTAGCAGTTTTAATTAGAGTCGGCAGTAGTTTACCAACAATTAGAACAGCAATTTTTCTAGATAAATCACTTCTATCAATTGTACAAATAGAAATGACAGAAACACAAAATTGGTTCAATTTTTCATGTAATAAAATATCTGAAGCTACAGTTATTTGATGATCCCAAATATCAGATAAAACGAGATAGAAGAGTGCTAAGGTATCTTCAACCACACCAGATGGTTCAAGTTGTTCAAATAAACTGAAACAAGTGTCGAACAATGAGTTCCAATTAGTTAAATCTTGTGATTCTAGGCGAGCAAGAGCACAATGAAGAAGGTAAAACAATTGTTGAAGATTTCGCAAAGGTTGAAATGTAGTCAATGAATCATTATTCAATAGACATTTATATTCAGAACAGGATGAAATGAATTTCATAACTTCAATGGGCTCGATAATTCTGATTTGAGATTCAGTATCGAAATCAGGTTCCGTAATGTTCAACTCAAAATCATTCATTATTTCATCTCGCACAGTAACTTCCAGTGTATCTAAATCTTTGGCCAATGAATAGGTTAGAAACTTGAATATGATGGTTCTTAGGTGAATCATTTCCACCGGTAAAGATGGTGAGAGAAGGGTGGAAATGACTTTATTCCTTGCTTCAAATGGTGAGCAATATAAAGTGAAGTGAATTAGTTTAACAAAAAAATCTTGCGAACTGGCAAATTGAAAAGTTCTTGGATTGGCTTCGAATAGGGTTAAAAGTTTTGATAAGATGGTGTACAGGTCACAAATAATTTGATCCTCTGGGTTGATCAACTGTTCCTCCAAAAGTATCTCAACCGTTGTTACAAAACGATTATAACTGTACAAAGGTTTTCCGATTATGTCAATGTCATTGGTGCTGTTTAACGAGACTAGCAATTCACTAGTATGTTGGGTTAAGCTTGATATTAAACGATGGTGCAAGTTGTCAGTTTCAATTTGTTTCACATGACATCGAACAAAATGATATAAGAAAGATATCAATCCATCTCGGTGGTTAACTGGCAAATCGGGCTTATTCAAATCGCTGCTCAAGTATTCGACTGTTTCAGCTATTAACTTTTCTTCTGCACTTATAACTTGAGCTAAAGCTTGTCCGGATAGATCTCGAATTTTGGCTACATTGGATTGGAAACAGAGAGACTTTAATGGTTCTCTGTAAGGTAATAGCAGGCAATTGGTTTCTTGAATTGTAGGCCAAAGGCGTAAGATGATTAAAAGCGTTGGTAAAACAGTACGAGTAGAAGTTTTATGAATATTTTCAGAGATAAAGGCACACATTGATGGATATCGAAGGAAAAACTGGTGAGGTGACATTGAATTTTTCTTGTGATAATGATCTTTGGAATGGTTGACACCAAAAATACGAATCATCAAGGCACTGAATAGGATGGAAGCTGAATTGGAGACTGAATAAGATGAGTAATCGAAATGGGAAAGGCACAATTTAAGGCAATCTTCGATGAATGTATCAACTCTTTCACCTAAACGTTTATCTCTTATTAAAGCTCGCAGAACATTTAAACAATGAACTTTCTGCCAATCTTCAGCTGATTCACTGGAGCAAATTTTGATTAGATTATTGATGACATGACTGAGTAATCTGTTTCGATTATCTTTAGGTTCAGAAGAAACGATGGCTTGAGTAACAAAGGGAAGACCAGCGCTTCGACGAGTAATACATTTAGGACCATTTGCTTCCTCGTTTTCATTGGCAAGGTCTTTGAGGATTTCATCGAGAAGATTTTCAATCACTTTTAAACATGAACACGGTTTCCGCCAAATACACTTCACCACCATCGAAAAGCCAGTGTAAGCCTGTTCAAAAGCACCTCTATGTTTCAACTCTTTAAGATGATGAACGAAATAGTTTAGAACCTTTCCAACAAAGGAACAATTGATAACACTATTATCCAGAGTGTGGTCAATTTTTTCACAAATTTTACCCAACATAAGAGCAGCTTCTTTGATGGTTTTCCAACCAAAAATTAATAACATCTGAGAAGTTATGTCACGGCGCTTCTCTACAATGATTGGACTGGATAGATTTTCACGTCCAACTATTTTGTTGACCATTTCATCGTCTAGTGGTTTCAAATCCATGGGAAGAAATCCTTCAGGTGAATCATTACAAACAATACAGCTCACGGTTTCGCTGGCATCGAAGCAAATGGTACCGATTTTTTCCATCAATTGACTCCAATCAGGTTTCCGTAAATTAAAACATTCAGAATCAAGAGACTCGATTAAACCATGGATTGATGATAATCGACTATGGATTGGATTATAAACTGCTCCATCAAGAATGGATGATTGGGTTTCTTTTATTGATATTTCAACTTGAGAAACTAAAATGTTTAGCAACTCCAAGTTGATGTCAACTCTTTGAGATAAATCATCTAGCGAGATAAGTTTCGTTAGGCAGCGAAATAAATATGAGGCTGATATTACGTTGAGAGGATTGATATTGGACAACATCTGAAAAGCTTTATCACGAATGAAGTCAATATCAGTAGTTTCCAAGAAAATCACATTTTGTTCAACCAACGCTGCTAATACATTAATAACTAATTGTTTAGTCTCTTCCAAACTATCTTCAATCAGACAATTCATGAGGGTGACATAAATTGATTTGGCTGAGCCTAATGTTAGAAAGATATCTTTTGGAGCAAAATAATCTGTGTTAGCAAAGTTGACTATAACCATTTGTATCAATTCCAACGAAAGAGTTCTTCTAGCAAAATAGCCATCAATATACAAACTATTGAAACAGATTTCCAGTGTACTAATTACAAAAGACTTGTAAGAAGAGAATAAAAATTCTTCGCCTTCTTCTTTTCTGCGAATGAAATACTCAAGTGAACATTTCATCCTTTTGAACATCTTGTCCATCAAGACCAAAAATCTCTGCCGGTTACAGGGCTCTTGAATGGTTAATCCGATATTGAGCGAGTCTTTGATTATTTCCAAGTATTCTGGTGGAATAGGATTAGATAGTTTTGGATTTTCAAGCAACATACCAAGAGTCTGAACCCGAATTGATTCATCATAATGAAAAATTGACTGTTGATGCAAATAAAACCTTTGGTTGATTGGGTCCTGATCGAACATGTTGATAAACTGAAATGATTTGAAAACAACGATAGTAACGATAGGAATAAAAGTGAAAAGAGTGATTAGTTTAAAATAATTAAAATTTAACTTGTTAAGATGTAAGAGAATCACTTTTGAAGATTGTAATAATACATTCAAATACTTACAGTTAGTTATCTAGCGATCAAATATAGTCCTCTGAATCTCAATCAATTAATTTATGGTCACAAATAAAAAAATAGAAAGCCCATGTATCGGTAGTCACAGAGTTACTCTGTGTTGGTAGTAAATACACCGGTTAAAAACCTGTTAGGCTAAGGTATAAATCCAATGTTTGAATCTCCAAAAAGGTGAAACGTTGTTTAATTTTCACATTCTAATCAAATATGTTCCAAATATCAATTTTCTCCACGTTAATAAGTCCCGGACGACAATTAAATCCCAAATCCAATGAACTTTTAAACAAATGTAAACATGAAACAAAATTTAACACGTTTTTCAAATTTTCCCATTCAATTACTTTCTCGCTCAATTGCCTTTGCGCCACAAAAAAAGCGCCAAAGTTAAAATTGCTTAACTGTCAATCATCAATTATTCAGCTAAGATCTGGTTGATTAAAGATTCACAGTTCAGAAAAGCATCTCAAAAGCCTTAAAACCTACCATTAAAGTACCTTAGTGTTCAATCTAGATTTATTATTACCTATCATTTAAATATCAATTTCATTCTATTCATCATTTCAAGCATTAAACCTTTTACACAGGAAGATAGCGATAAAATTTATCCATTCAAGCATGAGAACCAATTGGATCCAATGATGAGCAACAATAATAACAAGGTTAACATAAGCAATCATGAAAACAGATGAGTTACATAACAATGCGTTTTTGCTTAAATTGTCTAATTTTTTTTGAACAAATCGATGGAAAAGGTCAAAATTTAATTTCTTTTTTTTCTGCTGTAAAAAAAAGTTGGAAGAAAACAAGATTTTCAAATGGAGAGGAAATGAAGCGGAAGAGATAAGGTCAGTCCATGACAAACTGAGTAGAAATATGATTGTAAGAACCGGTCAACAACCTTACCTGTGATAAACCCAATAGCAGTAACTTGTTTATCATCTCTCTCTCTTTCTCTCCCTGTCTGTCTTCCGGGATTTCTCAGAAAGGATTCAGCTACTTTCAGACGTTTCTTTGCGGCAAAGAAAGAGAAGCAAATATGTCCACCATCGAATCTTCGCCAGCTGCCATAATTTTCTATTTGTACTCAGTCATCATTACAGTTACTCAAGCCGTTCCTGTATACCAAGGTAAGCCTTTAGTCAACTTCGAATTTTTACCTTAAATTCCCTTTCTAATTTTGTACATTTTCATCAACGGTGTCTGTTTGTGCATCTCTTGCCTGTTAAATTATTTGTAAACACAGCTGATTCCTTAATTTGCTTTCATTGAGAAATTTTGTTTCGTCCAAACACTGAGATCATCGGAAGCAAATTATCATTCACGTTGTTAGCTTACAAGTAATGACAAGTGTTAAAACTGTTTCTGTCACCAAATCCATGGCATAACGTGCAAATCATTGATAAAAGTGTACAACTTAGTCCTTACCTTCAAACGCTGAGACAATTTTGCAAAGATCAAAACTTTGCCATTTCGAATGGAGTTAAATGTGATCAAACCTCTTCAAGTTGAACTCAGTGAGAATAGATAATAGTCTATTAAGCGGTCAAGTACGCGTATGTTAGCCAAAGATCAGTCAAAGGTAAACCAGAAAGTTGAGAAACTAAAATGTTTAACAACTCCAAGTTGTTATCAACTCATTGAGATAAAATCATCTAGTGAGATGAGTTTCGTTAAACAACGTTATTACGTTTACGAATGTAGTCTACATCCAGACGATCTTCTTAAATTCAATATCAATCACTGAAATAAAAACACCGAGAATAACTTAAAAGATAAAGTTAATTCTGGAGTGGATTGCTGGTAATCTGTTAGCTCACAAAACAACAATTTAATATGGATTAACAAAAATTAAAACAGAAATATCATTGTTAACTAGTCTGTTAGCAAAAAATCCCATAGAAAATAATCAAAAATGAGTTTTTTAACCTTCAATCGGGATAATTAATGAACCAATATTAGTGATTGTGGAATTCAACTTAAATTAGAGAGAAAATATTGACTAATTATTTACAATCAAATAAATTTTACCTTATTAATTGATCGTTTGAAATATAATGTGCTCAGAGGTTAAACTTTCTGGTTTATCTGATATTAGCTTTGATACTGGGTAAGTTGTTTGGACTATTGCCTAGAAACGTCTGACTGAGAGAGTTGACAATCTTATTGTGTATATCAAATAATAAATTAAGTTACTATTAAATACATGACCAGTTAATATGGAAATGTTTTGTTTCAATTTTAACAGATTATCTTCGATATTATGTTAAAGACTATTCGGATTCAAGGTCAATACGACCGTTGACTTGTAAATCACTTGATGGAACAGTTGGTGTTTGTATGTTCTCTCTAGCTTGTCGCCATGCAAATGGTCATCCAATTGGTCTTTGTAAAGATACCATTTATTCTGGAAGCTGTTGCCGGCTTCCTGTAAATAATAACAACACACATGATGGTTCACATGTTGACGAGGTTGAGAACTTTCTTGAGTATCCTGTTGGGACCAATCGAACCTCACCTAAGGTACCAATTGTCAATGTATCTCAGTCACTATCACCTTCATCAACAGCATCATTGCCATCATCACCTTCAACTTCAACTACAGCCTTTTCACCGTCAATTAGCACAACTATAACCACTGCCGCAAGTATTTCAACCACCACTCAAGCTGATAACACAACACCGATAGCTAGCTCTTATCCGGCGACTCTTTTATCTTCATCTTCTACATCACAGTCTACATCACAGTCTACATCACAGTCTACATCACAGTCTACATCATCGTCGACATCACCACCAACATTATCAACATCATCGTCAACATCAGCATCTTCAGCAGCATCATCAACAGCATCACCATCAACATCACCAGCAACATCACCAGCAACATCATCAGCAACAGCATCATCAACTTCATCATCGCCTTCATCATCGACATCATCACCGACATCATCAATTTTATCTACATTATCATCAGAACCATCGTCTCTGAAAACAACTCAACAGTCGTCATCAACCGTTTCAAACCTGGTGACAACAGTAACATCTTTAGATACATCAGAGTTTCCCACTACACAGGGAGATGGTGAGTAAAAATGAATAAGTCAATGAACTTGAATACTTTTTTCTCTGTCATATCAGCTAATCAAATCAATAATTAGTTCATTTTTTCATTTTATTTGAAATTATTCCATAGGTGAAGAAGAAACAAAAAAGGAATCAATGTATATGATTGATGATGGTAAAGTGCGTTCATCGTCAACAACCGCTTTCCTGACATCCACTTCATCAACACAGGTCCCCACTAAGCTTACCGAATCAACAATTTCATCTCAATCGATGATTACCTCCGATGCACCATCATCACAACTAACCAATAAACCTGATTCATTAACAAACCCATCAACAGCTTCAACATCTTCAACATCTTCAGAATCCACCTCACTCCATTCAACTCTAACATCATCAACAGCAACTAGAACAGCCACAGTATCAACGTCACCACCAACAACTCCATTAAAGACTGCGCCACCAACACCAGCAATAGTATCAACACTGTCAACCTCGACAACAACAACAACTACCACAAAAAGCCCGCCCCCATCAAGTACTACGTCAACTACAACAATTAAAATACCAACTCTTAACAGGATAACTTCACCATCAACAGTTGCTCCTAAAAATCACACAAACCATCAAGGAATAAAAGCAATATGTGGTCGTAAAATGAATGGACCTGGACCAACAGCTCGAATCGTTGGTGGATCTCAATCTTCATTCTCCGAGTGGCCATGGATGGTATCAACTCGACAATGGAAGAAAAACGCTTTCCTCCATAAATGTGGAGCAGCCCTTCTCAATGAATACTGGGCTATAACTGCAGCTCATTGCGTTGAAAATGTTGCTCCAACTGATTTACTTCTTCGCCTTGGAGAATATGATATTTCTCATGAAGATGAACCTTTTGGCCATATCGAACGCAGAGTCCAAATAATTGCACCACATCCAAAGTTTGACCCAAGAACGTTTGAGTATGACTTGGCTCTTCTACGATTTTATGAACCAATTACTTTCCGTAAAAATATACTTCCCATTTGTATTCCTGAAGGTAACAAGAGCTTTGTTGGCCGTAAAGCCACTGTAACTGGTTGGGGTCGACTCTATGAGGAAGGACCTTTACCAAATACACTACAACATGTTGAAGTTCCAGTTATTACTAATCAAGAGTGTGAGATGATGTACCGTCGAGCAGGATACCTTGAAGAGATACCAAATATTTTTATTTGCGCTGGAATGTCTAGTGGAGGCAAAGATTCGTGTGAAGGTGATTCTGGTGGACCATTAGTGATAGAAGAAAATGGACAGTGGAATCTGATTGGTATCATTTCTTGGGGAATCGGATGTGCTCTTCCAAACCAACCTGGTGTTTATACAAGGATAACTGAATTTGCTCGATGGATCCATCAAATTATAGCTTATTGAAATTTTATATTTTCAACTAAATTTCTAAATTCTTAATTTATTTATTTATAAAATATATTTTATATAAAGTCAATACACCAAATTTAAAAAGAGTTTAATTTATCAAAATTTTTGATAACTAAGAAAATAAGTTGCCCGGCGAATAGTGTAAATAAGCTATTTAAAGGTATTCTCATTATCTGGTAGCTTTCTGTATTATCAATAGTTCACTAGCTTAATACAGTTAAAAATACAACAATATCATTTGTTATTTAATCGTAATTTTCCGTGCCAATTGTTGTCAGTTATTAAAATTGATGGTTCTTGATTGATTTGATTTACTAGATTCTTCTTGGATCCATCTTTTAGGTGATAAATAAGCTTGAAACTCTCTAGTCAACACTGAATTTCCTCTGATAGCAGTGGCTCAACGTTTGATCAACTCCTTCCAATTCCAACAATTTCCAATCACAAAATGATTCACGAAATGAATAAGTGTTGAGCTATAAGGTGAATAATAGACTTACTCTCGATGCCATTCATAAATTGCTTCAATATTTCCAAATACAATTCGGGCCTTTTCACCCTTCAAATCTTCCGGAACTGGATACGGTTTATTATTTTTCATTTGTTTTATTTAACCATTAATAATGGAATCCAAATGAGTAACATAATCTTCCTCCGTGGTCAGCAACTCTTGAAGGAGGCGATCTCGACGCATCTCGTACCGTTCACGTTCCACATTAACATTTGACTCGTCGTTACCACTTGACCGTTTAGAGTTACGTTGAATTGATAAAGGCCGGGATCGGGGACGCTCAAAATAATTCAAATTGTTGACATTTATATTGTCATCAGAAGTGGCATCATTGCTGTTGGTCAGCTTTGTGTCAGTCATTAAACTGTCCTGCTCAATAATTGTCAATGGTAAGCTTTCATTTTCAATGTTCTCGTTTTTTGTTGACTTCTCTTCGTAACTGCTTGAAAATAATGATTCCTGGTGACAATTGTCGTCAATTATTTCCTCATTTGTTGGTTCAATATTCAAATCTTCCTCATCGTCATCGTCAACAACAACAACTTGATCATCATCGTAATCCTCTTCGTTTGATTCTGGGTTCATCGAAGAAGACCATTTTGATACAGACTCGACGGGAGATTGTGCATTTGCTTCTTTCAGGTCAGTTTCCGAGAGTATCAACGAGGAAGAAAAAATTAATCTATAGTTAAATGAGTAATACTTGACATGTTTAAACAACATAAAGGAAGAATGATGACCAAGAGAGGGAGAGTAAAATGGAAGATTAGAAAGTGCTTAAGGTAAGAACAAGGCTTGACCTGTTATATTAAAATGTAGATACTGTGGCTTTTATCGTTTTACATGTTAGATCAGGTATAAGATACTTGCATGATCAGCTAATTTGATCAACAATAAGCATAAATGTAAATGTAAATGACAAAGAAAGCTTAACAGAGGATCTAAAGAGTTTTATTATAATAATATAATGAGAGCAAAGAGTAATGCAACAAAATGACACCAAAAGTATTGCAAGGTTAATGATTTGATAGACTTTAAATGAGATCAATAAGTGTTTAACGAGTTTCACTGAATTTTAGAGGCCAAAACCATTGGAGTGATCATATGAGTGGATTAGCAACAAGTGGTTAGCCTAATCATTGAAAATGAATAAAACATAAGGCCTGATTGCGAATGGAATGGAAATAACAAATAAAGAAGTGAAGATTTCTTTTTTCTCATGTTATTTCTTGTAAAATGAAAAACTGAGCATAGAAGCGCGCTCATCTCTGTTTAATGATCTTACAGATCTTAAAGAATCTTGAAAGCGTTTCAATCAAAAACAAGTTACCAAAAAAAGTAAAGAGTAAGTAGGAGGAGGAAAAAGATGTTAATAATGATGACGATGAAGGTGGGTGACAGTAAATCGATAATATTAAAGTTGATTTGAGACGTGAAAGCTATTCAATTCTGTTTTATCCGAATAATAATCGCCACGACCCATCTTCTAACAAGTTTTCAAATGTCCTAAATCCGTCCAAGCTGATTATCCAGCAAATAAGGGAGAAGTGTGTTTGAGTGAAAGAGAGAAAGATGAAGACGAGTGAGTTTGAATGTATATTGAGTTGACAAAGTCGTAGTGAGACTCGATCAATCGTAAAGTTAGTCTCTTCTTAAGAAACCTTGATCAAATGAAATGTAATCAATAATCAACAGCTAAATCATCAGTATCGCCATTTTAAAAGTCCTTTTACTTTTCCAAATCTTAATTAAAGTTGAATCCACAATATATTGATATTGACACAACAGCAGTTACAACAGCCATCTAAACATGTTTCAACCAAAGCCTATGGCAATTTGTCTTCTTCTTATTCCCTTGATTGCTTGTTTCATTCATTTATCAGGTAAAAAACTGTTTTATCATAACCTTTGGGCAAAGTGTAAAGTGAATACAAGTTTGTACAATTTGCCAAGTGAACAAACTGAATCCAAGTAGAAATGCGAAAGACAAAGAACGGAAATTAAAGTTGACTTTAAATATGTCACAATTCGCTCCATTATTGTTTAATTTCAACTTGTTTGACCATCTCTAGTTTAATATCTTTTTGTCCATTATTAGAATCAGCCAACAGGACCATTGACCGAGTATGTTCATCAACCGCAGGTAATAGTTACAAAGCAGATCCAAGGAGTTGCAAATGTTTCTACAAGTGTAATCAAGCTTTCTATCAAGCTCGACTTTGCTGTGAAAATGATCTCTACTTTAATCCAGCAACCCAAGGATGTGATGATCCAAAGAATGTAAATTGTACAATTGTAGCGGAAGATCTTCCAGAATATCGGGATTCGAGTAAAACTGAGCTAACATCAGCCAAACGTAAGCAAATCTTGAATCTTTTAATATTCCTTTGATGATTACCAATCTCATTTCTGAACATAAATTGTTTCCTTTACACTCAACAGCTCCTGTTAAACCCGATTTGGAGATTTGTTTCGAGGGAATAGGACATTATCCCGATCCTGGAAATACCACTTGCTTTTATCATTGTGACGCCAATAATTACGCTCATCATCGTTGCTGTGCTCCAGGTTTAGCCTTTAATCCAGAGATCCGAAGTTGCGCTTGGTGATTAAAACATTCAAGCTTAAAATTTTCATAAATAAATTGAAATGTAAACATTAATCAATAGATGGATTAACAATTTTTTTCAATCTAATTAATCTGTATCTGTATCAGTAATCTGTTTGTTAAGGCTACAATTTAAAATGGGTTGACAAAAATTACAACAGAGATATCATTTTTAACTGAAATCTTTAGACTAATTTAGACTGTAGCAAAAATCCCATTGAAAATAATCAAAATGAGTTTTTTAACCTTCAATCGGGATAATTAATGAACCAATATTAGTAATTGTGGAATCCAATTCAAATTTTACCTTATTAATTGATCGTTTGAAATATAATGTGCTCAGAGGTTAAACTTTCTGGTTTATCTAATATCTAATATTAGCTTTGATACTGGGTAAGTTGTTTGGACTATTGCCTAGAAACGTCTGGCTGAGAGAGTTGACAATCTTATTGTGTATATCAAATAATAAATTAAGTTACTATTAAATACATGACCAGTTAATATGGAAATGTTTTGTTTCAATTTTAACAGATTATCTTCGATATTATGTTAAAGACTATTCGGATTCAAGGTCAATACGACCGTTGACTTGTAAATCACTTGATGGAACAGTTGGTGTTTGTATGTTCTCTCTAGCTTGTCGCCATGCAAATGGTCATCCAATTGGTCTTTGTAAAGATACCATTTATTCTGGAAGCTGTTGCCGGCTTCCTGTAAATAATAACAACACACATGATGGTTCACATGTTGACGAGGTTGAGAACTTTCTTGAGTATCCTGTTGGGACCAATCGAACCTCACCTAAGGTACCAATTGTCAATGTATCTCAGTCACTATCACCTTCATCAACAGCATCATTGCCATCATCACCTTCAACTTCAACTACAGCCTTTTCACCGTCAATTAGCACAACTATAACCACTGCCGCAAGTATTTCAACCACCACACAAGCTGATAACACAACACCGATAGCTAGTTCTTATCCGGCGACTCTTTTATCTACTTCATCTTCTACATCACAGTCTACATCATCGTCGACATCACCACCAACATTACCAACATCATCAACATCATCAGAATCCACCTCACTCCATTCAACTCTAACATCATCAACAGCAACTAGAACAGCCACAGTATCAACGTCACCACCAACAACTCCATTAAAGACTGCGCCACCAACACCAGCAATAGTATCAACACTGTCAACCTCGACAACAACAACAACTACAACAAAAAGCCCGCCCCCATCAAGTACTACGTCAACTACAACAATTAAAATACCAACTCTTAACAGGATAACTTCACCATCAACAGTTGCTCCTAAAAATCACACAAACCATCAAGGAATAAAAGCAATATGTGGTCGTAAAATGAATGGACCTGGACCAACAGCTCGAATCGTTGGTGGATCTCAATCTTCATTCTCCGAGTGGCCATGGATGGTATCAACTCGACAATGGAAGAAAAACGCTTTCCTCCATAAATGTGGAGCAGCCCTTCTCAATGAATACTGGGCTATAACTGCAGCTCATTGCGTTGAAAATGTTGCTCCAACTGATTTACTTCTTCGCCTTGGAGAATATGATATTTCTCATGAAGATGAACCTTTTGGCCATATCGAACGCAGAGTCCAAATAATTGCACCACATCCAAAGTTTGACCCAAGAACGTTTGAGTATGACTTGGCTCTTCTGCGCTTTTATGAACCAATTACTTTCCGTAAAAATATACTTCCCATTTGTATTCCTGAAGGTAACAAGAGCTTTGTTGGCCGTAAAGCCACTGTAACTGGTTGGGGTCGACTCTATGAGGAAGGACCTTTACCAAATACACTACAGTAAGGTACCAGATAATGAGAATGCGTTGAAATAGCTTATTTACACTATTCGCCGGGCAACTTATTTTCTTGATTGTCAACTTTCTTTAACTAATCAAATTCAAGATTAATTGATTTTTAAACTGATTTCTCGAGTTTCTTCATTGATATTTGGCGAATGAAAATTAGATTCAGTTAATTAATAATCAAAGAAATTTAAAGGAAATTTAAATTTGATTTAACTCTTCCATTGAGGGGTCGTTGAAAAATTGATTCTCATTATCTGGTATTCTCATTATCTGGTACCTTACTGTACAACATGTTGAAGTTCCAGTTATAACTAATCAAGAGTGTGAGATGATGTACCGTCGAGCAGGATACCTTGAAGAGATACCAAATATTTTTATTTGCGCTGGAATGTCTAGTGGAGGCAAAGATTCGTGTGAAGGTGATTCTGGTGGACCATTAGTGATAGAAGAAAATGGACAGTGGAATCTGATTGGTATCATTTCTTGGGGAATTGGATGTGCTCTTCCAAACCAACCTGGTGTTTATACAAGGATAACTGAATTTGCTCGATGGATCCATCAAATTATAGCTTATTGAAATTTTATATTTTCAACTAAATTTCTAAATTCTTAATTTATTTATTTATAAAATATATTTTATATAAAGTCAATACACCAAATTTAAAAAGAGTTTATCAAAATTTTTGTTTGAGAAACGACAATTTAAGCCAATTTAATTTACTTTAAGGCAATTCATAACCCGATCCATTTTACCAACAATAGGAAGATGTTATGATGTTCATTCATCTGTCATTGTTATTGTGAAAAAGTTGATACTTTGCCTCATCTTTGTAATTAATTATTATCATAATTTAATAATGTTAATAGTCGAGTCTGATTTTTGTTTGTCTGTTGCCACATTTCCCTGGATAGTTCATTTTTCCGTGTCTCTTGTTAAATTAAAATTATGATTCCAAGGTAATCAATTAAAAGATGTTGTTGATTGATGATTGAATTAAAAGTCGATAATTATCCTTGGCTAATGATTGTCACTAAGGTCATCATGCGATTCCGTACGGTTTTGTTATCTAATTCAATAACTTTTTCTTCATTCAGCTTCACTCGATATTAGTCCATTACATAGTAGCTTAATGCAGTTGAAAATACAAAAGTATTATTTGTTATTTAACCGTAATTTTCCGTGCCAATTGTTGTCAGTTATTAAAATTGATGGTTCTTGATTGATTTGATTTACTAGATTCTTCTTGGATCCATCTTTTAGGTGATAAATAAGCTTGAAACTCTCTAGTCAACACTGGATTTCCTCTGATAGCAGTGGCTCAACGTTTGATCAACTCCTGATTCCAACAATTTCCAATCACTTGTTGCGAATCTAAATCCACCTTATCTCTTGAAATAAAATATTGATAATAGATCCTTAGTAACTTTTTATCCAGTCTAAACTTCATCAACACTCTCAGAGAGGGAAAGTTGTCTTATAATTGTGTATTCCTTAACAATATTTCTTTACTTAGATCAACATTATCAGCAGATATCAACTCAACATCAAAGTCACCGCAGAAATCTAGTTTGAAGTAAGCTCGATAATGTCCAAATTAATATCCAAATCAGCAATTTTCATCCTTATCTCAATGTTCGTAATCCAAACGCTCTCTATGCGTCTATATTTGCACAAAAGAAAATTCGAAAGCAGCTGTGATGGTAAATTCGATTTATCCCAATATGCTCGTCTTGATCGTGTCTGTGAGGATTGCCTCGAGTTATACAAAGATTATGGTTTACACGAAACATGCAAGTAAGTTATCGTTTATTCAAAATAAGTTTTTTTGATTCATATTGTTAACTGAATATTTTTGCTCATATTTATTATTCAGATCCAATTGTTTCAATAATGTTATCTTTACAAAATGTGCGACGAGTGTCTTGCGGGAAAGCGATGCCAACACATTAATACAAAAGGTGAAAGAAATTTCGCCACCGAAATCTAAAGAGAATGTTTAGAAATCTAAAGAATCAAAATGTTCTTGTTGAATAAATATCAACAATATTTCAATATATTATTCAATATCCAGACTATCTAAGGTCCGGTGATATCAATTACATTGTAAATGTAATTTTAATTTTTTAGATGAAAATCTAGTTTGGATAACAAAACATGTCTGATGATTTTCAAAGGTAATTTTGTTCATTTTATTCAATAATATGTGAGTGTTTAAAATTAAACACAATGCAGAACGAAAAATAAGAATAAAGGAAATGTATTGGCATTTTGGAAGTATGACTTTATATTATAAAGAATCAATAAGAATAGTAATAATAAAATCAGATGATGGGACTACTAATTTTCTTTTTGTATCAATTTTGAAATAAAAATCAAAAAGGAAGATCAGTGAGCTTTTTGAGATAAATCTTTTTTTTGTTTCGCTTATGTTGCTTTTCTATTCAAGTGACAAGAGATGAAAGAAAATTGTTCAAAATTATTTAGACTGACGTTTACTTCTTTTTGCTTTTTCCCAAAGTGAGGGTTGAGCTCAAACTAGTAGTGCTTTGATTGATATTAGTCGTCGCTGATAAAACACTGGTCTTCTTCTGGTTGAATGCTTGAATCTCTTCCTCGAGCTTACGGCGTTCCTCTTCAACCCTTTTCTTCTCTTCTTGGTGGTGTTTTTTAAGACTATCATATTTTGTATGAAGTTCATTTTTAAGCGATTCAAATTGACTTTCTCGTTCACGAACTCGACAGACAAATCGTTGGCGTATCTCTTCTTCCTTCTTCTTGATCTCAGAAAGTTGAATGTTCCTTCTTGCTTCATATGTTTCCTGGACAAAAAGAAAGAAGAAAAAAGTTAATAAACAATTACAAATAAAGAGTAGGACCAGTTGCCATAAATTTATATGCAATTTTATTAGCTTCTGAGAATCAACTCTTATTCCCCAATTTTCAAATAAAGTAACATCTTTTTAATCCAATTCAGGTTAAGGTTAACAAGTTTTTCAAGCTAACACCGGATTGATAGAGGTAAATAGAATTTTTGCCCTTATGTTAGGTGAGCTATGCTCATCTTAGGGGCTAACAACATTTGCCTTGGAGTGATAAGTTAAACATGCCGATAGCATTAAACCGGTAATAACTGATAAATAATCTTCTAAGCATATTATTTTTCATTAAGATGTGAAATGTAGATAGCAATGCGTGTCAAGCAGGATCTGACAATGATTTTTAAACTGTTCCCAATCTTTGCTCTCAAAACTATAAAACACCCCTAAGAGTTTGGTTAACACTGATTTAAACTAGATAATTTGCATGAAAAAATTTATTTACCTGAAATGTGGATGCTTTAGCAGTGTCAACAACATCACCGAAACCCATTTCTTCAAGTCGAGTTCGTCTGTAAACTTCATAATGTTTGGTCTGGGTTGTTTCACGTAGATCTTCCATATTGATTCTTAAAAGCATCTCTCGTAGTTTAACGAAGTCACAGTGATTCTCGTTTTCAACTGAAATGGATATAAAAGGAAACATAAAAGGGAAAGATTAATCATCTTGCAAAGAAAACAATAACCGTTGAACTTGATAATGATTGATTGCCTACCTTGTACAGTTCCCCATGGATACTGTCGAGCTCGAACTTGTTTATTACCAAGTCTAACAAAATCATGACTGGCAACCACAGCAAAAGGCAAGATACCATTTGTTTGTAAGTTATTTTCTGCAATTTCAGGATCATCGGTGGGAAAATTGTAGATCTGAATTCCATTAGTGATTATTTCGGCCATAATTTTAGACCTCAATTTACTAAGTTCATTTTTAGTGATGATATCAGCTTTGGCAATTATTGGAATTATATTGACTTTACTATCCAACTGTTTAAGAGTTATCAAGTCGATAGCTCTAAGACCATGGCCAATAGGTGAGATTAAATAAAGACAGCAATGAATTCGAGTGTCCTGACTTGATAAGTTGTTAGTTCGGTGGATTTTCAATTCTTCCTGCAAGTACCTTTCAAATTGATTATCAATGTACTCCACAATGCTTTTGTATGACTCTCCTGGATAAAATTAGAAAATACAAAAAGGAAAAAAATCAGTGTTGAACATGACAGAAAGTATTAAATAAACGGGGGACAAAAAGTATAAAAAGAGGGAGTGAAGACAATATCAAAGATACTCCACCTTTGTTAATTTGATCACCAAAACCACGGGACTCTACTATGGTCAACTTGAGTTTAATTTGCTTCTCCTGTAACTCATGAGTTTGAACATGAAGTTCAACTGTTTGAGAGTTATGAGATTTGGTTGAAACATCGGGAAACTTGGTGTTGAATAGGGAATCAATCAAAGTTGATTTACCAACACCCGTGGCACCTAATACCAATACATTGAACACAAAGCCTTCTCTAATGGTCCGGTTCACATATTGTTCAGGCAGTGATTCGAAGCCAACATAATCGGTGGGAGATAAATTACGAATACCGTTAGCACCATTGGACTTGATATCCTCTTTCTCACCGGAGACAGTCATGTTGATGTTAATTGAGAAACCGAGATAAAAAAGACTGTCAACTTATTTGTGTAATAAAAAATTAATGCTTCAAAATGGTATGTAAGAAAAAAAGAAACTGGCAACACCAGTTTTACAGCGCCATCTTTCTCTAGATTGTTTATTTTTGCAGGTTTTTGATGTTGTTTGAAATGAAAAACAAAATCAACAAAAAGTTTGATTATCATCTGATTTTAATTTTATTGATATTATGTGTAAGCAACAAATTGGATTTTATACAAGTGACACCTTCGTGAGTAAAAGGGTTGATCCCATTTTTATCAATAATCTATTACCTCACCATTTTTGATGACAATGAGTGTTCATCCGTTGGATAGTGTAAAAAGTGAACCTATTTATTGTAATTTAATTGACAATGATGATTTTGGTTTGGATACTCGATTAGAAAGGTTGAGAGTATCTGCCTCTGTGAATAAAAATCAAGTTGCCAATGAGGATTTAATTCAAAATCAACTGCCATTACCTAATGGACAACAACAAACAACACAAAAATACCAGCAGTCAACACCTCATCATCCTCACCAGCAACATCAACTAACTCAACAACAACCACAACCACAGCATCAAAATTCAACAATTCATCCTTACCTTCAGTATCTTTTATCTGCATCTTCAACCCCTACCCCTCATCTTAATCACCTTCAGTCAATTGAAGATATCGATTGTTACATCAATTCTCCAGCTGAAGATTTTGACATTGGAGATTCAACATTGAATAGCCGTCAACTTGATGCAACTTTAAGCTCAGACAACTCACGTTTTCAATCTTATAAATATTTAACTCAAACTTGGCCCGAAGGTTCAACTTCGAAGGTAAATTATTTAATTCTTTTATAAATTGATAAAAATATTCTAACCTCTAGATAATTCTTTTTTTCCTTCATATTAGATGCTTGATTCTCCACTGGGACGAAAAGTCTACCATGTTGCTGCCGAGCAAACAAAAACTTTATCACCGCCAAAGGATAAGTGTGTGAAAAACTATGGAAGAGTTAAATCTTGGGGCAATTCTTTCGATAATCTCTTAAACGACGCTATTGGAGTTAAAATATATTCAGTAATTATCATTTAACAATAACAATTTACTGTGGCCATTTCATTGTGTTTACAATTGACTGAAATTTCATTGTTTCTTACAGAGGTTCCTAAGCAGAGAATTCAGTGATGAAAATATCCTGTTTTGGCTGGCATGCGAAAAATACAAGAAAATGATAAAGAAAACTGAGGTAAATTTTTTATTCCATTCTATTTCATATTATAATTAATGAATTTCCTTTGCATTTTTTTAAAACCTAGGCTCGGAAAGAAGCTAAAGCAATTTATGACCAGTTTTTGACTATCAATGGATCCCACACGGTAAATGTCGATGCTGATGCCAGGAATTCTGTTGCGAAAAATTTGAAAAAACCAACTAAAGAGCTTTTTGACAGTCCTCAAACTCAGGTAATTAACATTAATGCAAATTAAATTTTTGTTTCTCGCATCTCATGTTTGCTTTGTTATTAATTTTTACTCTATTTTACCCTTATTTTGTCTTCATTACAGGTATACAACTTGATGAAAAATGACAGTTATAAACGTTTTTTGACCAGTGAACTTTACGAAATGTGCCTTGAAAGTGAAAAAACTGGAAAACCTTTGCCTGTTTGTTCAAAAGATGATTGTGATAAGAAAAAAGTGCCTTCATCATCTAAAAGACGACTCTCATTGGGAAGCTGGGTTCTCAAAAAGACATTTAGGAAATGAACTTTTTTAGAATACTATTTCATTACAATAATTTTTGCATTCAACTTTTTTACGCATTTTTTGAAATATTTTTTTAACCTGATTTGATTATTTTATGTATACAATTTAATCATTACAATCGATCATGATTCTGTCAACAATAACAGTGTAATCACAATGTTACTTGTATATAAATGCATTGTGATATTCAAACCGAAGTCGTCATTATTTTATCACAACCCAAACCGTAATATTATTAACTGTATCTCTAAGGTTACAATTGTAATCATTGAGGGTGGTTGCCTGATCAAGGCGAAACACCAAAACAACGATACAATTTCAATGTCAACAAATAGGTTAATCAAACGGGCAATTAAAATTACTAGGAAATCTAGGATAGGTTAACCCAACTTTCAAGGTTTACACATTAATTAATATATATTTATAGACACATATTGAATTGAAAATCAACAATAATTAGTTCAATCAATTGATTCCATTTTTCTTAAACATCCGCTAACAATATTTGATCCAGTTTGCAAGCATAATTTTTAGGATATCCTGTGATAGTCAACTGAAAGCGTTACAAGCCATGAACCAAAAAATCAGAGTCACAGCCAAAAGCTTGATCTGTACTCTGTTGATTAGTAAACTAAGATGTACGACTGTTAATTGTAAAGAGTGTTTTATTGTGTGAATCTTGTTACAGGAAATTCTGTATTTCTGAATTGTTTAACCATTAAGAAACAAACTTTTGTACTCCTTTTGCTTGATCATACAACTATAGATGTAAGACAAGCAACAATTGACCGTATTAATGGTAATCAGAAGTATTTTGTACCAAACCATTTGAGTCCAATGAATATCCAGTATAGTTGCAATCAAAGGTACAAGCAGAAGCACACAAGGTAGAAAGGTTAAGCAAAAGGATTCATAATAACATCCAATGACTAGCAATAGATCAGAGACTACGACAATCAAGGTAATCGCAGCTAACATGATTCTAGTCCAGGTTACTGCTGCCATTCGTATAGAATCATAATCAATCTCAGATTGTTTCATTGTTACCTCAGCCTTGGATTCAGCAGGAATTTTAAGTTTACCATCTTGAATATCTTGTGATTCCACAATATAATAGTAAACTATGAAACCCAGTGAAATAATTGAAATAATATTCCACATGTAAATAATCCAGGTTAAAAAGTTGATTACACCGTTAAACACTGACTTGACTGGCTCGAGGGAAGATCTCCTTGCACCAATAAGTGGTCCAGACTGTTGGGCGTTGGGCTTGTTCCTCACCATTGACGGAGGTTTATAATTTGGTGGATAGTTGGCATGAAAAGCTGGGTAAAAACGATCTGGAAACATTTTTTAAGCACTTGTGTTGACTATTGTTGGTGTTGGTATAAAACAGTAGCTGAATGGGTTAAATATGATGAAGTGAATCTAATATTTCAACCTGCAAATAGATAAATCAGAAATACATTTTATTGATTGTCCAGTCTGTCCTTGAAATGTTTCTAAACAGAATTTTTATCGATTAAATCATCATGATATATCATTTGATGAACCAATTTAATGATATAATATAATGATTTCTAAAGAAATTGTTTATAATAGCATTTATTAATATATCTCTAATATCAACCCTGAAATTTGATTCAATTGTTGTTGGACTGTTTGATAGATTGATTTGGTGTAAATGATTCTGTCTTATACGCAAATATCTACTCAGGTTGTCACTAAAAAGACAAAATTAACTTAGTTGTCACATTTATGCACAAAACACAAAAAATAGGCAGAAACGCATGAAAATCGATCTCTTTCAGATTTAATCTCTACTGGTTTGTAAAGACTTACAAACTGAATCCATCAGTACGATTCGAAGATTTCTCTGATGATCAGCTTTCGAGAAAATTGAGTCCAAAGTTGGAACTTCGATCACTTTTTGTACAATTATGGAAGCAGTTTTTTTCATAAAACTCAGTTTACTGATTTATCCTTTGATAGTTGATCAGAATATTCACTTATTTTGAGAAACAAAAAATCTGCTTTTCTTTAAAAAGGATAAGTTCGATTTTCAGTTAAACTGGCCGTTTTCTTTGACCACGATATTTAGAGAACTGAAACTTATTTTTTGTGCCTAAAAATTGGTTTTACATATCAGTAGTAAGTTTTTTTCTTCAATTTATTGCCAGTTCTCTTGATTTTGGTCATTGGCCTGAAAACTTTGAGCCTCAATATTTCGCGAAAGGTAACACCTACAGTCACCATCCTTTGACCAAACACTAGATTTTATTATGGGTTATAACAATATATGACTGAAAATCGAAGAAAGTTCAGGTAATTCTTTAATAATGAATACTATTCTAATACGTTATAAGTAAACATTTACACCTTAGTAAACCAAGAACAAACCTGCCAGCATAAGTAATGCAATTCTATGACTTTTTTACAGGATCTTGAATGATTTAAAATCTCAATATATTATAGCCCATAATGGAATCTAATGTTTAGTCAAAGAATGATGATTGTAGGTGTCACCATTCTCGAGATATTTAGCCAGAAAGTTTTCAGGCCAATGGCCAAAATCAAGAGAACTGGCGATAGATTGAAAAAAGTGATCAACCGCTGATGTGTGAAACTAATTTTTAGGCACAAAAAATAAGTTTCAGTTCTCTAACTATCGTGGTCAAAGAAAACGGCCAGTTTTACTGAAATTCGAACTGATCTATTTGTTCAGAAATGGAAAATGTTAGTTCTCGTAATAAGTGCATTTTCTGAATGATCATCAAAAGTTACACTAAAGAATAGAATTCCATGAAAAAATCTACTTGCATCACTGAATAAAAGGCGATGTAAGTTCAGAAATTGGACTCGATTTTCTCGAAAACTATGCATCAGAGAAATTTTTTATGGGACTAATGGATGCAGTTTTCATGTCCTAACAAAAGGCGAAGAGTCTGAATTTGAAAAAGATTGATTTTTACCCGTTTCTGCCCATTTGTTTGCCTTATATTCAATATTTTGTGCATAAATGTGACAATTGTGTTACTTTTGTCTTTTTAGTAACAACAATCTATTCATTGACTTGTCGAAGTTAATTTAAGCTGCATTGAGACTCAGAAATTGATTTATTCAAAAATTAATCTCTGTTAGTTTATAAAGACATAAATGCTGAACCCATTTGTGTGCTTTAAAGAATACTCTGATGGACAGTTCTCGAGAAAATCGGGTTCGAAGTTGGAACTTGCAAAGCTTTTTGTACGATTATGGAAACAGATTTTTTCATCAAACTCAGAGTAATGATGTAAATTTTGATGATCTACAATGTAATGCATTCATTTTGAGAAATAAAAGTTTCCTTTTTGAACCAAACAGATTAGTTCGATTTTTAGCTAAACCGATCGTTCTCTGTGGCCGTAATAGTTAGCAACCTGAAACTTATTATTTGTCCATAGAAATTGTTTGCTAACATCATGGATTAAATAATTTCATCAATTTATGAACAGTTCTCTTGATTTAGGCCATCGGACCTGGAAGTTTGAGTCTAGATATTTCGAGAATGGTACCACCTAAAATCATCATTCTTTGATCAAACATTAAATTTTAATATGGGCTACAATATCATATGACAAAATACATTCAAAAATGAATATCTTTCTAACAATTAAGGTTTGTGTTTGAGTAATTTTCAACTTTATGAATTAAGTCTTGATTCGGATAACCTGAATAATACAAGGCTATAACTGTTTTTAATAAAATCTTACATAATTTATTCATTCAATTTATAATAGCCCATAATAAATCTAATTTTAGATCAAAGAATGATGATTTTAGGTGACGCCATTCTCGAAATATCGAGGCTCAAAGTTTTAAGGCCAATTGGCCAAAATCAAGAAAACCGTTGCTAAATTAAAAAAATGGTGCAATCCATGATGTGTGCAATTAACTTTTGTCGAGGCATAATAGGTTTCAACCCTCTGACTCTTACGGTCACAGAGCGCTGTCGGTTTAACTGATGTAACTGGTTACATTGAACTTGATCTGTTTTACAGAAAAAGAAAATTATATTTCTCAAAATAAAAACATTTTCTGGTTGTTCATCAAAATATACATTAGCAAAATGAGTTTCGTGGAAAAATCTGCTTCCAAAGCTGAGAAAAAGGCGTTCGAAGTTTAAACTTTGACCTCGATTTTCTCGAAAACTATTTATCGGATGACTTATTGAATAGTACCAATAGATTCAGTTTTTATGTTCCTACAAACGTACCAAGTCTCAACTTTCAGCTCAAATGTTCGCGTCTTTAGCAGTACTTCTTGCATTTGATTTGCAAGTTTAACCAGAAAATTGGTTTATTTGCCAAGAAATGGGTTAAGATGCGTTTTGTTGGTTAAATAAGTTGTTAATCATAGATTTACAACCCAAAAATCATGATCCGAATGCGCTAATAGAAATTTATTAAATTGCATTGAACTATCAATTAGTAAAGAAGGAAATTAGTAAAGGAATGATGATTTTAGGTGGTACCATTCTCGAAATATCGAGGCTCAAACTTCCAGGTCCAATGGCCTAAATCAAGAGAACTGTTCATAAATTGATGAAATTATTTAATCCATGATGTTAGCAAACAATTTCTATGGACAAATAATAAGTTTCAGGTTGCTAACTATTACGGCCACAGAGAACGATCGGTTTAGCTAAAAATCGAACTAATCTGTTTGGTTCAAAAAGGAAACTTTTATTTCTCAAAATGAATGCATTACATTGTAGATCATCAAAATTTACATCATTACTCTGAGTTTGATGAAAAAATTATATTTCTCAAAATGAATACACTATCTGATTGACCATTAAAAGCTGCATCAGTTCTATGAGTTTGAGGAAAAAATCTGTTTCTCTAATCGTACAAAAAGCTTTGAAAGTTTCAACTTCGAACCCAATTTTCTCGAGAACTGTTCATCATAGAAATCTTTAAATTGCCCAAATGGATTCAGTTTGTATTCCTTCACAAACCAACACAGATTGAATTTGAAAATGATTGATTTTTACCCGTTTCCGCTCATTTGTTTGTACAATGAAATGTATCTTGGGTAGAAATGTGAAATGTGTTACTTTTGTCTTTCAAGTAAAAACCCATTTTATTGAAAACTGATCTGATGCGAGTAACTCTCAAATATGTAGATATTACAGCTCATTCTTATGACGTTTTCGCTGCTACTAATCGAGAATGTTAGATGATGTATTTTATATGACATTTCAGCGTTACCTGTGGATTCGTGTGAGGTAATTCCGGTTAACCAGTGCAATTTGATTGACATTAATTCTTGAGAAATTGTATTTGCTTTTCCAAATCAATCTAATGTTCATTGAAAATGAAATTTCTCGGTGGATCAACCGTTTGGTTACTCTTTAAATTATCTTTGGGTTGATCACTGTGACAAAAGTTGAGTGACAGGCTTCGCCGAGGCTTTACTTTAATCAAGGGCAAATAACAATCAAATGACAGTGATATTTGCAAACAAAAAAGTACAATCCACTCAATACCAATTCCCATTTTTAACAAATCAATTTTGTTTGTTCAACTAAACAAATGATATTCAGTTATACAATTACAGTTTTTTCTGGGAGATCACTTTTCGTTTAGTTAAAAGAAACTCAGAAATGAATGTTCTAGTTGAATTAGTGACTTTTATGAAGTCATCGGACCAGAGGACAATACCTGCATTAACAAGAGAAGATATCATTGTGTTTTACCGAGCACAATTTCAGATTAGCTAAATTTTAAGTTATTGTCAGTCGGTTTAAAATTAACAGATAAAATTAAAATTTATTCAAATGTAACGTTATACAGTAAAATTGAAACATTGTCCATAACAATCGTCTTTGTAAGCATAACAAACTTTGAACATTTTAGATAATCCAACAGTTTTTGACTTAATTACAGAGTTAAACTTGATTTATCCGGTCAGGAATGACAGATAACAATAAAAGAAGAGTTCAGCATTTGTAGCCGGACTCGTTTTAGAATGTCAAAAATGATAGAACGATAATGGAAATAATTGAACGACGAGTAAAATCAATAACGTTAGAAAAAAACATCGTTTGCTTCACATGAATCGATTTGGTTGAATGAGGAAACGATAGGTAGATACAAAAAAAGATGAAAAATTTAGCTTGACAATCATTTAAGAGTGAAAGCGAATATTTTCCGGCCCAAATGGTCAGGTGATAAAGTAAGGATATATTTGCGTAAACTTGTCAATAAAACAGCCGAAGTGACAAGAAGAGCTCCGACAATCGAGTAGATGTCAGGCATTCGCCGAAAGAGAAATATTTGCGTTATAAAAGCAAAGAAGACTTCAGATGAGGCTCGAGTAACGCTAACCAGTCCAGCTTCCTCGTTTTGTAGTGCTTTAGTCAATAATAATTGAGCATAGAAGCTAGCAATCGCCAGTATAACCAGTAACCAGGGACCCATGCCACATTCGGGTAGCTTGAAACCATCCAGGAAATATGTAATGAAGGAAGTTTCCAGGATTGCGACCCAAGCAAAGTTAAACAATATGATTGAGTGATGAAGCTTTTTAACTTTACGGACAACAACATAGGAAGCAGAGCCAACCAGAGTGGCACCCATACCAGCAGCCAGACCAAGTAACTCGGATCGTCTATCAATACCGGCAACAGCAGCTTCAGCATCTGTTGAGCCAAAAAGGACATTTAATTTAGCTGTGAATGCAATGCCAAGAAGTGTAACAGCAAGAGCGATGAAATGGAAGATTCCACAGGGTTCCTTAAGAAAAAGGCGAGCAAAAATACAGACAAATACTGGCATGGATAAGACAATGATGGTTGCATTGGCTAAAGGTAGATATTGTAGAGCACAATAGCGAAGGTAAAGTGAGGTTGCACCAAATAGACCACGCAATAGGACCCAAACTCTCAAGTCTTTTGGGCCTAACACATTGGTACCCAAATCGGAGACCATTGGAATGGAGAAAACTAGGATTCCAAGGAAGCGAAAACATGCCAAAGCACCAGGATGTATTGTCGATAGATGTTTAACAATGGCGGTTGTTATAGAGAAAAATATGGATGAAAGAAAAGCATAGAAGACACCACGAAAAGAGGACCAAAAGGTTAAAGCCAATTGGCGGGATTCACGACGTAGATGGGTCAATGTTGTTGAAGCTCTTTTCTTATTGTTATTGTAGCTATTAAGGTGATTATTGATGTCATTAATATTGGTGTCGTTAACTGTGTTATAATTATTACTATTTAAAATGGGCTCTGAACTGATGAGAGAGTCAACCGTTCCATTCAAACCAAGAACAGCACCTTTTGGGTCTAAAGAAGAGACAGATGTCACTCCTGTCTTAACTGAACTTGAGTCATAGTTGGTTAAATCAGTGAAACCATCAATCCGGTAAACTTCACTGCCAATTTTGTGGTCATCTTCATTATTATTGTTTTCATTTATATCATTAATATTTATATCATTAACTGGACTGAAATTGTTGTTGTTGGTATCACTGTCAACATTGTGATCATCATTCATGGTATAACAATCGTTTGTATGACCAAAGTCATTTGGTTTGTAGCTTTGTTTCATTTTCATTAGTTTAAAGGTTGAAACTGACTGAATTTAGTTGATAACAGATTACTGGTTAATATTAAATTGTTGAAGTGAGATATTTAGTGTTTTATTTAACCAAAATAAACCAGTAAATGAATAGAACATGATAAAGAAGATGGAAAAAGATGAAAGAATCAAACTTGATTCACAAATTGAACTTGTACATGATATTTTATTGTCTCCATTTAATTCAAGGTTCAGATCAAGATTAACGGAAATTATATTAGCAAATAATTAAAACCATTAACGACGATTCAATGGTTCAGCCATAATTAAAGCGCTAAATTGGTAGAAGTGAAAAAACTTGCAAAAAATAAAGCAAAACTTGGAGTAACTTGGTGATTGTTGATTAAATTGGAATAATGAGAAACAATTGATTGAGAAAAACATCAAGTTAATTGTGCACAATTTAAAATAACTATTAACGCATACATAAAATGAATAACCAGTTTCATGAGATGTTGATTGTACTTATGACAACGATGAAGGTGATGTTGATGATAATTGTGGCAATCAAGGGACTGAATGATAAACGCATGTCTATATTAGTTGAGTTGCTCATTTTCATCGCTATTCATCACCAGCTCAGTAAATTGTCATTAACAATTTAATAATATAATCTTTGTAAATTATTTCACGGGTCAATTTACTTTGATAATCCTTCACAATCAACTGTGTAACCCTTAAAGGTTAAGATTCCCAATTTGACCCCAAGTTGAACATTTGAAACCATTTTTCACCTTTTGCTTGATTTTACAATGAAATTAAACTAATTGTCTAACAGTTGAATCTGTTGAATTTATTCTGTTATTACAATTTAAGCTTCCATTGACTTTGGTAGCAACAAAAACCATGGCATTAAGGAAGTCGAGTAAATCCAAGTTGACAAAGCTCTAGGATTAAATTGTGATTAACAATCAGTTTGCATCTCATTGAACCATAGATTTAGAATGGATTCAACCAACAATGATATTAATACAATAAAATGGTAAATTCAATGACAAACAATTAATTAGTTAACTAAATAATTGTAAAGGTTTTCTCAAGGATTTCAGATTGACTTTTTAATTTACCAGTTTTTTTACCAGATTTTTGTTTTCACTCAGCTTCTCAACTCAAAACATGACCCAAACGGGAATATATTACAACTGAACAAACAGTAAGACAGTCTTCAGATTGATTGAGATTGAACATTAAATTGACAATCAAATATTCAATTAAATCAATCAAAATGTTGATTTAAGTCCAATTGAAAGGTAGGATAAATGCATCATCATTATTGAAAGACATTTGTTTGTAATTGAAATGGCGATCAACTTTGATAGATTCAAATTTTACCATAAAATCAACAGTAAACTTAATTTTTTGTTAACCTTCAATTCCTGGAATTGAATCAAATTTATGGATCTTGGTTGAAAGTGTTACGATTTAAGTTTGAATTGCATTGTTTTGGTTAATTGTAATTACCGTTTTACCATCTTCAGGTTAGTACCAAAATGTAATACTTTTAAATTGTTATTTAGTGAGAGATGAAATTTGATACACTTTTGTTTAATGGTAAATTATGATAAAGCGAGAAACATAAACATTTTGAAATGAAGGAATGAGCTTAATTTTCGAGTTTTAATAAATTTAAATTGGTTTGGATGTAGATACAGATGTTTTTACTGATTAAAGGCAAATATCAATTACACGGAATCTTATTACAAAGGGATTTTTATGACTTTTTTGATCGAACCATTTTTTTCAAAAAGTAAATCAATTTTTACTTTCACATGAAAATCACTGTTTCTTTTGCATCACACTGTATATCAATAAGATTTGGGTATAAAGTGAAATACCAGATTCTTTAGCTCTAATTGATATTAATTTGGTTTCTCATTTTATCTAAATTGCCCTTCAGAGTAAATTTTTCAAATATGAAAAAAGAGATTTGCAGCAAAATCGATTTTAATCAAGTTTTATGGTCTAATTAAGATATTGTCTGGTTATGGCAACATTGTTGTTTGCGAGTTTTAATTTTAATTTTCAATTTGTGATACACTTTGATAGTTAAAAAATTACAATACAACTGGATCAAATGGAATCGAAATGAATCAATGTTGAAGTCTCTAGAAAAGATAGCTTTCCAAGATATACACTTATAATGTTGATCTGTTACAATCTATTCAAGCACATGACAAAAATTAGTTTTCATCTTTCAATTTAACTTTTTCAATTTATATTCATTTGGAGGGTTCAAAGCAATACTTATAATGAAAAGAAAGGGATGAAAATGTAGACGATATGATAAGGTGTCAACAACGGGATGATTAATTGGTGATAATCTTGCTAGGGAATGAAGCATTAAATCAAATTGGTCTGTATAGCCCAAGAGTTGATAAGAGTAATATTGACCATTTTTAGCAAAAAAATGGGATAATTATAATGAAAATACAGTCAAAGATGGAAACTCTCAAAGGTAAAAACAAATTATTTGTTTAGTGCAAGCAAGAAGCATGCATACACTAATCATTCAATATTTTACAATTCATATGGCAAGTTGTTGAATCATTCAAGATTTTGTAGTTCTTTGAAGCATTTGTTGATTCTATTTATCTTTTATCTATCTTTCATTTGCTAATCTATTGAGTTTTGTACTTTTTGAGAGACTTGACTGTATTAATGTTGCCTTAAAGCGCATTATTTGTGTAACAAGATGATTTTTCTGTTAATTTACTGATTTGATTTACCCTGTCAAAATTTAAACAGAAGAGATCTTTGAATGAACAACTAGATTAACGTTCAATATTTTCTTTCCGTGACTCAATCAAGTAAAACTATCTAGCGATATTGAGATAACTTTGGTCGCACGTTTTCTTGACATTTTGTTTGCCGGTTGTTTAGATGATGATGATTTCGAAGTGGAGGGTGTTGTTGTAATAGGTTCGTCAGATACTTGATGGCGATGTCTAAGATGATTCTTGTGATTTCCCGTGGCCGTTCCAGTAGATAAGAAGCAAATATTACACCTTTCAAAAATTTCATCTGGATTTTTCTCTTGGCATTCGATGATACATTTCAAGCAATAGTGCCGTTCGCTATCAACAACAGAAACACTTCCAGTCTCAGGATTCTTGTAAACAAGTCCACCGAAATATTGCCAAACAATACTTTTCTTCCAATCATCGATAATTACGTCAAATGCAGAAATAGGTTTACCCAAATAATCCTTTAGAACACTTTTATGACTGTCACTCATCATTAACCGTCGACCTGATTAAAAGATTGAAAATTGAAAAACACAAAGATTAATTAAAAATGAAAATGAAATTGAATGAATGAAAAAATGAAAATGAATTGAAAATTAAATAGACAAATAGCATAAGATTTAGGAAAACTTACCTTGATGAGATATGTTAGAAGACGGAGTTGCAGAGCTCGTTTGCGGTGTCGACAGAGTAAATTGACCAGAATCCTCTTGACTTATTTGATGAATGTCTTCTTCAAATAAAGTTACTTGCTTGAGTGCAGCTTCAGCGACATCATGGACATCTGAGGCAACAATTAAGTTATCCGCACCATTATCTATTACCACCGAAGCAGTAGCGATGGACTGCTCTAAAATTCTAGATGCTTCACAATGAATAGCATCGCTTGTTAATTGTTCTTGATGAATTGCATTTCTATCATCAATTTTTTCTCGCTCATCTTCATCTTGTTCTGGCTCTTGTTCTTGTTGCTGCTGCTGTTGCTGCTGTTGCTGTTGTTGTTGGTTAGCCAAAGCTTCTGCCTGTTGTAGTTGTTTTTGTTGATTGAGCAATTGCCGCTCTTTTTCTCGTTGTGTCCCAAGACGAGAAGCATGGAATCTCTTTACTCCTGAATCATCTTCTGATTCACTTGTCTGACATGAACTATCTTTTGTTTTACTAGACTCCCCACGAGCTCGCCTTCGTTTAGGTTTTGAATAAAGTGGAGATCCCGAGAATGCAGATTGACTTCGAGCCTGTTTCTCGGTGACTTCAGCTAAACCTTTAACCTTTAAGGTTTCAGCTGCTTTTAAAAGTGACGGCAATTGTTCTTGTCCAACATTAACTTCCCCAGTGTACATGAAGTCAATGATGGCTTTTAGATCAATGAATCGAATATCTTTACAAATTACAATAGGATGTTTACATGGATTTGTCATGAACAGGCTTTGAAAGAATGGACTACAAGCAGATAAAATCATTTTATGTGCTTTCAAAGATGCGCCTTCACATGCAATAGTAACATCTACCAGATTTTCGGAGATTAACATATTCGAAAATACGTCGCTGAGATTGGATAAATGGTTATTCCACTTGAGCATAAATTGCTGCTGCGTCATGATTCAACTGGTGGCAAATTGATCTGTAAGAAGATACAAGAGATCATTAGAAAGACCATACTAGTTACTACCATGAAAGTAAATATCTAACGGTTTGGGTTTGAGAAATGAAAAAAGTGGTCTAACAAACCAGTGAAAAAATAAACAAAGCTATAAAATCTAGACAAGCGATTACTAAAATCCCCTAAAAAATAACATCCATAGGTAGGTATTTTCACGCAACCATTGGTGATTCTGACAAGACCTTGCAATTTTCTTTCAATTGTACGATAATATCAATGAAATAATAGCACGAAGGCCAGATAGTGCCGATTATTTCAATTGAAAACAATAATAATAAAAATATTGCTCAGCTCAGGTAGAGATGGCTTGGCTTGCTCAGCCAATTAAATTGGTTAAAAACTTACCTCAAATGCAGAAAGAAGAGTTAGTAGCAAGAAAAAATGTCAATTTGTATCAAATTAAATTTAAACAAAAACCAATTGTAACTAAAAGATGATCAAGAAACACATTTACTCACAACAACAACAATTTGAAAACAATAAACGGAAAAGAAACAAGCCGAGGCAAGATGGCGGCTCAGTTATTTTGACAGAAAAATGAGTATAAATAGACACAAAAGCTTATTTTCCAAGCAAAAACTTTATCTAAAAAAATTAAATTAAAATTAAATTCCAATGATTAGATCAATAACTGAGACAGAAAATCAAAGCCATCAACCCCCGAAATAAACAAATTCAAGTGACATAATAATTTAGAGATTTAAAAAGTCAATAGAACTCAATTTTGATCCAAATAACAGTATAAATCTTATTTCAAATTATCTCAACAAGTGAGCCTTGAATATGAATTATATCATCGACTAAACTGTTTAATGAATTTATTTAAAGCTAAATGATTAAAATGTTTGGTTTAAACAAATTGGATCATTGAATGGTTAGACTTTCCCTAAACCGAATCAGTAACTTAAACTGTTGAGCAAATAGCGATGATGATATTACTAAATGAATTAATCTAATGTTTAATTGAATATGCTTTTATCTAAGGTTAACTCCTTAGCCTAAGGTTATCAATATCTTATTAGCATTTTAATTTTTTGCTTTATCTACCTGAATAAGTTAACAATTACGATTAAAAGCAACTCTTTTTTAGGTGTGACCAGAATTTGGATCGATTGTAAAGTTGATTGAGCAAACTGTAGATGGAGTAACCGTATTGTGACGTCATTTTTTGTTTCTCTTTTATTTTATTGTGGAGGGTTAAGATCCATTCACCAGGGATAGATTCAAACTCACACAATACTGAGTTTTGTGTGTTTCAATTTTTATGAATGGTGAGGAAGATGAAAATGGGTGATAATTTCCAATATTATGGTTTATTTCATTAGTTTTGCTATTTTATATTCTCTACTTTTTCTACATTCAAGTGATTAAAGTGGTTTTCGTTTTTTCTCTTCACATCATTCAATAGTGGGAATAGTGCAGTGAATTTTTGACTGGACAACATCGGTGAACACAGGTAATACCTGTGTTGTGTAATTGTCTTATTTTTGCTCTTCTTATTTTTTTCTTATTCTTCTTTTTTTGCTGCTCATCTTCCTTTATTTGTTTGTACCTCTTTCTTTTCTAATTTGTGCACATTGTTATTTCGCCATGTCAAATGTAAGAGCAGAAATACTTGCTGCTAGCCGTTCCCGGACTGGTTGGCAGAGGCAAGTTTCATATCCAAGCAATCAAACTAAACCTAAGCCCATAATTGATTCGTTGAGGATGTCATTTGAGGAGAAGGTATCTTCAGGGTGTGAAACAAGTAACCTTAAAAGCGGTTATAATGGTAAAGATCATCAAGGAGATAATAAAGGTTCATCAACCAAAGAAAGACGAATGGGTGCCAAAGTTAGTGCCATTGCTATTATATTTCAATCACTCTCACCTCCACCGCCATCAACTACAATAGGATCACCGATGACCACATCTAACTCAAATGTAACTGCTAATAATAACAACAACAATATCAGTAACAATGTCAATGGCTCATCGATTGTATCATCTTCAACTTGTGCTAACAACGTGAAGAACAATGAAACCAAACTCATTTCTACTGGTATCGAAAGCAAACAATCTAGTGATACGATTAAATCGAATGGTTCACTTGCTAAAAATAATAATTTTTCCAAATCAAACGATGATGTTTCTAAAAATGAATTACAAGATGACGTTTCGCCATCTAAAAAATTCAACTCTAATATCAATAGTGCTTTCCGTTGTAAAAGAAGTTGCTCTCTTCCAGTCTCACAAGATCCAGCTTCTAACCTTGACGGTAAATACTTGAAAGATACAGTGGATGCTAGGTTTAAAGAAAATGATCTTAAATCATCAAATAATTCTGGTGATAAGCCCACTATAACTGCTAAGCCATCTTCAATCAAAATCAACCGAACCGAAAGTAGAGTTAGCAGGTTCAATAACGCACGAGCTGTTTTCGAGAAATTACAAACTTCATCGGAAAGTACAACACCAACTACACCTCCAAACAATGGACCAACTTTACTGAAAACATCACGATCAAATTCCCCTAATGGCAGCATTGAAAAAATATCTTCTAGAAAAACTTCATTATCGGAAGATGATTTAAAGGAAAATGGTATGAATGGTATTAATTCCGTAAACCAATCCAGACAAGTAGAAAAAATAGAGAAAAAGTTACCATGTGAATTATCTAGGAAAAGCACAACACCATCAGTTATCGGAGCAACTAGCATATCTTCAGGCAGCTTGCATCAAAATGTCACAAATACACTGATTGATCCTGTACAAAGACCAAAAGAAAGTCCACCTCCTAAGCCATCTTATGTATTACCCTCTAAGGTAAAAGAGATTCAACGTTCAGTCTCAGTTCCAACAAATGGAACACCAACATCCAGCTTATTAAATAAACAAGCACCGGCAGCTAAATTAACTGAAGACTCTTTGTTTACCAAGAAACGTACTTCCGGTACCTTGGATAGTTTGAGAAGCGGGAGTGAAGAAAAGCCAAAACAGGCTCAACCACAACCACAACAGCCTAAAATTGTAACAACATCAGTTAAACCTGTAGAGCCACTCATCATTGATCATAAGACAAGTGAGCCGGTAAGCCAAGAGAATGGTAAACAAGTAAGGTCACAATTAGCTAATGAGGATAAGTCAAAGATGACTTCTAAAGAAGAGTTGATTGAGAAAATGATTGCAGCTATAGCCGATGACTCAATGGTTGTAGAAACTAAACTAGATTCAAGAGGTCAACCTGAACTCGATTTAAGTGCATGTGACACTTCAGGAATTTCCCAATTTATGGATTTCGATGATTGTTTTAAAGATGTTGACATGATGACCGAAGAGGAAGCTGAGAAACTTTTATCACGCAAATCTAGATCAACACTCCATGCAGATCTGGGAAATCGATTAAATGCCAATAGCAGCTCAACACCAGTACAAATACCAACACCAGCACCAGCACTCGCACAAACACAAGCACCAGTAGCAGCAGCAGTAGTATCAACACCAACGCCAAAATCAGCGTCAATTGTCTCATCAAATGTTAATACCAACACTCTTGACAATTTGCCTCCTTCATTACCTTCATCTGTTACAAGCTCCTCTGCTGTATCACACCGAGTTACTGGACCCTCTGTAGCTCCAGTACCATCAATGATAACAAACATTGCACCGGCCATTTCATCATTAACACGTATAGAAACAACAAGCACGGGTAATTTTGATGAAATGTATGGAGGGGAAGCATCAGCTGAAGCTGATCTCAAATCATTTGAAAATCATTCAGAAAATTGTATAGTTTACGAAACAAACAACCAACCTGAGAGTCAATTGATTCCAGATAGTCATTACTTCTCAGAAAAGCCTGGATTACCACCCGAAACAGATGATGCCGATGATGTTTATTCCAAGGTGCCTAGAAAGAAGCCAACCCGAGTGAAATTCAGTACCGAACCCATTAAAGTGTTTCCCACACACGCAGTTGAAGATTATGATCGTCGTAATGAAGACGTTGATCCGGTAGCTGCTTCAGCTGAATATGAACTTGAGAAGCGCATTGAGAAAATGGATGTTTTCCCTGTTGAACTTGAAAAAGGTCCAGATGGTCTAGGTTTGAGTATAATAGGAATGGGAGTCGGTGCTGATGCTGGTCTTGAAAAATTGGGCATTTTTGTTAAAACAATCACCGAGAATGGTGCTGCTCACAAGGATGGAAGGTAAGAGTCAAATACCTTTTCTCAACCATTTTAATCATGTTTATTCATGTTTAATAGCTCTTTTCCTCTTTCTTTTACCAGTCTATTCATCTTTCCTCTCCATTAGTATTTATTTGTAAAGGCGTCATTAGCCTTTAACGCTATTAATTTGCTCTTTCTTTACTCGATTTTTGATAACCATGATTTGAATGATAAACATTTTTCAAACCTTCAAATGTTCACTTCAGATCACTTTATCAAAAAGCAATACAACAAAAATTGTAAACAGTCAAAAATTGTGAAAATCTTGTTGAATTGATGTTAAATTTTTGTACAAAAATTCAAGTAGATCATTCAGTTGCTTTCAGACAGGTAGACAATAATGATAATAATGAATCCTGTCATTGGTTCTGATTTAATTTCATTTTTTCCTTGTTATTCTGTCTACTTTTTGTACCAACAATTTTTCAATTCCAAGCCACCAACGCTTAACAATTAAGTCAATATTTACTTTGACTTGAAACATTTTTTTCAACCGTTCAATACATTTCCACCATTCCTTTTCACATTCACACTACAATGCTCAAACAAATTGAATAGATTCACTGTAATTTTGATTTTCCAAGTCTACTAGATTTAATCAAAAATGATTTTGATGACAGAATCAAATGAAACTTTTCGTAATTTCAATAAATGGTAAAGTGTGAATGAAAAGGTAAAGGGGTATTGATGCGTTGACACTATAAAAGTAAACCATTCAAGTGAATAGTTGATGAAAATAAATCGTCAAGAGGAACCCTTAAGATATAAAATCATCAATTAACTTTAAACTGTTGCCTTTTCGCAGCAAAATTAAGGTCACAATTTACCTTATATTGTTTAATTTATCAGCCATTTTTGCCAAAATGTTCATCGCAATTATTTATCTACTAATGAGGTTAAAAAGTAAGCTCATCACTGTATACTTGTTTCTTGTCTTTCAATAATTATGTTTACACTCTTCTAATTAACTCACAATTATTTACTTTAACACTTGAACTATTGGCTGATTTTTAATTAAATTGTGTGAACAGCCATTGAAATGAATCAATTTTTTTAATGAGCCCAAAAATGTGACCAATTTAAACCCTTTAAACAATGTTTAAGGAGTAAAATAAAACTATTGTTTCAAGGCATTTCCTTCCAAGTCTATCTGTCAAACCTTTAGATTCATTCAGTGATGAAAATGTCTTCGTTAATTCCAATCATTTTCGCGATGCTCCATTTATTATCAATTTTTCGCTACATTCTCTCATAGAGGCAGATTAGTTAATGATAGTTGATGAAGAGATGAATGAGAAGGAAAAAAATCTCAGCCTGAAAAGGCTTCAATTTTCTGGCAAACTTGAATGACCTTAGAGAATGTTTAGTTCATTGAGAAAAGTCAATTTCTTTGAATCACCTCATGATCCTTTAAACGGCTCCCCTTGATTGTAACCCAGTCAATTAGCTATATTGACATGTATAAACTCGGAATGATAATAAAAAATTACAGTTATTTGTAAACATCATTCAGTGCTCAGATTAAATGATGCTTACGATGAGCCTTACAATTAGGGTAATACGTGCTCGATTCACACTAAATGCGTTTGTTTGCCTGGAAAAATTGAAGACGATTTTTGAGTTCTTAACTTAAAATTCAATTTTCGTGTAAAACTTTTACTTCATTTTATAAGCTTTTCAATTATCCACTCGTCCTTTAATTTAATTAAAAAATTAACAATCAATTTCTATGAAGATTGAAACACACTTGAAGCTAATTGAAAATGCAACTCTTCATTTGCAATGATTTACAGTGATTTATGACTTTAGTGAAGCGACTTTAGTTTTACAATTTGTAACATCAATCCAATTGTATTGAAATTGACCTAAACTTGATGATAGTTTTTGGCTTATTGTGACCATCTAATTAACTCATTTTTCCCTTTACCTTTCAACATTTGATTCTTAATTGTGCTCCTTTCATCATGTGAATTCACCTGTCATTTGATTTCCTTCGTCTTGATCTAATCATCTTTGTATGCAAATATGATAGATTTCAGTTTGCTGGTCATGATGGTTACAGACATAATAATGAATTTCATAAGACGATCATTATCACCACCATCAACCTTTTTGATTATTATTATTATTATTTTTCATTTGCTTTTACTTTACCAGTAGACCTTAGATGGTTAATTTTAATGATAATTTAAATTTGGTTGTGATGATGAATTGAATGTGTGAAAATGTGAAATGCAATCCTTTCTTCATGAGTCCATTATTGAATCTAATCTAACCTCACGAAACAAACCTACAATTAGTTAATTTTAATTTCACTCTTGCTTTCGTGTCCGCTCTTTTGAAACTTTGTTAACTCGTTGACGTTCAGTTCACATAATTTGTTCCAGTATGCCAACGATGACATACAACACTTTCTGACTTTAAGATTTAATCTAAAAAATCTTTATAATCTCAACCAGTTTTATTTTCATTCAACCAACTTTTACCTTTTTGACATTCAAACATTATTTTGAGTCTTTTGAATAGCAAAGTCATAACACTTTTCAGGCTCACTTCATTGAATCTTATCAACTCCATTTTTTAATAATAAACTTGATAATTTACAAAACATCGTTTCTCTAAATGAGCGTTTTCGGTCGTAAGTATAATAACAATTTAGATACTTTTCTTGCTACAAGACACAATTAAAGCGCTATTATTACACAACTGTAATTGAAAAAAGTGTCAATGAAATGAAAAACATGTCTTTTTTGTAAAACTTAAACTTCCGGATAGTTTTGAAGCAAATTCAAACATATGGTGAAAAGATATTCCAAGTTTCCGTTTTAGAGCTCAAATGTTCAAACAAAAGCTATAAGATTACAGCTGAATATTGTATTTTTTGGTTAAAAATAGCAACTTTTGTCTCCTCAATTTGCACGCAAAATACAATAATAAGCAATATTATATCATCTCTTGTTTCTGTGAGTGTGACTAAAACCATTTAAACTGAACATTCCAATTCTTAAATTGACGCTCTTTCTCTTCACTGATAATTTTAACAGATAAATGTTAAAAATCTGAACAAAATATTTAAAATAGCATCACAATTTAAATATTTAACCTTAAAATTACTATGTTATCTTGAAATACGCTAAGTACACAGAGTTACTCCAACTTTACCTAATTTTCAAACTCATAACAGACTCTTGAAACTCATCTCAAAATTTTCTCTTCATCTACTAATTTCATTATCATTTCTTATTCAACATTCTCATGATGAAAACCAGAAAAAATCATCAATTTGACTGAACATCATTAGACGTTGCAAAACGATAAATGCTCATATCATTGAACCAGAAACCAACTTGAGCTATCAATTATTTTCATTGTGATAACTCCATGTAAACATTGTTGTTTAATGATAATCAATTTCGGTCTTTTCCAAATTTTTTGATTGATCAGTTTTTCTTGCCTCAAATTGATTATCTCAATTTCAATAATTACCAATGAATGTTTACAGTCTTCATGTTATTACAATAACCATCAAATCAATCTGAAACAAAAATTCAAGCAAACCTTAATTTTCCATGCTGAATACTCATGCATTTATGTTTTTATAATATGATTATCATCATTACATTGTTTAGTTACAGGTTAACTCATATTCATCATTGTATTCCGCAAATGGTGAACACAATGAACAAGAAACAATTTAGATTTCATGTTAATTCAATTGAATTTACATCCATTCGTCTCTTCCTTTTCCATTAAATTACTTGTTCACACACACACTGAATATCCATTTCATTTGTGACTATCAGTCGGGTGAAAAATTGTTTTTCCAGCAAATTTGTCATCATGAGCATGATAAATGCATCTTAAATGACTTGCTTTTCAATGGTTAAACTAATTCTGGGCGTTTGAACATTCAAACCTTTCACAGAACCAACATTAACTCAAATGTCTACATGAGAGGAAAGATGAACGCAAAGCTTTAATTGTTGCTATAAATGAAGACCGCTATTTTGAGCAAACCACCGGTCAACAGTAAAATGTCCTTTTGTCAGCAAACTGTGAATCTCATTATAATTCATCAGATAATTACTTAATTTGGATACAATTTTGCTTTCAAATCACAACTTGACCAAGCGTTATAAAAATGTTCACGAATCAAAGCAATAACATTTATGATCCAAGCATCTTTTGATGCCCTTCAATCAGTTAATGTACAACAAAATTGTCACGTTATTTTGACGCTAATCAACCAATTCTCATGCTTTTAATTATTGCTATTAATATTAACTTGATCAGCTTACCTAGTTTAATCCCGGTTTGCTTTTTGGTCAAACTTTACTTTCAATCATATTGGTCAATCAACTCATGGTTATAAACCTTTTTTTACTTCTTAATGCATGTAAACCATCAATTCAAGTTCAGGGTTTCAATTTGAATCGCATTTTTTTACTGTTAATAATTTTATTTTTAATCAATTTTCTCACATTCAGATTGAATCATTTTTTGCGTCCGTTTTGAGGGTCAAAAAATTCATCTCACAGTTTTAACCTTTTTTTTATTGATTCATATTTCAACTTCATTTATCAATCGACTTGAATCACTTATCCAACTTGAAATGAGATTATCTTGTACTCCATTTGTCTCCATTTTTTGCTGCTTCTTGACTTAATTGAATTAAGGTGAAACTTAATATGCTTTGGTCATCTCTCACGTGGTTTGATGAAAACTGATGAATCGATTTCCATCAACCTTGGTCAGTTACTTACAGTAAATGTAGTTTCAATTATCATGGTAAAAAGCTTTGTTCTTTTCATACTGAATACACCTACACAATTGCATTGAAGCTTATAGTAAGAAATTGAAATGTCTGATATTCCATCATCATTATCATGGTTAACAAAATCAGCTGAAATTTTATCAGCCAAGTTCAATGGACTTGACTCGTTTATCTTCTTCTTCCTATTCTTGATATTTCCTTCCATTAACGTTTAACTTTTGAATACTTAACTTGTTCAGTTAAACATCACAATTAAAACATGAGAAATATTCACAATCTTATTTATTGTCTAAACCATTTCTTGTAAACAAAAACATTTGACAATAATTTAAACATTTTAATGAATCAATTTAATGATTTTTAGCAAACAAAAAAGGCAAAAAATTTACACAAACTTGAAACTGTTTAACAGAACCAATTCTTTGCCAAGATTAACCAGATTTTTCCACTGGTTTCACCGTTGAAATTATTGTTTATATTGAACATCATCTTCCTCATGTTCAACTAGTTTTTCATCTGAAGAAGTCAGGTAAAACAAGGTTTATCAGAACCAAATGCCTCATCTTCACATTTCCTCCTCTTCTCCCTATCTTGATCATCTTTGCCCATCTTTTCCATCTTCATCTTCACTCTCACTCTCACACCCTGTTCATTTTGTTTTCTTGGCCTCTCATCTCTTCCGGCCTATCATTCATTACTTTAATTTTTCTTTCCCTTTGTTCAATCTGACGTCCATTTATTCATGTAAACAACTTTTTTGCCTACAACGATTATACGCTTAAAAACCATTAGAATCAATGTTGAGAGTGAAACCCATCAACGTTTCATAAGCATTATTATGTTTGCGTCTTGTTTAGCTTTCACTTGTTTAAACAAGAAACAATTTTCACGTCAAACGTTGATAGATAATCTTTAATGTTTCTGTCATTTTAAGTAGAAGTCATTTCATTTTTTCATTCTTAAAAAAAACGATAAACATGACAAATTCGGTAAATCAGTTTTGTTAAGATTCGAGTTTCATTCCATAAATTCACCGAGAAAAAAAACTTGGACTTTAGTGTTTCATTTCAAGTTGAATGTGTTCACGCACTTCATAAACCTTTACTTGTAAAATCAATCATCAAAGTCAGGGTCATCTGAAAATTCTTACATAATTTCTCATGAGAAATTGATTCCTATAAATAGTCGAACAGGTTTATCCTTTAATTGATGAGTTATTGATAAATAGTCTTGAAAAATTTCGTGCAAGTATTTACAATGAAACGATTCATTTTCATGTATAAATGATTCTTTGCTATTCTTGAGTTAGTTGATTGCTGATTTGATTCAAGACGAAATCTTTTCTAAACTCATCCAATCCTCTCTGTTTTAATTACATTTTTTATCATCACTGTTATTATTTTCAATATTATCACCCAATCAACTATTTCAGAATATTTCTCAAATCCGGATTCTCTTATCAATTCTTACCTCATTTCCAACTCTTCTAATAATTGAAATGTGATTTTAATTTCAACGTAATTTATGGTTTGCAGCAAGATTTATTTCATGATGATGATGAAAAGGGAATGTATATGTATTTTTTTAATTACCTTGATCAACTAACTTCTGATTATAAAAAAACTTCCTTCTTCCAAATGACCTACCAATTTAAACAAAATTCAATTGATTCCACTTTTTTAATGGAGACTCTCCTTTCAAGCAACTCCTTTCAACCTGTAGCTTCAACTATTCACCTTTGGAATCGCATTTAATTTATTCTTACTCTTACCTATCGTTTTACATTAAATTTACCTTGTTCCACCAATTGACTGAGTTTAATGTTTCTTGCCCTTTGAACAGCTACAAATTAACTTTAAACCCATTCCGTAGCTCAATTTGTTTTACTATATGCTATGAATTAAATGTACAATTAAAGTTGAAACCATTTCTCTGTAACTTTCCTCATTAAAACTGTAGACTTATCAGTAAAAAACAATTACTTAATGTTCAGCATATCATGTATTTACACATGTATGAACATCATCAACTTAACCTGAAAACTCATCAACATTGCATGAAAGAGGTGCGAAACTGAAGAGGTTACAATTGATAAATTTTTCAATCGATTGTCCATTTTTTATTCTTTGCCTTTTTTCAAGTTTTCATAGTCAATGTTATCTCATTTCACAACAGATTCAAACTAATCTTCATGAACCTTTAATATTAGTTTTATCATTACAATTATCTCTTTTTTATTAACTTGAAATTTTGCACGATTCCAATTCTGTGAATCTATCTTTTCCCTGATTCTTATTGAACTTATTTTTCTTTTCAATCTTTTGTGTTTGCAAATTTTTTCATTTCTAGATGTGTGTTCAAGTATCAAAATTATGCATCAGCTGAACATTTTCTTACTCTACTCATCAGTTGTGTTGATTCAATCTTTTAGTTGTTAATTTATTGATGATAATTACTTCTTCTTATCAAACTATTACAATTGTTACAGCATTGATAACTTTTCTACTTATTGTTCAAGTTGATTGGTTGAGTTGATTTGCCATTTCATTTCTTTTCAATCTCTGTTTGCTTTTTTCATTTCATACCTATTATATTATCATAATAGCTATAATTAATGTTAATATTATTTATTCTTCTTTTTGATTTACGGAAGTCAATATCAACAATCAAGGTTACCTTGCACATTTAACTCAATACCTTTGGTAAACAAGGTTAAATTTTTGTTGATTTTCATCACGTACGGCACTATTATCATCAACTTCACTTTCATCATTAACACTTGGTCGATTGAATATTTTATTTGATTAAAATTCATCTTATCTATCAATACTATTGAAAGTTTACAATGATTATCAAGCGATTAGAAGGTTGGAGAAAAAATGAGAAATAAAAAGTTGAAACTTTGAAATGCTCAGTAAACTTATTTGAACATTTTTGGTGAAAAAATGAATTTTTCTCATTTTTCTCTTCACTTTTTATCTTTGCTCTACTCATCTTGTTGTTTGTGTAAAACACATTTAAGTCAATTATAGCCTTTTATGCTCTATTGATCATAGTATAGGTGAGATTACAGTTAGTCATTTAAAGTTTTTAGCACTCAATTGATTTAGCCTTAAATTTTTCCATTTCTTTCATTTTATCAACTAAAGGCTGGGCTGAATTTAGCCCTTTTTCCCCTGCATGTTGATCAAATTCTTTAAGCACGCAATTTCCACCATAACAACCTAACCCTTTTCAGTAATTTTAACCTTTACCGAAAAGTACTTTAATGTTTTGTTTGGTACTTTTATTGTTTCTGTAATAACTTGTATCTTCATTTTGTTATTTTATGTTAGTTTCTAATGTTCATTTTATTTTATTTTTGACACCTTTTTATACAGAATTCAAGTTAACGATCAGATAATCGAAGTTGATGGCCTATCCTTGGTTGGTGTCACTCAAGCTTATGCAGCCTCTGTACTTCGTGGAACCAATGGACCAATCAAGTTCCTCATTGGTCGGGAACGGGATCCAGATAACAGTGAGATCGCTCAGCTGATATTACAATCAATTGAGGCTGAAAAAAGGCAGCAAGAACAACAAAAGGTTTTACATCAACAATTGGCTCAACATTTTCAACAACAGCAACAATTGCAGCAGCAACTTTTACTTCAATCACAACAATTTCAACAAGCCAACAATCAGACTGAATCACAAAAATCATGTATTGAACCGAGTCCACCTAATAAAGATCTTCCTGACTCACCAGAACCTGAGCCTGAACCATCACCATCGCCAACTCCTTCACCGGAAGTTATAACTGAAATGCTTTGGGATGTAACCTCCAAAGATGCTGGACTATTGGATGGTAATAAAGTCCATGATGCAGGTTTAATTGCTCGCCAAGATTATGACAAATTAAGGGATGAGGTTGACGATTGGAAAGCAAAGTATAGTGCAATAAATGACGAATTGACTAAACTCAGAGCCAAAACGGATGCCAAGTGTTGTGCTTTACAGAAGCAACTTGAAGATACTCAGGTTAAACTACAGGAGAGTGAATGTTCATTAGTCAAAGCTCGACGAGAATTGGAAGAGTCACATCGTATGGTGGAAGAAGCTCGCAACGAATATGTTCAATTAGAAAAAAAGTATCATAAGGCGAAAAAGCTGATTAAAGGTTTCCAACAACGTGATATTGGTTTGGAGAAACGAGATGAAGCCAGGCTGATGGAAGATGGCAGGGAATGTGATTATCCGTCAATAATCCGAACTCTTCAAGGTAGAATTGAATTTCTTGAAGCTAAACTGGATGAAATTCAACGTGCAAGTGGAATTGAGATTTCCATTGATAACAACTGCAGTAATGACGAATCAGTAGGTTTCACCAAAATGATTACTGGTATGTTGAGAGGCAATAATGAAAGTAGCAACCAAAGGGAATTAAAGTTGAACCAACAACAAGCTTTTGCTACTGGTTCAACAGCTTTTGGAAGCATGACCAGCACTGGAGGTAGTCTTGCTGATGAACCACAATCAATCAGCTTGGAGGAATCTGATGAAGAATCTGATTTGTTGATTCTGCCTCCTGCAGAGTTATTGGACAGTCGAGCAGCTAAAGAAAAGGCTGAACTCGCTTCTAAAGGTAGTTTAGCCAATCGTCAACCACCAAGTATGAGAAGGCAATCATCTTATTGTTCAATGGATGGTAACAGTGATTCAAGTTCACCTCGAAGAGTTAATAGAAGATCCGAGATGATTAACCAAGGAAGGTCAAGGCCACTTTCAGAGCCTGTTGGTAGACTAGATTCAGATTGGCTTGGACCCGGTCAATTGGGGCCAAAAGAATCATCAACTAAATCACTTCGAAATGAAGAAGATCCCAATTCATCGCTCATTGAAAGCTCTTGCTCAGCCCCAGCCATAAATTTACAATCACTCTCACCTATATCAATGCTATCTTCTTCATCTTCATCAGCTAGCTATGCTAGTAGCCCAGAAAAATCCTGTGATCCCTCAACAAATCAATGTATTTGGAGTGGCAAATTGGTTACCGAATGGTCACCAGATGAAGTTTCTGAATGGTTGATTCTATTTGGTCTCGATTATCTGGTTGAAAATTTCCGAAATCATTCTATCTCTGGTAAAGAATTGATTCAGCTTGAAAGTAACCAATTGAAGGTAAACCTAACAAACTCTCTTTTTTTCTAAGATAGTTATTCATACTCTTTTTTTTAATTTCAGGCTCTCAATGTCACCAATCCAAGAAATAGATCTTTTCTCAAGAAAAAGATTAAGGAACTTCGCATGAATTTAGAGGGAAAAGAAGATGGAAGGGAGTGAACCTTTTTGATATTTGGATAAACACTCACTCAACTCAATCATCTGAATAGAGGCATTCCAACAATGTCCTATTATTTTACATCATTTTTGAAAATTTTCATATTATTTGTCTGCTGATTAATTAGATTAACTTGATTTAAAGCGCACCGAGGAAAAGAAACACTCTTGGAACCTTTCTATTACATCAAGAAAATCAGCAACCACATTTTTTTCATCATCAAATTTACCTTTCACTATTTAAGTCAATCGACAAGAATGGGGAAAAAATTGATTCATTGTCTTGGCAAAACCTTATTCTGTGTTGATTGCTACGAACGATTACCATGCAACGTTTCAAAACACTTCAAGCTTGAAAAGAGATTTTTTCAGTTTCTCAATCAACTCTATAGTATAAGCTATTAACGCTTATTTTCATAGCTGATCTTCATTTATCATTATCATTATTATTATTACAATTATAACTATTACTATTATTATTATCACTTATAATTTCTACATCTCTTTTCATCTCATAGCTTGATGTGTCTAAGGAAATGCATGTTAATCAAATTAATCAGCAAAATCACTCATCTAGTCCACTATTTAATCAAATTATGTAGCAAGGCCACATACTCTCATTTTTATCTTTCCTCTTTTTTTCACTTCTCATTGTTTTTGTATACATTCCTTCATGTTCGTATTTTTCTCACTCAAAACTAAATTGTGATCAATGTGAATTGTATTTCTTATGTTTGACATTTGGACAAAGTCCTAATCACATTCAATCCTCATAATCCTCAGAACTCCTTTTTTCCTATTATCTTACAAACTACCCTGAACCTAATTTTTATCATCACTCATTTTCTTTTGTAATGTTTTCTTTTTTTCCTCTCAACTCAAATTGATTGTCACAAGTAACCTATCAATTTATTCAGGTCTATTTAATTTGTAAGGACTACAATTGCTGTAGACACATTAATTTTTACCTTGATAATAATTGACCATTTCATTCAAATTGATAAAGAACAAATTTCACACCAATTTGTACCCTTTCACTTTTTTTCCGAAACAATTTTATTTCTCTCATTCTTCCACTTCTTGATCCTGAACATCCAGAAGGGATCTCATGAGACTTCAATTTCTATATGAAATAAAATACATTGTAACATTTTACTTGTCTAAACGATTCGTTCATTATTTGAATAAACTTTATTAATTGGAAATTTTTACCATTGAATCATTTATCGTCTTCATCTTCAATAAAAGCGATTTTAAAACAAATTTTACGGCTAAGCAAAGCAAGCTGTAAGCAAAGTTTTTAAGCTCTTATAAGTGAAAAAGTGTTGCGTCGCTTTTGAATAGCGTAGTAAGACTTACAAATAACTACATACTTATATAATACATATCTCTAGTAAAAATAGCGGTGAGAGTCTAGCTACACGGACACATATAATAAACAGTGCTATAGATTCAAATAAATAATCGCTTATTGTCGCGCTCTAGGTCGGACTAGGTTAGGTTAGGTTAGATTAGGTTAGGTTAGGTTAGGTTAGGTTAGGTTTGGTTAGGTTCGGTTGGGCTTGGACGGCCTGGGGCCTCAATTAACGCCTTTGTTATTGTTTTGTGTCCGTATAACTAGACTGTTACCAAAATAGCTTATTTCATAGCAAAGGAGAGTTTTGTAAAAATCGAAATTGATTATTTCGGTTTTCTGCGTGCGAATATAATTGCA